TGTCTTTTTCGTATTGATAACAACTCGAATGAACAGCAAAATCATATTTTGGATTTAAAAATTCCATATTGATGCTATTCTGTTCTCAATTGCTGGAGCATTTCTGATTGAGAGTTTGATTAGTTTTAGTTTCCCCCTTAAGATTCTGAATGGATGGACTGTCCTTCAAAACCAACAGCTTCTAGCATTTGAATGGTGGTTTATTAATTTGAGGTTTCTTGTGTATACACGTTGTTGCATAGTTGGATTAGGGGAATATATTTAGTAACATGAATGATCTTTGGATGGATGAAGTAATAAGTAACAAACATTTTGATCTTCTGTTGCAGCACTTGGGTTTCTTATGTACGCTTGGAGAGCAGTCTTGTTTGAACTATCCAACTGGAGAAAGGCGGCTTTTGCTATCCTTGGGTTTGTGGGAGACCTTTTGAAGTTCGCGTTGGCCCTCGTCTTCCATTTTATAGGCGATCCCATCACTTCTCTCATCAGCCTTGTAGAGACTGCAATGTACAGTATCCGGGCATTCTACTCTGGGATTGTCGCTTACACACCTGTGAGAGAGTTAACCACCGTGATCCTTCTTGCATCCTCAGTGCTTGCTATAGGAGAAGCTGTTGCGCCAAACTCGATAAGCAAGCAGCCATATGTAGTAACTATTGCGGGTCTCGTGGGGTATGCAGCTGTGCAGAGTTACATCTCGGAGCCATTCTTCTGGACTGTCCTGCTTGGTTTGTATGGATACTCGCGGTTGATAAAGAAGAGAGACGATGTGACCTCGGCTCTTCCTTCTGCAGCTGTTCTGGCAGGAGTAGGCGAACCATGGGTGAGAGTGGTGGCCATCACAGGGTATCTGGCTCTAGCCATGTATCACAATTCAACTAAAACCTCCTCAGAGGAAGAGAGACAGAACTTAAGGAGGGCACCACCAATGCCGTTGTTGGCTGCAGCATTGGCCATTGGCGTCCGGCTTGCTGCAAAATGGGCGGGATACAGACACTTAACTTGGATGATTGTTTGATTTTCAGCTGAGACAAAGAAATTTAGAGACCAACAAAACTAGTTTGTGTGTTTGTACTTGTACTCCTCCATGTTTGAAGAGATTTTCTGGTATAATACAAGAAAAAGGATTATTTTGCGAATTGGATAACGTTAATTAATACGGCCCATTAGTATAATCTAAAGTCCATTAAGTGGAATGGTGGTTGGGCTATTTTATGCTAGAAACGGTCCACCTAGATTTGAGCTACATACAATTAGGGCTTCACTATGACCCTATATAATGGAAGTCAGCTTCTTCTTCATTTCTCATCCGTCCGCATTTTCTCTGTTAGTTGTTTTCATTTAGCTGTTTCATATTGTTGGTGGATGTGTCTTAGACTCTTAGCATTTTGTTGTATGGTTTTTGTGGGAGAAAGGATCTTGTTTTTCTAGATTGCCTCACATCACCTTTAGCTTATTTTCTATATAATCCACGAAAATAAAGCTAGTCATCGAGGCATATATTGAGTTGCGGTGTTAAAACGTGGAGGCATACTTGTTCATCATAGTTTAGCCTCTAAAATTATCCGCTAAACCACTTGGTTTATTCATATCTTCGTTTTGGTTTTGGTTATGGATTTCTAGATCTGGTATTCGTTTGAGACTTGCGAATTGTTATCAGAATCATTAAGAACCTGTGAATCTTTAACAATTGACTGATGGATTGAACAAGTTAGTTCCTATCTGGACAACTTAAATTAACAAAAGCAAGGACATGTTGAATTGGTTTGATTTTAACCAGTTGTGACCCTTGTTAGACTTTGAAGTGTGCTTATACTTCAAATGACCCTCTCTACAATATCTCTAAGAAATAATACAATTACAGATGATGACAAGGTCTTGTCATGTGGGTTAGTTAACAAATCGATATTGAATGAGTTGATTAGAAGTTGTCACATAAGTTACACATGGCGTTTAAAAAACCAATTTAAAAACCTCAAAAATCAGTCGGTAGTTAAATTATAAATCTTTACCCAACACATCTGGAATGCTGAACATCGAGAAAAGTCTCTATCAAAAAGTTCAGTACTTGAACTTGGTCAGAGCTATTTCTGGATCTCTTCAACTTCGTCATCCTAAAATCAACCTTCTTTTTTTGGCTCAGGCTTCCCAACCATAAAAAATGACATTACTTTCCTCTCTCGGAAGAGTTTCTCGATCTGCCCCACTTGCCTCTAAGCTCCTTCTCCTCGGCACTCTCAGGTTTCACTGCCTCCGATGTTAACTTTGTCATCACTTTCCGAAAAGTTGGGACTTTCGTTTCTTTATTATTCTTTTTCTCAATCCGTTGTATATAAAATCTTCGACTTTTTACCGCCTTTTATCTTAATCTATCCCTTAAAAACCTTTAGTGTAGTACTAGTACTACTGATTAGCTTCTTATGTAAACTCTTTAGCTATTTCTTTACTTGGGATGAACAAGACCTGTGTCTGCATTTTTGTGCCTTGGCAAATATCAATTTTTTGGGATTGCTCACTGAGGGTGTGTTGTGTATTTTTACACATTTGCAGCGGTGGAAGTATAGTGGCATACTCTGATTCTAACGCACAGGCTTATGAAAAGGAGGAGCAGAAGAAGAAGAAGAAGAAAGTTGTTGTGCTTGGAACTGGATGGGCTGGTATAAGTTTCCTTAAAGATCTCGACATAACTTCCTATGATGTTCAGGTTGTGTCTCCACAGAACTACTTTGCCTTTACACCATTGTTACCTAGCGTCACTTGTGGAACTGTTGAAGCTAGAAGTATTGTGGAGTCTGTCCGTAATATAACAAAGAAGGTAACAAAGTCTCACTTTCGGACTATATACAGATGCATCATCATCATCATCTGTAAAGTTTATAAGCCTTTGTTGTTGTTGGCAGAAAAATGGGGAAATTGAATTGTGGGAAGCAGATTGTGTTAAGATCGACCCTGCTAACCAAAAGGTTCACTGTCGACCAGTTTTCAAGGATGATCCTGAAGCAAGCCAAGACTTTTCACTTGGATATGACTACTTGATTGTAGCAGTGGGAGCACAAGTTAACACATTTGGCACTCCTGGTGTACTTGAGAACTGTCATTTTCTCAAGGTTACTTACATGGTTTCAAGTTAAGAATTCTATAATTCCTGCTCCCAGTTTCATACTTCAATTCATTCAAAAACACTGCAGGAAGTAGAAGATGCACAGAGGATTCGTAGAGGAGTGATAGATTGCTTTGAAAAAGCAATTCTTCCTGGTCTCACTGAGGATCAAAGACGAAGAAAGCTTCATTTTGTTATTGTGGGTGGAGGTCCTACTGGTGTGGAGTTTGCAGCTGAGCTACATGACTTTATTCAAGAGGATATTACCAAAATATACCCGTCAGTCAAAGAGCTCGTGAGAATAACACTCATTCAATCTGGAGATCATATTTTGAATTCGTAAGTAACAACACACTGTGTGGATCTTTTTTGCCATTTGGTCATCCAGAGCTAAATAAGTGGTTGTTTGCAGATTTGATGAACGTATCAGTTCATTTGCTGAGCAAAAGTTCTTGCGAGATGGTATTGATGTTCAGACAGGAATGCGTGTGCTTTCTGTGTCTGATAAAGATATCACTGTGAAAATCAAATCAAGTGGAGAAATCGTAAGTCTTCCTCATGGATTGATATTGTGGTCCACTGGAGTTGGAACCCGTCCGGTTATCAGCGACTTCATGGAGCAAGTTGGTCAAGAAGGCAGACGTGCGTTGGCAACTAACGAGTGGTTACAAGTGAAAGGATGTGAGAATGTTTATGCAGTTGGCGATTGTGCTTCCATAGCTCAACGCAAAATCCTGGTCTGTACTCTATGAGCCTATTAGACTGTTGATGTTGTTTCTTTTATTTCATATGCATGTTGAATCTTGATAGATTCTGTGATTACTTTAGGAGGATATTGCAAACATATTCAAAGCTGCAGATGTGGACAACTCAGGAACCTTGACCATGGAAGAGTTGCATGACGTGGTTGATGATATCCTTGTGAGGTACCCGCAGGTGGAGCTATACCTGAAAAGCCAGCATATGAGGAATGTTAACGATCTGCTGGCCGATGCTGAAGGAAATAAAAGGCGGGAAGTAGACATAGAAGCATTCAAATTGGCTCTCTCGGAGGTTGATACACAGATGAAGACCCTGCCTGCAACTGCTCAGGTACTTAGTGCCTTCACCATTGAGTATAATCATGGGTTTTGTCTAGGAACTCATATTCAATGGTCTGCTTGTTTGATTGTATAGGTTGCTGCTCAGCAAGGTGCCTATCTTGCAAAATGCTTCAACAGGATGGAGCAGTGTAAAGAGCAACCTGAAGGTCCTAAGCGCTTCAGAACTGGCGGGCATCATCAGTTTCGCCCCTTCCAGTATGCCTAACAATCTAATGAACTCAGGATCTTGCACCATCATAAACTTCCAAAGATATAGATATGAAACCTTGTTGCTTGATTACAGGTACAAGCACTTCGGGCAATTTGCTCCATTGGGAGGAGACCAAGCAGCTGCTGAACTGCCTGGAGACTGGGTTTCAGCTGGAAAAAGCACCCAGTGGCTCTGGTATTCTGTTTATGCCAGGTAAATAGTGAGAAACTCTTATTATTCATTATAGCATATGTACAGAATTTACGGGTGAAACAAGAATGATGTGATGAATGCAGCAAGCAAGTTAGCTGGCGAACGAGGGCTCTGGTGGTGTCAGACTGGACAAGGAGGTACATATTTGGGAGGGACTCAAGCCGCATCTGAGCTTGTCTGCAATTTACTGCAATTTGTTATGTGTTTGTGAGATTGTCTTTGGAAGAAACCAAAGATTCAGTCACTCCCTCTCTTTGTTGTTTGTGTTTTGGGTGTAAATCTCACAAAGCTTTGGCGCCATCCTTGTGACTATATATAACTTTCTTGTATGTTTTTGGCAAAGGAAAACCTTTACAAAAAGAATCGTTCTTCATGAAGTTGACATTTACAAAAAGATAAACAAAACTCACAATCTTTGTGTATTAGACATGACATTAAGCATTCGAACAAAGATTCTTGCTCTACAATTCAAAAGCAAGCAGAAAAACAAATCAAAACCAACCAAATTCACAATCAAAGTCACGTCACAACAAGAGTTGAGGTCTTGTAACTCAATTTGAAAACCGGATCATTTCATTCTTCAAACCTCAGAAGCTGGCAAAACGTAAAATTACGATCCTTGCTTTGTAACTCCGCAACTCTTTTAGCAGCACCTGAATCACGAGGGCTTTCTCCCAGACGACGAAGTGTTCTGATCTTAGGTAGCTCCTTACCTATAGGAGTCTCATCATCATTCACACCACTGCTATACATATCAACTTCCCTTGGAATCTCCCATCTCTTCTTCACTCTCCCCTCGCTCTTGTTATTTTCATCAGAAGCTCTTCTCTTCTCTGACCTGTTGTAATTTTCTTTCTCTTCATTGTCAGGCAACGACCGCTTCCTTACATCTTTCTCTCCAGTCGGCGTTTTACCCATCTGACTGTACCTGCTAGCCACAACTCTTCCTGGCTTCAATGGTTTCCTCAAAGAAACATTCTTTTCATCGTCTTTGAATAGCTTCTTAGGCTGGATTGATGAGAGAACTCCTTCTTCTTTCTTCAACGCTCTCTTTGATCCCACAGTCGTCGCTGCTTGCTTATGAGCCGCCGTCAGCTTGGCTTTCCGAGACCTCGGACTCAGACTCAAACTCGTTCGTCCTTTAGCCTTCGTCGTCATTTTGCCTTCCTCGATCCCAGGAAGCTTAAAGAAACAAGACTTGCGTCGATTCTGAGCTGATTGAAGAGGAGTCACATTTTCAGATTTCTTCGCAGAATTGAATATCTCCGCCGGTCCAAGACTAACGCCTCTACGAGTAGCTCTTGATTTGGATACTGGGAGAGAGGAATCTTCGAATTTGACTGTCGGTTTCTGAGATTCCATAAACTTCGCGGGGACGATTCTTCCACGTATAGCAATGCTTCTTGCCGTCTGCTCAGCCTTCTCTAACCGGAGAGACTCCAATCTCGTCGATAAGCGTCCGATCTCCTTCTCTACTTCTTCGATCTCTGAATCAATATCTCGTTTTTTCCGATCAACCGCGGATTTGGACTTGGCGGTTTTAGATTTCGCCGACGGAGCTTCTTGATGAACATTTCGCGGATCGGTGATCGAGACTGAGGATTGGAGGGAAGAGGAAACCGAAATTGAGAACTGATTCTCCTTGCTACCATCGGAATCGAACGATTCGTTGAGGTGAGACCAAGAAGCTTCGATGGCGGAAGTAATCTGGGAATCTCCATCGTCGAAGGCAGCGTTGTTCCAGATCTGAAGCTTTGGAGGAGCGTCAAGCGTTTCTGTAGCCTCAACTGAAGTCATTTTCAGAGTGAATCGAACTCTTTCTACAAGGATTTTGGGGGGGGGAACGAATTTGAGGAGGAGGAAGAAGAAGAAGAAGCGAGTATTTCTTGAGGATTATTTGACCGTTGGAAATGAAGGAGACGTTACTCAATTCATTATTTTCTCCATTAGGGAGCGTCGCGAGATTTGAACCGTTCGATGAAGCTTAGACGCTCCGATGTCGTTTAAAGCGAGCAGTTACACATATGGGCTTTGGGCCTATATAGTCCTCAAGTTTCTCTAGGGTATATATACATATATTTGGGCCTGTGAATAAATAATTTCGGTGGAGTCCATTATTTAGTTGATGTATAATAGAGAGTAGAGACCTAACTCAATAATGACAAACCACTATAAATAAATAAATAAAGAAATAATACCATTATGGAGTCACTGACTTGTCTGTCTCATTGGATAACGATTGTTTTGGAATCTTTTGGAGATTATTTAATTTTTAATTAATTTGAGAGAATCGCATTTCACTGTGGATAAAGTTGAATTAAAGTGGTAATCGCTATCAAGATTGCATAGAAAAAAGACAAGCGAAACAGAAACAGAGTAGTTGTAATGATCGAATCGAAACGCTTTAGCTTTGAACTTTTCAAACATTTCTAATAATCACAGAGACGTAACCAAACTATATATACAGTTTGCATCCATAAAAAGATGACTCAAACGAGGAGTCCATGAGCAGAAGAGCGAGTCAAACCATCAACCAGATGAAACCAAAACTATATACAGTTAGCATCCAGAATCTTGACTCAAGCGATCGAGTTCATGAGAGGGAGTTAATCACCATCATCTTCAGATGGGGAGATGTTATTAAAGAATTTTAGCCTTGAGCCCAGCAGTTGAGGTACATGACTTGGCGGAGAGACTCATCGGCGGGAGCGGAAGAAGAGTGATGACGTCTATCTTCAGATGGGATACCGTCGCCGGCGAGATCTGCGGCGGCGAGAGGACGGAGATCGGAGGAAAGCCTGCGTTGGAGACGGTGAGCGGAGGTGATTCCGCTTTTCAACTTGACGCCGTGATCGGCGTTTCCTTGAACGGCGACGAATGATGCTGCCATCCAGACCTTGTTAAGATAACTCATGGTGTTTCTTTTAGAAGCGAGTTTTGGTACTTCGTGAATTGGAGAAGCCTTGTGAAAGAAGATCTTGAGAAGCTTTTTTGTATCTATCTGTTGTTTTGTAAATGGATGGTTTTTGTAGGAAGGTAAAGCAGAGGTGAGGTTGCTACTTATAGCCAGAGGGGTACGAGGGTGGGGGTAGATTGGTAAATGCGAAAAGATCTAAAAAAAGCGATACCGTGGAATGGATAATTGGGTGGGATCCAGGTTTTGTAAAGAGGTAGTCGTGAAAGTCTCGTGAGAAATTGAGAGAGGATGAGTAAGGAAGGTACCAAGTGGCGGCCTTAGAGGGTCCTATCCTCTAAGATGAGTCACCCTTTGCTTCAATTATCGACCTCCCTCATGTGGGTCCCGCTATTTTTGTTTTTTTTTAATTTAATTTTTGGTTTTATTTGAGTTTTTAAATGTGATTTGTCTGTATATTTATTTTGTTTTACACCCAAATGAAACGATAGGTCGGCCCAAAACAAAGTTACAATGCACCTTGGCTACATTATGTGAGGGTGGGGTGCCTAGCCTAGACACTCGGGTTAGAGAGATTCCCACGAGGGGTTCGGTGACGTGTAAGCGGACTATTGGGTCCTCACGTGCGTCTTCACGTGTTATCACTATCCACTATTCAATGCTTCTTGTCCCTTTGCCTCCGGTTAATGTAGTTTGTGTTTTTTCTTTTTAACCTTTTTTCTATATTGCTAAGTGCTCTCTGATTCAACCAATCAGAATTTCTTCTGTATCTGTAAGTGGAAAAAAAACAATCCCATTAACTAGGGTGCTTAAGTATACTGAATCCTCCTCCTTCCTAGAGGTAAACATCCTGCAACCGAAACAAGAAAAGGTCTTTTAGAATTGCCAATATCTATGACCAAGCTATTCCCTCTGGCCAACCAACCATCGTGAAGGCTTTCTCTCTCTACCGGGAACGCTACGGCCGATCAAACGAGATGCTGGGAATAGGGTTTTCAATGCTAGTCAGTCTTTGTTTGGACGTTCAATTCTTATATCTTATTATTGTCTTCTTACCAAGTTAAGGTTTTATTTAACTCGATATGAACATCTGTTCTCCTCATAGTCTCCTCCATCAATCTGATTTGGAGTTAGACTGACTGTAAGAGCCTATGTATTATACGTTAGTTCATATATCTTCATATGTCATTATGATTTTAACACATTTATTAGTGATATCAGTCTCATGATGATAAGAGTTAGCGTTCTGAGTATTGTGGTGGTAGATGAGCGTTAAACTAAGCCCAAAGCCCAATAATGAACAATGTCTACTTTCTTTTACTTCTAAGCATGTCATCACATTTTTCATTTTTCTCTTACCCATAAATTTCTCGCTGTCCAACTATCTTATAGGGTCAAATCTTCTTGCATTTGACTATGAGCCTTTTCTACTGTATATGTCGAAACTGAATCGTATACTACCTTGATCACCATGACTATTAACATTTATGGACTATATCCCAGTTTTTGATCTTTGATATTTTGGCTCTAACTGGTTAAGTCACCTTGAGGAGAATGAAAAGGAGATGCCTGATCAGATCATAGTTGAAGTAGAGGCTTTCTATGATAAAAAGGGGAAAAAAATATCTATTCGAGACCAACAACAACAAGGCTAATAACCATTAAAACGCGGACCAAATTGGCACATTCCTCTGAAGTCTGACTTCACTTGATTTTTGTCAATGTTCATGTGTATAACTTGGATAGTTGGACTTGGATTTGGTGTCTCATGCAGCTTTACACTAGCTTCCACAAATAATTTGACAAGCACGGCTGGAAAGCAATCCCATGTGAGGTTCCCATCAACATTGAGAAGAACATAGGTAAGAAAATATGCAGCAAGAAACAGGCTTATCTATCAAAAATGTGATAGGGTACTTTCTTGAACCTCAAAGACGAAATCCTTCGCTACCTATAGATTCCATTTCCTCCATCCAAAGATTCCTAGAACAACGGGAGAAAGGATACTAATGGTGAAAAAGACGTCAAGGACGACCGTTTAGAGCTGTCCAAATCAGTTTGGAACAAACCCAAATTCAATTTCTGAAACAGTAGTGGAGCTTGAAGCTTCGTAGCATCTATTTTATTTCTTGGGTCTTGAGAGGGAAAAACAAGAAGAAATACTCTAAAAGATTCTGGAAGAATTTCAATGCTCTCTCTAAATTAGTGGACAGAATAATTATAATTTCATATGATACATTATTGTGTAATGTCCCACAATAGAAAGAGATAGTGATAAATATTCATATGATATATTATGTCATGTCCCATAATAGAAAGAGATAGTGACAAGAATTTTTATATAGAAACAAAAACAGACATGACACCACCATATACTACTCCTAGCTCTATCTCCCCTTTGGAGATGGCTACAGTGACTCTAACACACTCACCGACACATCACACACACACAACACACAAATCCACAACACAAGAAGGAAGAGGAGAGAACGTAACAGCCGTTGGATCAGGATGAACTTTCTTTCTTGCCATCCCTCGGCTAGCAGTCACTCTCTGTTTCTCTCTTCAAAAAACACGATCACACGAGTAGTAATAGGAACAATAATAGTCTTTGACTATGTATGTAGAAGAGTTGGTTCAGACATTCAGAGAATGGGGGAGAAGTTGAGACGGGAACTGTAAGTTGCTTTGGGAGCCCAGTTTCTAGGGACAACGTCAGTGGCAGAGAGTGTTTTACCGGCGGACAAAGTGGTGAGCTTGATAGAGAATGGTCCCTTGAGTGGTCCTCCGACAATACACCAATTGGCTCCCCATACGTGTTTCATCTCTAACCAATCCCTTGCTCCTGCCTGCACCAAAACATTCAGATCACAAGAAAACCCATCAGTTTTTTTACACTCTCACTCTGACTCTGTTTTATTGTTACTTTTTAGAAGACTTTTAATAAGTGGTGTGGTGAGCCTTTTCTAGCTAGTAGTTGGTCAATAAAGATTCATCATTATGCTCACTCCACTAAGATCTTTTCCTCCTTTTTCATATTTAGTATTATAAAAAAGTAAAGACTTTTGAAGTGGAAGTGACTCCGTAAGTGGCTTTGTGGTAAGAAAAAAGGAAAGTTAAAAAAGTGAGTGCATGAGTTTTGTCATTAAAGAGATAAAAAAAAAAAAAGAGTTACTTGTCGAATGTGCATGGAGCCAATGTCGCCTTCTCCGTCTTCAAACTCGACCAAAAGAGAGAGCCAAAAATCAGTTGAGCCTTCGTTCACATGGAACGCTATGTTCTTCCCTCTGTATTTGCATGCGGTCCTTTATTTTATTAAGCATAAAAAGAAGAAAAATAAAATATATCAGTGAGAGAAAAGAGATAGATACACAGATCATATGGGGTCAACGGTCAAAAATGGTTGGGACCATAAAAAACGAGATCGCCGTTAAAGTTGCCTCTTTTGTTTAATGCATTCACATCCATTGCATAAAATTCTAAATAATTCCTATTTTCTTTTAATTTGCTCGTACACTGTCACGAGTTAGTTACTGAAGGAGCATATGCATTAAATAATAATGAGAAATTGAGAGTACTATCTTTACCAAAATATAATGAGAATATATATATGCGTACCGGCGGTAAATGACGGGGATAAGACCACGGTTACGGAGAGGGCCAGACTCGCCGGCAATGGCCAAGCGGCCGAAGACGGCACCACTGAGGTCGAAGTGAGTGCTAGTTTTAGAGCAGCCCGGACACTCATCGGTGATAATGACGGTAACGGCTCTCCTGGAACAAATGCTCTTGTCCAAACAACGAACCTTGTAACAAGCGCCGCAGCCTTCACCATTTTTGAAGAGAATAGGATTCACTGCTCCAACCCTCGCATGTAACGGCTTCACATCCACCAACGTACCGTACCCACACGCTCCTCCTAACATTTTATACGCCGCAATTCCGGTAAATAATATTATATTAGCTTATAGTATTAGTCTATATCACTAGAGAGTGTGAGTTGAGTTTTAATTACCATCACTGCCGTCGCCGTTGGGGCTTCCGTACCAGGTAGCGACTGCAGGGAGCCAACGGGAGCTAGACACGTGGCGATGGGTCGTAGCCAAACCGGACGAGCCAACAAGTAGCTGCAGGACAATGCAGAGTGTAGCTAACATGACCCGAGAGAGCTGCATTTTTCTGCCGGAGTTGGTTTACCCGACCAGAGCCGGAAAAGTAAAGAAGCTAGTTTACCGAGGGAGAGAGAGAGTGAGTGAGTTATGTAAGAGTTTGATATGTCAGTGTTGTTGTTCTTATATAGACCAAAAGAGAAGCAAACTGCTTTATGTGGGTTTCTCTTTTTGTTTTATAAAGTATAATACCGGTTAGGTCCCTGAGCCGTTGGTCTTATTTACGTTGAGATGCCACTAGGGATCGGACCTACCGACAGTTAAGGCGTCGATTTCGCACGATCCAGCGTGTCATTGTCAGAGGGGACCTAAAAGGGGTGTTTTGGTCATTTATGAGATTCGACCGTTGAAATTTCCCGCAAAGATTCTGTGGTAGAGAATAGGAATCCGTTAAGAGAAGAGACCCCCCTTACATGTTCGGTTTCATTTATTGATATGAAGAAAAGAGAACATATATATTTTCAATACATTTTATATAAAATGAGTATTGTTTGATATATATATGTATAGTATATAAAAAGCAATGAACGTGGTTGTATAGTGAGTGTAATATGGATATTTTACGCAAACGAAATCTTGAAGGCCAATCTCGTGAGCACAACGCATCAATCATTTCATTATAAAACATATGAATAATATATAATGGTAACGGTTTTTGCGCTAATTTGTATGATGTAACGAACAACCACCTTAGCTTATTTACTAATGACAAATTAGGTTCATTCTTTGTTAGTAGTATTAACTTTTGGTGGGGGCAATAGATAATAATAACTATTTATCATTCATGCCAGAATATATAAAATTATAAAAAGTGGATCCACACGATTTGATTGTTTTATCACAATGCACATGACTACTACTACTACTACTTTCTTCTATTTTTGTTGTATTATACAAACCCTACATTTCTGTGACGTTACTTTCTTAAAGCTATGGGAGAAATCTAAAAATAAAAATAAAAACTTATAAAAGGAGAGATATTTCTAGCGTCAATTACGGTTTCTACAAAAATGATTGTGTATATAGACATGGTGGTATTTAAAGTGGTGCCAAAACTATATATAAATAGACATGACTGGTTTTGTTTGGTGTATGCACTCAAATAAATAATGCTTGCAAATTTTTCACTTCCAAGATTTCACTCCATCCATCGTGTTTGTTCTTTTTTTTTTTATCTGAATACTGAAGTTTCAATCATTGGATACTACAGAAAATTTAGAAACGATTCGTAAATTTTTGTACCTTATCAAAGTTCCGTGTACGTAGTTTTATGCTACTAATTAATTATTGATTTAAGTATTACTATTAGACGATTACAGAATGTGAATGAGTGATGTTAAAGTCATAAAACGACTACTGATTCACATGAAGTTTGTAAATGAATAATTAATTAGGCAGGGTTTATACATTCGAACTAGATTTTACCCCGTGGTACACCACGGGGCCATTATTTTATGCATCTCTCTTATATAGAACCATAGCGAGTAAATTGTTTAACATATTTGTGTCATAAAATATTTTATGAATTGGTTTATATATTCAAGTTTTTATTTATGAGAGACATTTTTCTAGGATTAACCATGTGGTATACTACAAATATATTTTTAGTAGATTATTTAAATAAGTTAGTATATTGATATGATGAAGTTTTTGTTTGTTAGGTAATATAAATGTTACGATGTCATATATACGTTGTTGTATTAACCAAATTCACCCGTGGTAAATTTCTTATTTTTAATATAGATGTTAAAGTGTTATATATATTTTGGTGTAATTAGCAATAGTTAATAGTATTTGGTATTGACTATATGTGGTGGAATTTAAAAATTTTTTGAATACACATATGTATTTTAAAAAAATGTACTATAATTAAACTCATATTTACTAAAATAATTATATGAATAAATATAGTTATATTTGAAAATCTATATTGTCTATCTTAATATAGATATATACTTAATATGTTGTATGATAATACATGTAAATGTGTGTCTATCTTTACATGGTTTTTTGTAAACAGTATATGAAATTAATAGAGGATGGTTTAATGATAGTTTGCAGTTATAGTGTCTAATAATATTTGTAGATTGATGAAATAGTGTGTAAGAAATGATTTGAATTTACACTTTTCTAATGGCTTAGTAGAAGTGTGTAGCTGAAGCTCAGCAATTTTTGCTTAGCAAACTTAGTGGGCCCGATGCATAATGTGTTTTTGTTTTACTGTATCTAACATCGAAACAAACATACACAAAATTAGCATTTCAACGTTATTTTTTTTTATCCCGTGGTATACCAAGAGACAATAAATTGTTTTTTACCTTTATATTTATTCATTAAAATTTGTGTTCGAGTAGGACCGTTCAGGTTATATGGGTTTAGGAAAATAGAACCGAGTAATTTTAGATTTTCGGTTTAGTTTTGGTTTGGGTACTATTAGATTCAAATCGGTTTGGCTTGCGAATTTCAGAACCCAAGACCACTATTATTGGTGGTATCTTAGCCAAATTTTAGGCTAAGATATGTGAAGAAAAATATATTATATAAGATACTACCAAGAAACCCAAAAAACTCTTTAAAAATTACATAAATTTGAATAACTTTAGCTAAATTTTGACATACATAAACAAATAAAAAATTTGTGGTTTTTTATTATTTTGGATATTTATGTATAGATATTATTTTAAAAATATAGCAACGAAAATTAATATTATTTTTTATATTTTTGAAAAAATAAGTTTATTTATGTTAACAACCAAAAATTTAAATTGCATATAGGATTCAAAATGATTTTTATCATATGGATGATAGTATGATTTATTTGTAATAGAAAAATAAAATCATATAGAGATTAGAGGTCTAATATAATGATTTAGAATAATAATTTAATAGAATAAATTATATATCAAAATTTATATACTCATTTTGATTGGTTAGTTTTTAAGAAATTAATAATGTATTTTCGTTTTAATAATAGGGGATTAAATTATATAAATTAGCATTTTACAGTTTTATCTATAATAAATATTATAATCATGTTCTAAAATGTATTTCCAAATTAATAATAAGGAAATGTACCAATTGATTATGCCGAATTGTACATATATATTCATTTAAAAAAAAAAAAAATCATACTTATGATTATGAATATGGAATTTATGCTATATTCATAAAAGTTTTTTTTTTTCTTTCACGATTATCTCTCCCCTTGTCTTCTCTCTCTCTCTCTCTCTCTCTCTCTCTCTCTCCGATGGCGGAAGAGATTTAGCTGGCTGGTTGAATAGAGAGGAGAAAAAGATTTCACTTCTAGTGTTCGATCCCCGTAACCAGAGTCTCCAAACCCGAGTTACTATTCCCTCAATCCCAACCCCAAAATCTCTATTTGCCTCCGTCGTCTTCTTCTCTCAAATCCACGGTGGCTTGTTCAAGTGCCGGAGCTATTCGGAGAAGCATGGCTACGAAGGGGGATAAAAGCGAACACGGAGGATAGGAACTTGGGTGATCACGCCGAATCCGTACTGGTTAGTTTATTGAGAGGATTTAAATAATGGTTTTTTATTCGATTGTCGGCTTTGAATTGAGCTTTTATCTTGCCTTATGTTATTATTCGATTTGGTTGTGCTATACTGAATCGACTCGTTTGGATTGACAATTAGAGCATTTGTTGTTCGATTTCGTATGCTCTAGATAATAGATTGTTTTGCTGAGTTTTGGCAAGGTTGATCTCATTGCATATGTGACTGAATCAAGGCAGCTGCTTCCTTGAGTCGTTAAGCTTTTAAATGTATCTCTTTTAAGTGTGTGTGTGTGTGTGTCATTATTCCTTTCCGAATTGGTTTGTAATTTGATTGCTAAAGTAAAGTTAGTAATACAACACTTATAAGTACATTAAAAAAAAAATAAGTGGTCTTGTTACATAGAAGGCAAATCGGGTCTGTTGTCAATCCCCAACTAATAATTATATTATGTCCTCCTCTGCAGGACAACGGTTGAGTAAAATTAGCCAGCTGAGGAAGCTATGTTTAGAAATTCCTCCCTAGATCCAAATTGCTCCTCTCCAAGGTACCAAAGGTTTCAGAGTTCTAATGTGATATAACAATTGACCCGTATGATCAAACTTTTTTTCTTTTCAGTTAAATCTATTTTCACTAATCTTCACAAACTTTCACGGGATTATATTCTTCACCATGAATCTTGACACCCTGGAAATTGTAAGAGTACATATATTAGGACTGCATGAAACACAACAATGATATTAACACATAATAAGCGATATATACTAACCTTGTCATCAGAGACAATCAATTCCAAGGTCACACCAGTCATAATAAGCGATATATGCAGCAGCCTATTTGTTTTTTTTTTTTTTTTTTTTTTTTTTGCTTATGGTTTAGAGAATATTGTCGAGTTTGGTGAAGAAATACGATATAGAAGTCATATATTTATAGTAGGGGAAAATAAGTGAATCGATTTAAACCTACCCCGAAAAAACCTTGATCAAGTTGAATATATCACGGACATCATCTTTCCTTTTCAGAATCGCATATAGCAGGAATATTCGACCTGTGAAAACTATATGTTTTTAAATATTATACTCGAAAAATATTTAGGTATTGCTAAAAAAGATTTAGATATTGCTAATTTGCATTAAGGATATGTTTACGGAAATTTCAATGGTGCGTTATTATTGGGAATGTGATATGATGTAGCTGAAAATTAGGCAATTTTTTTGGATTTTGAGTACATGTTCGATTCTAAATTTAATTGTTTTTTTCCTTTTAAGGGAACATTAGCGATGTTAATGTTCATTTGAATTGAGAGTCGGCAAAACCTTACCGAAAAATTTATTGGACTTTTTATCGATATGTTAATATGTTAATGCATATATGTATGGGCTTTATTGAGCTGTAGTTGTTTCATAAGTTTGGCCTTAACGCAATATTGTATGTCACTATCCATAACTTGCAATCGGGTCAAAATTAAATTACACAAACCGACCCGTGATAGTAGTTGTCAAATATAGCCTTAATGACATAAGGTTGGTCGATTTTTATCAAAGATATTTCGTGTAAAAACGGATGACCAAGCAAGTGGTCAAAAAAAAGGTTGCAAAAATAATAAGATAGATATTATCCAGTTCACATCATAATCCGATCATTCTTCTTCCCACCCCTTCTTCCGATTTACACCACACTTTTTGACTTTATACAAATTCCACATCTACTCCTAGTCTTTGAGTTCAAAATTATAAACTAAATATAGCAGAACCTAGTTTCATATAGTGTTTTTCAATGTTTCTTTGTCTTCCTATCTCTTTTTTTTTCTTGGCAAAACTCCATCATAACTAGGTCGTATACAAATGTAACAGCTAAACTTTCATATTATAATATTCTAATGATATATACTCTCTTTTCTATTCGCCAAGAAAAAACAAAAACAAAAAAAGAGTTTCAAATAGTGATTGAAGAAGAGATAACAAATCGTAATGCCAGGCTACACCATCAACAAGTAGTTTTTCACCCTCTCTATCTTTTGATAATGAGTATTTACTTGAAAAATCTTGTCATAGATCTTAGTGGAAGAATCAGAACGAATGTTAATAATGAAGACAATGCTCTCCCTCAGCTTCCTGTCTCGTTCTGTTTCGTCTACAAGCCGTTAAAAAGTTACCACCTGAGTTTCTTTTCTGCTTGGGCCTTACAGCCTCTTTCCAGCCCAATTTGAAGGCAGGCCTAAACCAACAAAAAGAAGGTTTCGTATTACTCATACAAGATGTGGGGGTAAATTGCAAAGATATTTAAAGTTAGGGGTTGAATACCGAAATATATTAAAAGAGAGGAATTAGTTATACTCATTTTTAATTGTTAATTACGCATTAAATAAACTAAAATTATAAAAGTGGAAGTTTATCCAAATCTCGCAATAGACTCATCGAGACGAGAGCATCTCTTTTCAGAAAATTCGAATCTCCTCCACACCTATAAGTGAATCTCAACCGTCCATATAAAATCCAACGGTGAATAAATGGCGCTCACCTGCTTTTCGTGAATGATATTAAATACAAGAATTAGTTTTATCACGAGTGGGCTTTCTTCAATTTCGGTTAAAACATTTTTTTCTTTCCTCTTTCTTCTTTTTCTTTACGAAAAACAAACCACCGCTCTGAACACAAAATTTCTCCGTCGTTTCTTCTCCGTTCTCTGGTCAATTCCGATTCCTCTGAGAGAGAGAGAGAGAGATTTTTTTTGTGTTTGCGAGTTCCGCGTGAATTACATGGAATTGTTGGCGGCGATGGACTCGCGTTCTTCTCTCCATCATCTTCATCGTTCTATTGCTCGCGTTGACCTTCTAGCCGGTGTTCGAATGAAACGATTCCCCATGAGTCCTGTTCCGAGTATGCCTCGAATATGTGGAAACAATTTGTGCTGATTTGACTCTTTACTTGTTCCCTTTTGGTTTGATTTTTTTTTTCCTTTGCATCTGAATTTCGAGATCCAATCGAAGCTGTGATACTCGTAGCTGGAATTGTGTAGTATTTTTCTAGGTCATTGATCTCTGCTGGTGAACAATTTGTTCGTTACGGGTTTAGTAGATTGTGTTAGTGTAATTGTGACTTGTTAGGGTTTGTTTCGACCTCTGAAACACTTAGGGTTTGAGAATTGTGGGATTGGGTATTTTCTAGTTAAGTTTTTTTTTGAATTGTGAAGTTGTTTCTCTCTGAATGGCTGGGAAGAAAGAATTAGGGTTACCAAAGCCTACTGTTAATCTGAAAGAGCAATTGGCTAGAACTACTCTGAAGAATTTGAGGTTACAAGGTCACACGTACATTGAGCTACGTGAGGATGGTAAACGTTTCGTATTCTTCTGCACTTTGTGTCTTGCTCCCTGCTACAGCGACACAATCTTGCTTGGACACTTAAATGGAAACCTGCACAAAGAGAGATTGGCGTGTGCCAGAATCACACTTCTTGGCACGAATCCTTGGCCTTTCAGTGATGGTGTCCTTTTCTTTGATAGTTCAACCGGAGATGATGTAGAAGAAGAGAAACCTCCAATCTCCGGTGGTGAAGATGTTCCCGGTCAGTTGCAGCACTGCGGTGAAGATGAAAGATTTGCTATTGTCAAGTATGATAACAACAGAACAAATGGAGATAACCAGCCTGCTGCGGTTCCTGATGATGAACCTAATCATTGTGCAGATAATCTGTTAATTTCTGGTGTGCTGATCAAGGAGAAAACTCTTGATGTGGAAGCAAAGTTCATTGGTTTTGGCAGAATTGCTGCCAGGTTGTTTGAAACCAAAGGGCGCACAACTTGGATTGATAAACTATGGTGCGAGTGGTTAGGAGATGAGGGTCCTTCGGATGATGAGAAGGCTGTGGTCCCTGAGCATGACTTTGCTATCGTCACATTCTCCTACTTCTACAATTTGGGTAGGCTGGGCTTGCTCGATGATCCAAGCCGACTTCTCACATGTAGTCAGTCAGTAGAATCAGGGAATGGTGAGGACAGTTGCAGGAAGAGAAAGAAGTCTTTTTCGGATCCAGAGGACACCAGTGAATCTCTCTGTAATCAGTATGACTCTTCTGAGGAGGTTTCTTCAGGTCTTAATTCAAACTCTTCAAGAGCTCTAGTAGCTGATTATGATGATAGTTTCATGAGCAAAAGAGTCGTGAAGAACAAAACGGTAAGACGAGAGCTGAGGAGGCAACAGCGGATCTTTTCGGAAAGGATATGCGAAGTCTGTAAGCAAAAGATGCTTCCAGGGAAAGATGCGGCAACAATTCTAAATTTAAAGACAGGAAATCTTGTGTGCGGCAGCAGAAACCTCCTTGGGGCGTTTCACCTATTCCACGTGTCATGTGTTGTACATTGGTTTCTCTTCTGTGAGAGTGAAATACTTGGGGGAAAGATGATGAGTGGAAAAGGAAAAAAGAGATGCACAAAGCATAGTGTTCAGACTGGTGTGAAGTGGAATCAGTTGGCAAACGATGTGAGCTGGCAAATATTTTCGGTTTTCTGCCCAGAATGCCAAGGCACCGGTATAAACATTGAAGGAGGTGTGATTGAAAGAGACACGTTTCCACTTTCTCAGGTATATGTGTGATACAATCACAACTGTCTCAAAGAGCAGTTTTCTCAACGGGTTTGAATCTAACACACATACTTGTTGTATGTGATTTGGTAGACATGGAGGTTCCAGGTGAAAGTGAGCGAAGGTAGAAAAGCATGGGTGAAAAATCCGGAGAGGTTGGAGAATTGCTCAACAGGTTTTCATTTTCCGCAGCAGCCTGATGAGTCTGGTCAGGTTCGGGTGCAGGTAAACATTAAAGCACCGCATGTCCATGTCCATTGTCGTACAATATTTAACTTGGTGGTAAATGAAAATATAAAATGTGGATGATATGCAGGAGGAGAGAGTGCAAATGATGAAAATGGTTCGTTTCTACCGAGTGGAGTTGTAATGTAGGAAACAACTCATGTAAATAAGGGCTTCGTCTCGCATTTTACAGTTTCTCTGTAAATTTACATTTTACTTTGGTTACTACTATCTGATTGATTACTTTGAAGCCCAATTCACTCTTTTGTCTCGCCTTTGTTTTTCTGTCTTTATATTTAGACTTGAAACTGTATTATAGATCCCGACAAGAAAGATTCGAACATTTCAAAACGTAAACCAACGTAGGCAAATAAATTACAACAGTACAACTGTTTGAAGTGAGGAAAAATGGATCCCAAAGAATGAGGGATTGTCTCTGGTGCGGAACGGACCCATAACGCATCTCAGACTAGTCTCTAATGCTTTAAATGAAACCAGCTCAGCCTCACTCCAAATCCACTCACTTTACCAATTTTCTTTGCAACATTTTTAATGTATAAAGAAAGACTCGTACCAAAAAGATACATATACATTTATTTAAAATTATAAATGTCTATACTTCTTCTATCTAACAGTCTTATTCACCGTTATCAATCAAATCTAGGGACCCCCCTTTATTTAAATTTATAAAAAGTTGTTTTGTTCTTCTTCTAAACGATTGTAATCCGACGATCGTAAGCAACATCATTCTAATGCCACTATCAACTTTTTTTATGGGTTATTTGAGTTGAAGATAAGCCTCCTTTTTTTAACCCCATGCTCTCTCATCTTCCTCTCACATCACTATCACATACTCCCCTCAAACATAGAAGAAGCTAGCCAAGTTGGTGTCGTTTCTTTATTTTGGACTATATTATGTGCTTATACTATTTTAAGGAATCAACACTCTTACACACATATATACACACACACACTGTTATTACATAGCATATGCATACTCATTTCCAATTTGTATATATATATATATATATATTTGAGAGAGGAGATTATAAATTAGAATAGAAATAGACACATAAACATGAAGCAAAGTAGGAACAAGTAGATTCTGCTTAGCGACTCCTCCGCCTGCATTGCTCGCCGCCTCGACCGGACACTCATGTCACGGTAAGGTGCCACTGCCATGTTGCTCGAAGACTCTCCAAACAGTCTCCGGTATACCATTTCGCATACCACTCCCATCACTGGATCAGGCATTCTATACATGTACCGTTGACTCTCCCCTTCCCCTGAACGTTGACCAACCCCTCTTACGTTGTAAACCGGACCGGATGGTCTGCTCGGCACCATTGAACCGGGCTGGGGAGCTTTCTGTCCTCGGCCGTAGATCGGGACAAGCGTAGCCTCGGTGACATCGGATTTGCAGACCGGACATTTAGGGGGTTCCCTCTTACAGTCGTATTGATCGATGCGTTGTCTTGAGTTGTTGGAGGAATAAGTCCACTTGTGAATGCAGGGCCAACAGAACAAGTGGCCACATAAAGTCACGACCGGGTCTCGGACCTGATCCAGACATATATTGCAGTCGAAGTCTCCCCCAGAATCACTTAATGTCGTGTTGTCTTTGTTCTCTATCTCCATTTTTTTACTGCAACAACAACACACAAGACAAAACAAGGAACCAAATTCACTTGACCAGTCGTTGCTTATTTAATGAGAACTCACACCTAATTAGTAAATACTTGAAGTCTAGTTCCAATGAAGGATTTGGAAATGATGATTTTTTTCATGGAAAGAAGGACTATCATCAAAATATGAAGATCAATATTATAGATCATAACAGAATTTTTTGAATACATAGTAATCATGATCGATCTTGAATCTTTAACCCACCAATTTAAAGCAAGGATTATAAACAAGAAAAAGGTAAAGATCTTGAATATTCTTTGTCAAGTTGAAGTAATGAAGACTTTACCTAATTAATCACTTTCGGTTTCGAAGGCCTTTGCTCTGTTTTCACTTAATCCCAAAGCACGTTATCATTTTCAAGAAAGAAAAAAAGCTTAAATAATTTAAAGAAACGGAGTGGTTGATTAAACTAAACAAGTGATGATAGATTAAACAAACTAATATTGAACACACAAATACAAAAAGACTTGAGAAGTATGATGATCTAAAACAGATATAGTAACTCAAAAACGGTGCAGATCTATGAAATGGATGCCTTTAGATACACACACACGCAAAAACAAGAAACAAACAAGAGTGATGATTCCAGAAAAAAAGAAGGGACGTACTCGTTGGAGAGATTTGTAAGTACTTGGATGGATCTCTTATGTCTTTAATCCCTTTGGAGACCGCAGAGAGCTTTTGTATTGGTGGTTTGTGCTACAATGGCCAGAAAGAACAGAGAGAAGATGATTAAATTTTGGGGTTTAGAGAGAACACAGAATAGGGTAAGAATATTAGTAGATCGAGGGTCGAGGGTGGTGCAAGAAGAAGCACGAGACACAGAAACACACAATTTATTTTGTATATTACATATATAGTAGTATATTTTGTTGTGTTTTGTGTTGTAAGGTGCAAAATGAAAATCCGGACAAGTTATGATTTTGAAAGAAGAAGAAACGTCTGCCTCTACCTAAAAAATTAAAAATACTACTAAAAGTTTTAGATAAAGTAACGAAACGCCTTTATTTTCTTAATCTCCTTCTTAAGCCTCTTCTGTGTTCTGTCTTTTATTATCATGAAAAGGTCAGCAACGGATCAGCTTCGTTTTTATAAAAGTAAACAAAGATAATGCTATTTTAAAACCACAACTAAGTATATATTTATAGAAAAATATTTATTCAGTCTGAATAGAATTTGTTGACAAAATTAAAACCAAGTGGAAATTGGAAATTGAGTCCATGGACCATGACTTTATTATATACTGTATATAGGAAGAAAAAATGTATTTAAAAAAGTTGTATAAATTTGCAAAATACCCCCATATCATATTCATAAGATAAGAATTTGGCTTTTGACAAAGAAAAAAAAGAGATAAGAAGTTGGCATCTTCTGTTTCTGGCAACACAATAGCTGCTCTCAAGCTCGATGACGTGGAGCTCCATGGCTGCACCGTTACACCATCTAAATTCACCTTAAAACATATATTTCCATGTAAAGTTATGTTTATTTCAGTACTTTACGTCTTTATATAATTTATGTATTTCCTCCTTTAAAACAGAATTTGTAATTATTAGTTAGGTGTTGAGTGAATATAGTTAACCAAGGCAATTTTGGTACGTTGCTTGAATAAAGTTGGAATTGGAGGTTTTTCATGACAGGCTTAATTAATTTAATTAAAGAAGGTCTTATTAACTATCAACCAATGGTTGGAAATAGTTTATAAACCACAAAGATCATTTAGGTTACACGTCACGGAAGCAATGAGCCCATTGGGTGTCTCACCACTCACCACCATACCATATTTAGTTTCAATTAGTATATACACTATTAATTGCAGAAGAAGGCAAACCCCCAAATAATCCACACTCCTTGAGATAGTTACAAAACATTTGCCTTAAATTCGTATTTGTTGTCTCGTCATTGTTATATCTGATCTGATCTGATTATAATCATGATAAAATAAGGTTGTTAGGCAATCACATAAACTAGTTATACCAACAAGAAAGTAAAATATGTTCTATGTGTTTTTTCACAAACAATATCTCCTATTAGATGTTTTAAATTGTAAATCGTCCTAAACATTATCAATGCAGCAGAGAGCATGCTCAAACTCCATAGCTATTTGTTGGGACAATGGTTATAAATTTTTTGGATAAAACTCAAAGTCATTTATTGCCTAAACTAATTTTGGTTCGAATTTAAGAAATGAACATACATATATGATAGAGTATACTCTTACTGTGTTACATTACATGATGTAGTTACTAGTTATAAAGATAGATTGATAGTCCTCCCGAGAAAATACATCTATCATAAAATTCATAAAAAGGAAAAAACAATAACATAATTGGGATACAGTTGTAGCTTTCTATTTCTGAGTTTAAATACAGTTGTAACACTTGTATATATAGTTATTATTCATAGAACTCGTATATATATGTAATAGTATTATATATATACACGTTCGTGATAATATATTCAAATTCTGATATGAAATTATTGGAGCAAGTTGCATTTAAACGGATCCGGAGTACTGACTGAGCCAAGAAATAAGCGGTTCTCAAATTTATTATGCATATATATATAAGCCATTGGTAGTTGAACCAAAGTTATTATATTTTCAATTTCCCTAGCATCCCAAATTTGGTTAATTTGATGGCTTTTTTTTTTTTATCTTTTCTCAATGGACTAAATTAGTAAACAGTTACTTTGTTTCTTTGCATTGCACTCTGATTCATATAACTATTTGTTTCTTCTAAATAATGATCCGCTATATCCGCAATATTTTTCTCTCCTCCTATAACTCTTACGGGAAACACGAAAATGTTGAGAAAATCAAATGTGACAAAAGAGAAAAAAAACAAAAAAAAAGGAGGAGGAAACATAAACATGGAGATTACTCATCATTGTTTGGTTTCTCTTCTCTCAATCCTCATCTTGTCTGAATTCGCCTCGTCTCTCCACATCTCTCGTAAGTTTTACAACTATTCAATATTTTGCTCTTGTTCATAAAAAATATTGTTTATATATCTCTTTGAAAAAAAAATATCTCTGATACATTTCTATGTGTAGTTGATGAATTTGATGAGACACACCCATCTACAAGCCGAGCTCTTCTTCAGGCAAGGGCAAGTAAGTAACTAACATGTTCAATTGACGATTTATTAGCTAATCCTAAATAAGAAAGTGTCAAATTATTACGTTAATAACATTGTTATATAACAGCGTGCAAAGAAGATTTTGCGAGCAAGAATTACACAGTCATAACGAGTAAATGCAAAGGACCAAACTATCCGGCCAAGGTATGCTGCTCGGCGTTCAAGGACTTTGCTTGCCCTTTCGCCGAAGCTATTAACGATGAAAAGACAGATTGTGCCTCCACGATGTTCAGCTACATCAACATCTACGGTCGTTATCCTCCTGGAATATTCGCTAACATGTGCAAAGAAGGCAAAGAGGGCCTCGATTGCACCGACGTCAAGCCCACATCATCTTCCCATGCATTGTTCCCTCTTGTCCCGAGACATGTATTGCTTATCACCATTTTCATCTTGTTTTGCCTCTTCTAAAGACATTACCATATATGTTAAGATATGAGTTATATAATACTATATGTTACATTCCTGCCTTTGTTATTACTTGTTAGTTGTTGCATGAGCATATATAGATGTAAATATTCGACTTTTGTTTGAGTTGTCATTCAAATTATATGTTACGACCGGTATTGGTAGCTCTACCAGTTGTCGTCCTTAAGGAGAGAGCAATGACCAAATTATGGGTTCGAATCTTGGCCAAATAAACTATGGTCCCGAAGCCCTATACAACTCTTTGGTTGCCAAAAAAAAATAATTTTATTTGTTACACATCATAAAACTAGTATTCCAAAACATGTGTTTTGAGAAACAAGAACATGTGTGTTTGAACATAAATGGGGATGAGTTAATCTCCAAGGCCTAATAAGGTCAGTAGAAATACAAATTTAGTAAGAAAAAGCAAATCGAAACATGAACCTCATAAACGTTAATATTATGCCACTTGGTTCTTGGTGGGTACACTTTTAATCCAAAGCACACCAAAACATAAAAATCAGTAAATTCTTAAGTTGTTGATCAATTGGGTAAACAAATTCCAAAATCAGATAATAATGCAAAGGCTATCATCGGTGAGCAGTAACAAGCGTCTCGATGAATCGTAACCCATCAAACCTTGGAGCAAACTTTTCATCTCCTCCATCTTCTGAACCCTTCTTCTTCCTCTGTTTCTCCTTCGTATCCTAATGAAAATATAAAATTAAAATAATTCGTTACACTTCCTAATCCATAAAATTAAAATCTTTTAAGCTTTGTCAACTCTCCAACCTTGTAATTTAAATAAATCAGACATTTTTTTTTGTTTGAGATACTTATTGTGTGGGTACTTCAATGAAACAGAGCAAAAAACAGAGGAGTGAACTTTGATTCTACTGAGAAAATCAGAAAAAGGAGATTGCTTTGTTATTTACCTGACGAGAAAGATTAGATTCGGGGGAAGAGAAGGATACAGAGGTGTTGGTAGAGCCAGCAGAGATGGCGGTGGCTGAAGCAGCGACAGAGATGGAGGCAGCGATGATTCCAGATTTCTTCATGTCTCGATCTTCAAATTATCCCAAATTTTCGTGGACTCTGTTTTTACTTTTCTTTGATAATTTCTGTTAAAATAGATAAATCTGCAACCGTAGACAGATGAGAGAAAAATGTGGGAAAAAAAATTGAGGTGTGTTTGCTTCTACAGCCCACGGTTTATATACGCAATGCTAGTTGACCATTACCGTTTTGCCTTAATATCTTAATCATGTTTTACTTGTGTTAATTACGATTAATATTATTGGTAATCGTGTTTTAGAAAATGAAGATTTGTCTTCTAGAAGAATTGTAATTGGAGCAGAGATGGTTAATATGGTCAATGAAATAAAAAAACGAAAAAATGTACTTTGAGGGGTTTGAAGTTAGAACCACACAAAGAGGTACATGATTGGTTGATCTGTTTAAATGAAAGAGAATGGTCCATCGTTGGTTGGTAAAGCCACCCACGTGTCCGGACATTGTTGCAGCTGTGTGAGTTGGTGTTTTTTTTTTCTGGTTTTTTGAGAATGTAGTAAATAGGCAAAGTCAGCTATCTGTATTGGACAAGTATACCCATCTTGTTTACTGTTGCAAGCAATTCTATGCTCATCAGATAAGGTTTCGAGAAAAAGATATATTCATAAGATAAGGTTGTAACACTAATGACGGGGGAACAAAGGTATTGGACAAGTGGTTCTGATTTATTTGTGTCCTTGAGAACCCAATCTTAAAATGATGTTAAAACCGATTTGTGGATACCAACTTTACAAATCCATGTTGGTTTTCTGGTGAGGATGTGAGATTTGTCTGTGTCAAAATTTAATGTGTTAATAACACATTTATTCTTTGATAAAGACATGACAACCTAATACTCTACTCCATAATTTTAAGTCTGGTCAGTGGTCACTATTTTTTGAAGAGAAACAGAGTAGTGTTATGTTTTTCTTACTAGAGTGGTGCACCAAAAAAAAAAAAACAGAGTACAAGTGTTATGTTTTTCTTACTACCATCAAACTCTGACATGGTAACATGATCGTACTAAGCATCATTGGTGGCGTATAGGATCCCATTTAGGCTGTTATTTAATTACTAAAGTTTTATGATTTGAAGATGTATGGATACAAATAAAAAGCGCTTTGCGGCTATGTTTCTTTAAAGATGGGTTCTTAATAATTAAATTTTACTTTTGGAGGACTTTATCGTTTGCGCATTCTCATAATCTTGTCCACATATCTTTACTTTTCCTCACCGGCCAAAAACTTATTCGGCCCATATCCGTATCTTTAAGTGAATCATCCATTGATCGATCATGCCGCAAGACCAAAAACCAAACAACTTGTTATACTCTTAGGTAGTTAAATGTAAAAGATTTGGTGTCCCAAAGAAACAAAACAAAAAATGACCAAGAAAGGAATGTAAAAACATTTTCTGGCCAAACTGATTGTGGAATCTCTGCCCAGGGAGTTCAATATGTTGGATAAAATCTTACAATGATGTCAAGGAAAAGACAAAGCAATTCAATGGCTATATATATGTTGGGGAGCCATTGTAAGTAACGCAACAGGTCAATCCTGAGAACTAGTTTCACTAATCACTTACCAACATCACAAAATATGCAGAGGCTAAGAGAAGTTACAGCTTCAAACAAGAGTTTGTCCCAACGATCTCTAAGGACTTCACTAATCACTACCAAAATCACGAAATACGCACAGGCTAAGAGAAGTTACAATTAAGCATCACTCTTGCTGTAACTCCAGTCATAACCGGTTCATGTTTCTGATACAACTGATAACTAGAATAAGTTCCTCAGACAAGTTTAGCTGACCAATGTGACTATAGATTCCAAAAACCAGTAGCAGCAAATGCCTCGAAGATGCTGAGACTAGACAAGAACAAGAAGATCCTGGATTACACAAGAACAAGCTCAGAACTCAGAAGACTCTCCAAACAGTTTCCTTGAACAAATTCCACTAACTTGATATCCCTTTGCATCGTTTTGCTCAAGGAAAAACAGTATCAATGCTGAGAAGCTGGTTTACTGCACATAGACACAATGAATTCAAAGAGCACTAAAACCATCGTCTGTGACTTTTATTTTGATGACACGAGACCCCAAAGGACACCCATGTAAACACCAAACTCACTCAAAATCAAACTTTTAACACTCTTTCTCAATCATCTACATCGAACCTACCAAAAAGATTAAATCTTCGGGTTCCCCCACTTAACCCAACATCCAAATTCACCTTCTGCCTAGTTTCATTGATCACGAATCACCACACATTCTGCTACAACTAAGGCACCACCATGACATCAAAGCTGCATTGTACCTCAGCAAAATCAAAGCTGCACTGAACTCCGCAAAAGAATCTCCCCTGATCGAAACTATCAACTACAGTCCCCATCCGTGTTTTCAAATCGACGTCTTCGTGATCGGCAGAATCCGAGATGCCTCATTTTCCCAATTTCTTCCACGATCCCCGTAAACAAGGATCGGACACAGACATGGAGCTTATATACGTCTCTCAAGTGGTAAGGAGAGAGAGGAAGCAAATCTGAGAATCGCGCCAAGCTCATCGACACATAACGAATCGAAGATACTCGTAATTTGGTGGACCAATTTGAAGAGAGAGAGAGACATTGCTCTTTGTAGCCGCCACAACGACGTCGTTTCGCAACACCCAAACAAAGGGGGCTAAATCAAAGTAATAAAGATCTTTAGGGACTAAAATTACAAATAAAAATAAAGAAAGAAGAGTAAAGTCGGTTTGGCTGTTTCCTTGGCTTCTTCTTCTTCATCCTTATCTCGAGTCTGAAACTTTAAAAACTTCATTTTCCTCCCACTTGGACTTTTTGTAAATTAAAACTTAAAAAAAAAAGGAAAGAGAGATAAAAAAACGTTTTTCTCCTGCTTGCGTTTTCTCAAAGGTTTCGAAGAGAACGAAGAACCAAGCTTTTTTTTTTTGCTTTTCTCCCAAGACTTGAATCTAAATCGAGTTCCATCTTTTTGATTCTTTCTTAATCTGGGTTTCAGTCTTCGGAATTCAATGGCGTCTGGATCTTCGGGCCGGGTCAACTCAGGATCTAAAGGCTTCGATTTTGGCTCCGATGATATCCTCTGCTCTGACTACACAAACCAAGACTACATCAACCAGGACTCTTCTAATGGTTCTAACTCCGATCCTGCGATCGCTGCTACCAACAAGGTAAACACATAGGTTCCATCTTCTGTCTGTAATCTAGTTTTGGGCTTTGCTCGATCGGTGGTTTTTATTGATTTCTTTTGGGAATTTTAGGGTTTCGATTTGAAAAACTTATGTGATTGACTGATTGCTGAATAGTGGTGATTTGCTCAATTAGCGATTTGATCAGTGTATGAGAGTCAATATTGGAACTTGTCCTCAGCTATTAGTTAGTTTCATCGTTATATATATAGCTGGCTTCATAGCTTCTTTGTTTTTTCCTTGAGTTTATTTACGTTTTGTAAAATCTATATTTTAAGCTATGGACATTCCCTGTTGTTGTATTTCTTTATAGATTGTGATTTATGAGGAGCTATCTTCTGTTGAAACAGCCTGGCTATGAAATCTAATAGCACTTGCAACTTATCTGTTTGACTCGGAAGAACAATTGTATTCAATTATTGATCATATGATACTGAGCTTGTTTATTTTTTCATTTTGCTTGCAGGAATTTCATAAAACCAGGATGGCAAGGTCTTCGGTTTTCCCCACAAGTTCTTACAGCCCACCGGAGGACTCTTTGAGCCAAGACCTTACTGACACTGTCGAAAGAACCATGAAGAAGTATGCAGATAACATGATGCGTTTTCTTGAAGGTATCAGCTCACGCTTGTCCCAGCTAGAACTCTACTGCTACAACCTTGATAAGACTATTGGAGAAATGAGATCGGAGTTGACTCATGAAAACGAGGAGGCTGATGTAAAGCTTAGATCTATGGACAAACATCTTCAAGAGGTGTGTTATGCAATATATAAATCTTTTTTTGTTTGTTTAAATTTCTAAAACTTTAATCAGCATTGGAAGTTGAGACCATGATATGTTCTGTTGTAGGTGCATAGGTCAGTCCAGATTCTCAGAGATAAACAAGAGCTAGCAGACACTCAGAAAGAGCTAGCAAAGCTTCAACTTGTGCAGAAAGAGTCATCTTCTTCATCTCACTCTCAACATGGTGAGGATCGGGTGGCTACTCCTGTTCAAGAGCCTAAGAAGAGTGAGAACACCTCAGATGCACACAACCAGCTTGCACTTGCTTTGCCTCACCAAATAGCCCCACAGCCACCAGCGCAGTTGCAGCAGCATCCACAGCAGCAGCAACCACAGCAGCAGCAGTATTATATGCCTCCTCCTACACAGCTTCAAAACACACCTGCACCTATTTCCATTCCACCATCAAAACCTCAAGCACCACCAGCACAGAGTCAGTACATGCCCCCACCCCCTGCTCCATCCCACCCAAGCTCAGCCCAAACTCAGTCATTCTCGCAGTACCAGCAAAACTGGCCTCCCCAGCCACAGGCCAGGCCACCATCAAGTGGAGCCTACCCAACATACCCGCCTGCACCAACAAGCAACCAATCCCCTGTCGAACCATTGCCAAGCAGCATGCAGATGCAATCACCATATTCTGGACCTCCACAACAGTCTATGCAAGCTTACGGATACAGTGCACCACCACCACCACAGGCTCCACAGCAGACAAAGATGTTGTATAGCCCCCAGACAGGCGATGGGTATCTACCATCAGGACCTCCTCCTCCTGCCGGTTATGCCAATGCCATGTATGAAGGTGGGCGAATGCAATACAACACACCTCAGCCACCGCAGCAGCAGCAGTCCCATTACTTGCAAGGTCCACAAGGTGGTGGATACGCTCCCCAGCCCCACCAGGCAGGTGGCGGTAACACTGGTGCACCACCTGTGTTGAGATCAAAATACGGTGAACTGATAGAAAAGCTAGTGAGCATGGGGTTCAGAGCAGACCATGTGATGGCCGTGATTCAGCGGATGGAAGAGAGTGGCCAACCCATTGACTTTAACGCCCTCCTAGACAGATTGAGTGGGCAGTCCTCAGGAGGGCCTCCCAGAGGAGGATGGTGAAGTGAAGTGAAGCGATATCCCTTGTTCTACTTTGTATCTTTGACAATAAAAACTGTGCTTCCTCCTTTCACCTGAGTTACTCTATAGGCCCTAGTTTTATTGGGCCCAATAGATTGGGTCTGTTGTGTATTGTTTATGCGACTCAATTTATGTTTAGTTAAAAAGCTCTCTATTTATTTGTGTATGTTGTTAATTTCAAAAAGTTCCTCGTGAACACTCCCTTCTTATGAGTTGTTATCTTTGATCAAATCTTCTGTGTATCGAGCATCTTTGTATCAGTCTATTACATCACCAAGTTGTTTATATTGAACGGATTTTCATGACCAAAAAAAGCACTGAAAGGGGAAAATTCTAATTTCATACCAAAAACATATCCCATGAAAAGAAATAATGTACTTAATAAGAAATAGATCTACGTAGAATTAGAATCCTTAAAACCAAAAAATACTGCGCGAAAACAAAATTGAAGAGGCGCCAAGTTTTTATTTCAAGCAGCGCGGTTAGAGCCTCGCGCCAATGACCTCACCCGCCAAAAATCTCCTTTAATATAAACCCTAAATCCCCAATCTCCATCACTCATTCATCATCCTCCTTCTCTCAGTCCTCTCAATCTCTCTTTCTCTCTTTCACAAAATCAACAAAATGATGACGCCGGTGAAGAAACATCTCTCCATTAGACCGGTTGAGTTCTACGGCAACGGGCTTCCCCGACCTCGTTTCTTCGACAATCCTCAGTTCAGCTCTTGCCGTGTTGATCCGCCACTTTCCGTGCTAGATCCGCTCCTCACATGGGCGAGAGATGCTCACTGGTCCATGGGTGGTCTCAACTTCACTCGTCTCCGTCTCCAGGGCCGAATCGAAGGAAACGTCAACAAACTCCGTGCCCAGCTTGAGAAATGTAGCCCTGTGAAACTCGAGTCCGCAAGCTCCGAGAGGAAAAAGAATAAGAAGAGATCTGGTTCTGAGTCTCCTCCTCCGGCTCCCATTGTTGTGAAACGAAGAAGGTACTTAGATCTGAACGATTCCGATGATGAGGGAGTCGGATCTGAAGATGAAGGTGTGGTTAGAATCAGGAGAAAGCTCTCTGATGATTTTGACAGAGTCGCTGAAGATAACAGTGCCCAATTGGTTAAACCCAACAAGAAATCGATTAAATCGGAATTGGTTGAGAAGGTACTGAAGGAGAAGAAGAAAGTGAACAAGACGAGTTCAACGAGGACATCACCAAGATTGGCTAAGCGTAGTTCTAGTTAGTTTTCAATTAGTCTCCTCTTAAATCTCTATGTAGGGTTTAGATTTGAAGAGTATAGCCTTCTTTGGATTTGTTCTTATAAATATGAATTTCTCTGCTTTTCTATGAAGTCGAACAAAGGATCTTTGGTTGAATGCACCAAATTATTACTCATTGATTTGATTCTTTGTATACAACAAAATTGAGAATCAGATTTCACTGTTGAAAAAATGACACAGTTAACATGTGATTCTCTCAGTGTCTGTGAGAACAAAGTTCTTTCAACTTACGTTCCTTAAGACGTCCTGTGACTTTACCCAACCTGCAAGATTGTTCTATCATCAATTTATAAATGGAGTCTTGTTCATGTGGAACTATCCCAAAGTCATCGCTGAATGTTTCCATGCCTTCCATGAATAGCTGCCACACCAATGAACCTGCACCTGCCTTCCTTCGTTTGGCTGATTTGTAAACCACATCGAATATGACTCTGTAGAACTTATCTCTCTGGGCTGGTTCGTAGTCTTTGTTCAGGTTTGAGAGTCCAAACTCTGTGAACAGAACTGGCTTCTTGAGTTCTTTCATCCCATCTTCAATGTGAGATTGCATCCATTTCACCACAAACTTTAGCTTCTCTTCAAAGGTCTGATTATGAAACCTGCCCATACATATATGTTAGCAAAATAAGATGTAGAAACTTCCAAGAGGTCAGTCAATCATCTATTGCTTCTCTGTTCCAGCTGACTTACCAGTGATCGGGGTAGACATGAACGGAAGCAAAATCGATGTTTGAGGAATTAGAGTTTTGAACAAAGTCTGATCCAAGCTGAGAGGCCCACTGTTCTGGATTAATCGTCAGCCGTTTCGGGTTCTCAGGACCATAGAAGCCTTCCAGGCCAACTGTGAGGAGATGCTTGTCGTCAATCGATTTAATAAATCCCGTCATTTCCTCGATCCAGTCCTGTGATCCCGCAAAGAAACACATTAACATGTTTGCAGAATAAATAAATAAAACAATTTGAATGAATCCAGGTGATAAGGTGAAATGGAGGACTCACTTGGAGAGTTTTGCCAGAGACATCAGTCGTGCATCGTGGCTCATTGATCAACTCCCAAGCGAAGATAGTAGGATCATTTCTGTACTCTATTCCAGTTACTGAGTTCTTCCGAGTGAGCAGAGCCTGAAAATCAGGAAACAAAAATTCCATCTTAATTTCTTTAGGTTTTGCTCACACACTCACTCAATGGTGTAATGTTAAATCATACCAGCAAAAAGACCATTACCTTGAGATAATTTTTGAAGTAATTGCGGATAGATGGATCAAAGAAGAAGGAATCATTGGAAGAACTGAGACCAACACCTTCTTGCCATGCCCACTGCACATACTGAGTCTTCCCTCCGTAAGCTTGCAAATTGTTCACTAAGCTAAGCAGCAATCTAACATCATGTTTCTTAGCCTCTGCGATTACATGATCCAAGGCCTAACCATTTATACAAATCCCATTAAACAAGAGACACAGAGAGATCATCACAGAGCCGGACGGAGGCTTAGTTGAAAGAAAGAAAAAAAAGTACCTGAAAGACTCGCTCATCGAATCGGCCAGGGGAGATCTGAAGAGCGTTGTAGCCACCGTCATTGAAAGCCCAAGTTCTACAAACAGTGAGACCCATTTTAGCTCCAGCTTCAAGCATTTCACCGACAAGGTTTCTACTGTGTTCATCCACCGCATGGTTCATGAACCAATACGAGTTCCACCCATTTACATACAGAGGCATATCATCCAACACGAACTGAGTTCCGTTCCTCTTCACAAACCCTAACTCTGGTTTCCTCTTGTAGTGATTCAACCACAAATCCCTAAATGAGAGGTAGATGAAAGCTGCACATATAAAAAAACCTAGAATTCGTAGCATTGGCCTGTTCCTTGAAGAGACCATGCTTCTGCTACCTCCTCCTCCTGCTCACAACCCAGAAAACTCAATCCCCAGAATCGGAGAAACGGCTCTCAGAGTTTTTAGTCGGTAGCCACCCCCCCAGAAGAAAAAGTCTGAGCCTTGTTCTCAGTGGATGTGTCCCAAAATCCAAACTTTTTATGAAACCCAGACGGAAATAGCAATCTTTTTATAAAAAATTGACAAGATTTGAAAAAATGGCTCCCATTTGAAACTTGAGAGATACAAGCAGGAAAAAAAATTGAATCATTGAAATGATCACAGACACAGATCTATGTATCTTTGTATTTGTATTTGTTTATTAGTGTTCACTGTAACACAAATTATATATTACAAAAAACCAAAAAAAAAAGACCCCCAAATTACTGCTGTTTTCTTTAATATAAATTTCTTTTGTGAAAGAAATAAAAGAGCTTTTTGGATTTTACCTGCCAAAGGGACAAAGCATATAGTGATGTTTTTTTCTTTTCTACAAAATTTATGATTTTACCTACTATTCTTGTAAGTTGAAATTACTTACAAAAATATCTTCTTATGAATTTGATATTTTACTTACTGATGTTTATAAAATAAATAATCGAAGAGAAAAGAACAGTACTTGACCCACCAAAGAATAGAAAAGACACAGAAATTAACCTAGTATTAAGACTTTAAAACTAAAATAGAGTTATATGTTGTTGGAAACTTTTATAAATTGGAATTTAAATTTTGATGAACACACAGGGAAATAAATAAAACAGTTGAATCTCGTAGAAAAAGAAAAAGAAAAAACCAGGTCACATGCGTTGGAGACTTGGAGTGTCATCAACTTCAAATATTTGAGAAATGTTCATTGTTCATTCTTGTGATGTTTACATTTAACTGTGAATCCATTTGTAACTTTAAAATTTACAACAAAATTCCCTTACTCCTAACTCATTTAGACTATACAAAACGATTGATTTAGGAATAAATTAGCATATTAAGCTTCTGCATAAAGTCAACATATATTTATTGTTTTCTCTTGATGGTTCTATTATATATGAGAATGTTGAAAAAACCTCTTGAGGTGTTGTCCACGTTGTTATGATGATACAAAATATGCATATATGGATACTGGATAGGCATGACAACTACATTTGTGGTAAGATTTGTTTTTAATCCTTGTAGTTTAGCCAACACTTAAATAAATTACAATGATCAAATTTGTGAACCCGTTCATCACTCCGCTTTTGTAATTTTCTAATGTTTTGTTGACTTCTTCTTTTTTTGTTGCCGACATGTATTGTTAACTACTCCTCGCAAGTAAAGGGTGTGTGGTATATAATTAAATAGCAGACAGAAGTAAAATATTTTGAATGAAAAAAAAAAAAAAAAAAAAAAAAAAAAAAAACTTTGAATGTTGTCGGTGATGCTTTTCTTAACTCCCGGAAGGTACTGCAGAGTCATTCATAATACTACTACATTATTATACGTATTTTTATGGAACCTAAGCAATGAGATTGAATAACACGTGAAGAGAATATGCAAACGAAATCGAAGTATAGATATTTTAAAAGATTGTTTGCCAATTATATTCAGTATATAGATCAAGAGCATGTATGGGAACATGTTTTTTCAACATCTATATCCTTTTTATCAAATATGCATAATTGTTTCGTATAGTTGTTGACTTGAAACTATGATTTAACTCGGATTGCCCACCTTCTAACATTTGTTATTAGTGTTACATCATGGAGAAATAGGTGAAGGGGAAACTCATCAATTTTTTAAGCTTTTACCCAACAACTTCAGTCTGGACTATACCTAATCACATGCATTATATCCTTCAAACACAATCTATCTTCTTCTATGTTGTATATATATTTGCCTACTGTTGTCACGATACATATATATATATATATATATATATATGTTTCATAATTTATGGGTCATTGATGTTTCATATGTTTCATAATTTATGGGTCATTGATGTTTCATAATATATACGTTACCAAGTAAGCCTTGAAACTTCAAAGAAAAAAATTAGTCAAACCATATATCTAACGTTTTCACCAAACAGTTCTTCATTAATCTATGGAAGCTACAACAAACGGGCTATCGATGGTAAACCGTAAAGCCCACCTGAATAGGCCTTCAACCCCATATTATAGTTCAGGTTTGAGAAGCTCTCTTCTACGGACAGAGACAGAGAATGACCGACAAACAGAGAGACCAAACGAAGAATCTTTGTGTTCCTTCAAAAGAAATAAACAAAAGAAACGACAATAACTTCACGTGTTGGTATTGTGACGTGGAAGCATTCGATCTGACATCATCAGAAACACACATCGATCATTCCAAAAAAGAAGATCGATATTTTTCAGATTCAAGAAACCTAATCCTGTTAAACTAAAAGACAATTAGTGAGGAAAGATTTCGATGTATTAGTCGTAGATGTTTTCGTTAATGAAACAAAATGCAAAAAGAATTGAATCAAGAAGAGGAAGAGTAAGAGTTAAAGAAGACGAAGTAAGCAAGAAGGGCACAAAGAAGAGCCACAAAGTTTCCTTCTTTGAGAAGAACCCTAAACACAAAACCAGCGATCTCTTTCGTCACTTTCCTCCCTTCGATTACCACTCTCTTCCTAGATTTCCCGGCGAAAGCCATCGACACCACCACCGATATCCATATCACAACGATCGCCGGCACAGCTATGAACAGCGCCGCCGCCATCGAGAGAACCCCGAACACAGCACCAAGAAGAACCGACGCGTAAAGAGCAGGCAAACCAGATGACGTCTGGTGGTTATCACCGTACCAATTCACTATCGAATTCAACGAATTCCACGAAGAAGACAAGAGGATCGCGTAGACCACAAGAAACAGACAGGCCCATGTTCTTCTCTTGCTTATAACTCTAAGGAACAGCTTGTACGAGGTCATCGTCTCTTGCTCTTCCTTGTCCGCCATCGTTTGAACAGCAGATCTGATCGTATGATTCTGTGTCTGGTTTGGTAAAGTAGTTTAGGGTAAATAGTAAAAAAAAGACCCCTTCTTTAGTCTTAAGCTTCTTCTTCTTCTTCTGTTTCCTCTTTTTGGGGTGAGTGTTTGCGGTGAAGAATTGTGAGAAAAGGAAAGTGATCGAACGTTCTTTTTAGTTTCTACTTTAGCCTAGTCGAATCTGACCTAACGTGAACAGTACGCTCTTGCTTATTGGGTAGTGTTCGTCACGTGCCTTCTTTATTTCTTTAGCGGTCCAGTTGAAGTCTTTGCCTTTTCCTGCAAACTGACAGTTGGAGAGCTCTGTTTCCATTTTTCTTCTTCCTTTTTTTTGTGCTTTTGGCTCATCTCCCAAAACGCACCGTTCCTTGGTAAACCAAGTGATTAGTGAGATTAGATTACTTAACAAACCGCATTTCAAAAAACGAATATGGGATTCCGATGCTTATTAAAGTTAATATGAAATGAGACCTACCATAAGAAAGTAGTTTGTTGGTTGTTACTGTTAGGCCTTTGACATGATTTTAGGATTAGTACTATGATGCTTACTGTTGACGAATAATTCGAGTTACGTGCGGTTATGTTTGAAAATATTGAAAGAGAGATGAGAAGATGAATGTTTGACATTTCAAAGCTGACTTATTTGACCGATAAGGTCATCATACATTCATACCCATAAATGTGGACAGCAAAATTACCAATTCCAATTCACCATTAATTCCAAGTGGCTCGGCTCAAGAAAACAAAACTCCAAATGCATAGGAATAAAATATCACAGTAGATTAAGAGATCAAATTATCACGGCGGAAGTTGTGGCGTACTTTTATTTGTTTGTCAGCATCTTGTAAATCAAATAGACAAATACTATATGTCAAAACACGTAGAATCAAGTATGTATATTAAACAACATGATCTTGTTAATAATTGTATTGACTTTGGAATGGATCCTTTCCAGTTCAGACAATTTATTTGAATGCTTGCTTCTTTGAATAAAGAAGACACCGTCACAAAAAAAAAAAAAAAAAACCAATCAAAACTCTTTTGAGTTCTGACAAGCTGTTCTTCGTTCTTCCTCCTCCTTCCATATACTTTCAAAACGACAAACTTCCACCCAAAAGATCTCTCTGTCTCTCTCTCTCTCTCTCACCATGTTCTCTAAAGTTTCCATTTTTATCTTTTTCGCCACAACACAAGTCTTGTTCGGATCAGTCTCATGCATCCAATTCATCTACAACTCAGATTTCACCACCAACAATACACTTCTCGTCGGCTCCGCCACCGTTGATTCTCCTCCGTCGATCCTCACTCTCACCAACCAAACCACTTTCTCCATCGGACGTGGTCTATACCATTCAAGAATCTCCACCGCCGCCTCCGCCATACCTCTTCCTTTCGCCACATCATTCATCTTCTCCATGGCTCCTTACAAACACCTCTCCCCGGGACATGGCTTCGCCTTCGTCTTCCTCCCTTTCTCGGAAACATCCGCGGCGAGTTCTTCTCAGCATCTCGGCCTCTTCAACTTGACTAATAACGGCGACCCTAACAACCGAATCTTCGCCGTAGAGTTCGATGTTTTCTCCAACCAAGAGTTCAACGACATCAATGACAATCACGTCGGCGTCGACGTTAATTCCCTGAACTCCGTTTCTTCTAAAGTTTCCGGCTTTTATGGAGGCAGAGACGGCGAGAAATTCACGAAGCTGAGGCTTAACAGCGGTGATAATTACCAGGCGTGGATCGAGTTTAATGGGTCAGCCATCAATGTCACGATGGCTAGAGCTGGCACTAGGAAGCCCATACGACCACTCATAAGCATTCCATTGAATCTTACTGGAGTTTTACTTAATGAAATGTATGTGGGATTCACCGCATCTACAGGACAACTAGTGCAGAGCCATAGGATTCTATCATGGAGTTTTAGCAACTCCAATTTCTCCATCGGTGATGCTTTGATCACTAGGAACCTTCCTTCGTTTAAAATGTCAGAGGACTCTGTTTTAAAGTCTAAAGGCTTCATTGCTGGGATATCTAGTGGTGTTGTGTTATTAGTCTCTGTTATTGGGCTCCTCTGTTTCTACGTTGTGAGGCAGCGAAGGCAGAGACTAGAAGGCGACGTGGAAGATTGGGAAACAGAGTTTTGGCCTCACAGAGTGCAATACAAAGACGTTTTGGAAGCAACAAAAGGGTTCTCGGAAGAGAACATGATCGGATACGGAGGGAATTCTAAGGTGTATAGAGGAGTGTTGGAAGGCAAAGAAGTGGCGGTGAAGAGAATAATGATGAGCCCTCGTGAGAGTGTTAGCGGGACGAGTGAGTTCTTGGCCGAGGTCTCGAGCTTAGGGAGACTAAGGCACAAGAATATAGTTGGACTAAAAGGTTGGTCTAAGAAAGGAGGAGATAGTCTGGTATTGATTTACGAGTACATGGAGAATGGTAGCGTCGATAAGCGGATATTTGATTGTAACGAGATGTTAAATTGGGAGGAAAGGATGAGAGTGATAAAAGATGTAGCGTTAGGGATGTTGTATCTGCATGAAGGGTGGGAGTCAAAGGTGTTACATAGAGATATAAAATCAAGCAATGTGTTGCTTGACAAGGATATGAACGCGAGGGTAGGTGATTTCGGGTTGGCTAAGTTGCAGAACACTAGTAAAGAGATGGTTAGCACGACACATGTTGTTGGAACAGCGGGTTATATGGCACCTGAGCTTGTTAAGACAGGGAGAGCATCAGCGCAGAGCGATGTATATAGCTTTGGAGTGTTTGTGTTGGAGGTAGTGTGTGGAAGGAGACCAATAGAAGAAGGAAGAGAAGGGATAGTGGAATGGATTTGGAGACTAATGGAGAAAGACAAAGTGGTTGATGGTTTAGACGAGAGAATAAAGGCAAATGGAAGGTTCAATACGGAGGAAGTAGAGATGGCTTTGAGAATAGGACTATTATGTGTGCATCCTGATCCGAGAGTGCGTCCAAAGATAAGACAAGTGGTACATATATTAGAACAAGGGAGACTAGTGGAGGATGGTGGTGAAAGGGAAATGAGCTTGTTGGAGAGGGTGAAGAGCTCTTACTTGTTGGAAACTGGTGAAGGAAGCAGACAACAACATCCCACAATCCAAGATGTAAGGAACTCACCTTCTTATTCTAATTCCTTCCAAAGTTATGGTTCTATTCTTCATGGAAGGTGAGAAACTAGTGTGAGAGTTATTTATTGAATATGTGTACTATATAGTTTTTATACGTGTGATTCTTCTGTATATAAGATTGTATGAATTTTTGACCAAATTGCATGAATCAATGCATCTCTTTTTGTTTGAGGTTGTAGGCTACTTGTAGCTATTTTTCTACATTCTGATTTGAACTTTGCGTCGTTCAATATATTGAAATATATTTATTTTCATGAGATGTACAAAATAGCACCAGTGGTCTAGTGGTAGAATAGTACCCTGCCACGGTACAGACCCGGGTTTGATTCCCGGCTGGTGCATGATATTGTTTTATCTTTTTTATATGTCCCCCTTATCCACCTACTTGTTGCGGCCGCAACTAAAGTTTAACTGGGTACTCTTAAACTTGCATGTAAACCGAAGTTGCTCGTGACAGTTTCTTAGTTTTTACTATCAGTACATGACTTGGAGGGTGATTGTAACTTGTAAGGCGTACAAGACCGGACTTGATAGAAGGCAGAAGCGGTGAAACTCAAAGAAATCAAAACAGAGCAACATAGACTTTGACAAAGGAAGGATACTTATGTGATGTTCATTTCCATACATTATTGTTCTTAACATAAATTTCACATGTATTCCAAGATTATTATTTTGTATCTGATGCTATCTGATGCTATCTGATGCTATCTGATGCAGTGTCATTATTTCAGATGGTAGTGAAAAAAGAAAAAAAACAACAAAAGCTGACAGAAAATATTGACAGTAAAAGAAATGGGCTCAGAAGGAAAATGGTTTTAGGCCCGTAAGTAATGTAATGGGCTCAATATTCACGAGTGCATCTTCCCAAGAAAACCTATTTTCTCTTCGACAGTGGGGAAGGAAAAAACCTGCATTTCAGATGCATCTCACCGACCTCGCACACCCTTAGAACCGTCGTTGAGCCAATCGCGTTTATAGAAGAAGCGAGAACTAGTCGGCTTGAAGGTGGATAACAATGGCGGGTTGGCAGAGGAATTTACAGACTGTTATCCGTCAAGTTGGTAAAAGAGTGAAGAACAACAATCACATTTCTACTGCAAATTACTCTTCGACTCGGAATTTAGAATCCCCTTTCTCACAAGGTTAGCTAATTTTTATAACATTTGAAGCTATTGAGTTTTGATCATTTGGGTTTAGGGACTGTTAGAAAGTTCAAATAATTTCGGGAATTTATGTGCTCTTAGTGGATCTTTGCAGTGGTAGGTGTTATCTTGGATTTGTTCTGGTATAGTGTGTTTGTGATTTGAAGTTTGAGTGAGTAATGATTATGTTTTGTTGGTTCTGGTGAATTAGGCTACTTGCAGAGTCTTCTGAGACCAAACTATTGCTCAAGACCACTGTATCATCATCTACAACAACTGGTAATACTTTTTTTTTTAGTGAGACTAGTGTTTCTTGTTTCTTTTTTGGAGAAATTTGCTTCTGTAGTTAGATATAGCAAAATTGATTGCTTATATAATTGCTGCTCGAGCTCTACATTAGTTTTGAAACCGTGTAGTGGGATGACTACTTCTATTGTCTATGTAAATTTAGGCGAAAAGAGTCATCTTTTGGAACTATAAATTTGTAGATAACTTCTGGGGGACCTGTACTTTTAGGTATGAACTTTTTATGGGATGCTGCTTCTTTCTTCTCTGATCTCAGTTCTATGTTTTCAGGGAATTTCTACCTCAAGACACTTAAAGGCGGCTGAAGAACCTGTTTCATCACCTTTGTCATCTCCAGCTCTGTTGGGTAGTGGTAAAGAAGAAGAGCAGAAGATTATCCCAAAGCGTCAGAAAGTTCAGGCTGTCTTGAAGTCCATAAAGCAGGTGTGTTCTATTGATCATATAGCACTTTAACTTTTCAGATCATACTGCTTCATTTCGTTTTAATATGTTTCCATCTTAGTCTTGTTATATGCGCTATATAATGTGCCCAATCTTGCTTGTTTCAGAGTCCTAAGAAGGTCAACCTGGTTGCAGCATTAGTCCGTGGCATGCGTGTTGAAGATGCTTTGATGCAATTGCAGGTCACAGTCAAACGAGCTTCACAGACCGTGTACCGGGTAATCTCTCAGATTCTGAGTTAAAATAAAAAATTCACTTTTGGAGTGTCTCCGCTACTCTCCTCTCCAGGCATTTGATACATGTCCCCATCTATTGATACTGAGCATACAACTTGTTATCTTAATACAATGCTTAAAGGATTTTATAACATAATAATGCAGGTTATCCACGCTGCCCGTGCAAATGCTACTCATAACCATGGACTAGATCCTGACCGTCTCCTTGTTGGTATGTACTACTGAGACTGGATCCGTGATTTCCTTGTTTTGCATTAAAGAAGAGAACATGATATGTCAGAGAGTTCGCCGAACTGTACCTTAAAGAAGTAAACATGATATGATAGAACGATGTAATTCATCTAAGCTTTTGATTTATGTGATGCAGCGGAAGCGTTTGTTGGGAAGGGACTCTTTGGGAAGAAGGTAGCTTACCATGCAAAAGGAAGAAGCGGGATTATATCAGTACCCCGGTGTCGTTTAACAGTCATAGTTAGAGAGACGACTCCAGAGGAAGAAGCTGAGATTGCGAGGCTCAAAGTTCACAATTTTAAGAAGAAGAGCAAACGGGAGAGACAGCTTGTACCACACAAGCTCATTGAGACAACTCCAATCTGGAACCGCAGAGGTACCAAAGCCAATCATCGGTCCTCAGAGTTAGTACCGCGGTCTCACTAGTATATTTGCTCCTGCAACTGTAACAAGAGTTTCTCTGTTACCGTACCTTCTTGTTTGTTTAGGGTCAATGATGTATTGGTACTCAATAGGACGGGTTTGCTATTGCACTCAATAAACATGTTGTCTGAGAGGAACCAAAACTTTACTTTTGACATAAGCGTCTCCGTTTGTCTCCATTCTGTCTCTGGATGTGTTTTCATAGTTTTTTTTCTTAAAAAGGCAAAGTTATAAATCTCTATTCCCAGTCTTGGTAAAGTAGGTAGTGCATTAGTTATCCCACAAAAATTTCATTCATAGTTTTGTACTTGATCCTGATTTCTTCATATATATCGTCTTGCTTCGATTGATTCATTTCTCCTCCGAAATCTAAATGAAATTCAAAATAAGGAAACTAGACATAAATGAGTTTATCCTCTGGAAAAAGCTTTTGTTTTGAAATTCACTAACTTCTCTTTGAAGTTTCATTAAAAAGCCCGGCAAATAACAAAGAAAAAAAGAAAAAACCCACCAAGACCCTTAAAAGAAACTCAATTTTAGTCCATCCAATATATAAACCCTCAAACCCTAATAAGTGTATATATATTTAACCTAGGAGAGGGTGTTACATACCAAACCCTACATATTATTATATGGCTTCCTAGTTGAAGGAGAAGTTGGAGACGATAACAAATGAGATAAATTCCAACTTGGACGAGATGGATTCCAAGATTCAAAATAAGTTAGATTACACAAGAATCACGTACAAGCAAGTTTTGCGGCAATACAATTTATAACATAAAAAGCACAATAACTTTTCCCTTCTTTTCCTTTTTCGACCAATCTCGTGGCTACGTGCATGCGTCTCTTTAACTCTATGTTTCTCTTTTAATTAAGAGACCGTCTTTAGCAATAATCAATATATAACATTTAGTTTAATTCATTTTATTACCTAAAATTATACTAAGAAACCACATAGAGAAATACTGTACATGAAACAAATTATAATAATATTATTGAATGTAACTGAAACTAATCAATGAAGCCGTCTTAGCTCAGTGGTAGAGCGCGTGGCTTTTAACCACGTGGCCGTGGGTTCGATCCCCACAGACGGCGATTTTGTTAAATTTTTTGTTCACTCTTATATGTCTTTCCTTCTTTCCAAGAAACATTCTCAGCTTGTTTTATGTCTTACCTTTTTTTTCTTTTTTCTTTTTGGCTGTGAATAATGTTAATATACCTTTTTGGTAGTCGAAAACCCAAAACTCAAAAGACATCAACACTTCACATATGAAATGCAATGGCTAAGAAACACCTATGCAGTTTATGAACTTCACTGGCTGGTTTATGTACTGCTTCATATACTTCATATGGAAAATGCTCTTACTACACAGCTCTATACTGTGTGTTATGCAGCAGCTACTATATATATAGCTCAAAACCAAATTTTCCTTTTTAATGAACTTAACACATAGACATTGATGGTTCTTGGTTCTTGAGTAGTTAATTAATTTGAATCTCTTGTTTGATGAAGATCCTACCTTTCACTACATTCATATCATCAATTCAAACATATTTGGTTTATAAGTCAATTCTAAATTAACAGTTACTTTTTATTTCTAGGATGGGGATTGGGGAGTCCTCGATATATTTTCTCTATATTGATCAAGTTAAATTGTACAAAGTAGAATTATATATGGTTTATTAGTGATAGCAACATAATCTAAGTAGTAGTAACGATGTAAAAATAAATGGTAGTATATATATATATATATTAACTTGTGAACCGGTAACAATTTGTAATGACACTACAACCTCGTTTGTATGGATTAGCCTTTTTCCCCCGTCCACCACAACTATAATAGGAACGGCCACGGCGTTTACACGGTACATAATCCTTCTTCAACGCACCATAGCTAATATAATTTGCCGCTTTTAAAATCCTACGACTCAACAATTCAAATTCTCCCATTGTCCTCTTCTCTTCTCCACCGTCGTCTATGCAAATCCCTGATTCGCAGCTCACTTTCTTAGCCCTGACCAGCACCTGACCTGCAGCTACCAGCTGGATGATGATCACAACGATAACCAAGAGCTTTATGTAGTTTATCATCGAGATCAAGTGGACGATAATTAAGTGTTAGATAAACTGATGATTAATTACTGATTTTGGGTTTATAAACTGGTTTCAATTGGTAATAGATCTGTAGTTTGTCCGGTTCTTACTCCATAACTTATTCAATGTTTTTCTAGAGTTTATTACTTTGTTTTTATTTGTAATCAAAAAGATTTATCATATCTCAATCGTTCACTAAGAATAGCAATGAACTTGGTCGCTCACTCCTAGATTTATATAGCATGTAACTCGCATAATTAAACGGGCTAACAATTACATTATTTCATTTCTTACATATACAAAACTATATAAGCTTTATATATTATAGTTTGCATGGTCATAATTAAAACATAAAACAGAAACATATCGCATCTAAGTAATACATAATCTCGATTTAAATATTTTCTTAAGTAAGAACAAACACGAAACAGGGGAAAACATTAAAAATGGTTACAGATGCTTCAAACATACTAACAGAATAGGCAGAGAAACATGAAACTCAATTGTAGAGGAATGCTCTCAGAACTTAATATTAATGATCACAAGCGACAATATGGAAACCCCTTAGAACATAGAAGTTATCATAATCATAAAAACCACCATCCCCGGACCAACCAAACCGGCGGAATTGTGAGCCAACACAGGGCCTGGAGCCGGAGCATGATCGTTTGAATCAGACGATGGTTCAGGTCCTGGAGAAGGCCCCGGCGACGACAAAACCTGTTGGACCGGAGCCAGTGAAGGTGATGGAGAAGGGGAGGGAGAGGTGTGACGAGGAGAGTGATGGGCGGTGGACATGACCTTGACAGCTAGCTTCTGGCCTTTGAGACAGTTTTGAGAGTTGCCACTGATGAAAAAGAAGGAACCTGAGCGGCTAAGTAGAAAGAAAGAGTCCCCGTCCGAGAGAGAAGTCAATGGATGGGTGGTGTTGCATGTGTTATACTCTTGTTCACTCACCTCCAACACTGAATCTTTTCCCTTGTTGTACTTAAAATCTTGTCAAAAACCAAAAATATTTATGCATTAATATTGACACAATTGTGTATATGTATAGTAGATAAGAGGAGCTAGAGTAAGTGACTTACGAAGAGTGTCGTTGACTTGAAACCTGTTTCGGTGAGACCAATGAGAATAATCCTCGGAAGGAGTAAGGACCCAACCATCTTTTCCACCAACATAGAACTTGTACCCATTTGATATCGTAAACCCCAAACCCATCAACATCACAATGATCAAGTAAAGATCGAAGCTCCTCATCACCAAACCCATCTCTGATCCTAAACTCAACTCTCTCTTAATTAGAGGCTTATATATTCTTTAATTGTATGTGTTTATTTGGATCACCTCAAGAGAGGGTGCTGCTTATTTATGGTGAAAGTAAAGATGATATAGCCGTTGGTCAAGCTTTTTTGGCTGTGTAGTGTGTGCATCAATTACCAAGAGAAATGCAAATTAAGTATGAAGAAGCGTTTCGGTTTCGCTCATCTCTTCTTTTTTACACGTCTCGACATGCAATGGACTTAACGGCTATCTGATTTTGTTTTGGGTAAGTAGGCTATTTAGTACATTTTTCAAAAGTAATTGGAAAAATAGTACGTATACTATTTATAATTAGAGAAATATGTGTGTATTACTGTTTGTGAGATAGAGAATAGTAGAGATAGGAAATGATGTAGGCTAAGAGAGTGTTTGGAAAAAGACAAAAATAGGCTTGAGAGATTGAGAATGCGTGTGTGCGTGTGTGTTATTGTGTGTGGAGAAATTTTTTTTTTAAATAATTCATTTTCTTTTTATTACACCCTCTCATTCTAATAATTAAAATATTCTTCAGTATAATTTTTTTTTTCTGATATTTTTCACATACAAAAGAACCTATATTTTTTTCTCTATAATTTGATATGCATTTTGTTAAATAATTTTAAACTTTGTATAATATTTTATATATACACAATTGTATTTGTACATATATCCTTGTGTACAGCTGTTATACATACATTTTTCTGTACATATAATTATATGTACAATCTAATTTAAGTATGTACAATTTTATTTGTATATATATATTATATTGTAGAAATATGAATACAATTGTTTACTATTTGTACACTTAGTAGGTTGTACGGATTACTGTACACTTAGTAGGTTGTATGGATTACTTCTGTACATTACATTTCTAAACTTTGTAAGTTGTATAATAGTCTAAATATATATAATTATATATGTACATACATTCTTATGTACAACTGTTATACATAATTATATATATATATATATAATATATGTACAGTTTAAGCTATATATGTATAGTTGTTTATGTTTAATAGTTTCAAATACATTACATGCATATTTTATGCGTACAATTTACTACATTGATGTTTATGGCTCGACGTTTTAGTTTGATACAACTGTACACAAAAATGTATGTACATTTATAGATCACTGTACATAAAGATGTTTGTACAGATATAGATCATTGTGCATAAGAAATCTATACAAAATAATGCATGTACAAAAATAAAACTATAAAATGACACACTTTGTGAAACGGGGGATTATACATTTCATTCTCTATATGCACAACACTATGTTGTATGTGATGGTTTTGTACATTAATTGTAGTGTAAGCAGTGATTTTGTACAATGGGTTGTACAATGGTTGGAATGTACATGATTATGGTGTACAGTGGTTCTTTTGTACAGTAGTTATGCTGTACAGTGGTTCTGTTGTACATAGTTCTGCTGTACAGTAGTTCTGCTACACGAAAGAAAATTTGTATATTAATATATTTATATATATATATATATATATAAAATAATGAAATATATATATATATTAAATTGTGTGTATTACTCTATACTTGTAGATTTAGTAAGTTTTCCGAATGTACACTTAATAAGTTGTACGAATTAAATCTGTACATATAATAAGTTGTACAGATGTACAGATTACATCTGTACATTTATCAAGTTGTACAGATTACAGATAATCTGTACATTTATCAAGTTGTACAGATCTAAAATCTGAAAAAATTATTTGACATCATCAAATAAAATCATCTAGCAAAATGCATATCAAATAATAGAGAAAAATTGAGGTTTTTATATATATGATTTTTTTTTAAAAAATACTATTTTTATTGAATAGTATTATAGCTTTTAGATTGACGGAGGATAATATAAAAAGAAAAAAAAACATAAAAAGAAAAAGGAAAAAGAAAAAAAAATGTGAGCGTACGAAGAGAGAGAGAGAAAAGGAGAAAAGGAAGAGTAGTAACTGTTTAGAATGGCATAGATCCGTAAATAATCAAAAAATTTAATGGTATAATGGACAGAGAAAAAATGATGTATAGTAGAAATATACTATTTTACTAATATTGAATAGTAAACGTATTAGTTTGCATAATGTGTTTCAGAAATATACTAAAAATCCAAATATTCCTTTTGTTTTTCACTTTCTTTCTCACATACGACCATTGTTTTCACTCAGATCTTATCATTCTTTAGTAGCCATAAAATTACAAAACTGAAATCCTATATTATTTATTATTCAAACTTACGTTACATATTGTTTTTTTTTTTGTTTTACACTTGGTATTTGTATTTGTAGTTTTATATTAAAAGATATATATATCTAACCCAATGATACAATAATAGTCTTATTGGCTTTTTCAAATGGACTGAGTATAATGTAATGAAAGGCTTTACACATTTTTTCTCGTCTACTAGTAAAGCCCAACTAGAGGTAGAAGAATCACTTTTGCTCTCTTTATCAATAGTAGTGTACACAAGATAAACACATCGTTTAATTAGAAATTGGTAATTTTAACACACTTTCTCCTCTACTGATAAAGCTCGACTAAGTTGGACACTATTAGACGAATTTTACTTTCTATAATGGGAATTAGGAATCTTTTACTTAGGATCAAGGATCTAATTAATAATGTTCCTAAAGAGATCGAAAATTAATTTTTCTACTTATGTATTTATTAATCCCAAAAAATGTAAATCGTTTTTTGGGGGAAATAAGAAGTTTTAAGGCGTAAAGAAAGACCTGAGAATATGAAACTCCAACTAAACATCTTTTATCAATTAAAAACATTGAACCTTCGTTTTTAACAGAAAAAGCTCAATAAATTATAATTAAAATCAGAGAACCATAAGAAGAAGTTTCGACTTGTTCAACAATGAGTAATTTAATTGAGAGAGTACGTTGATTAAGAAGTTTCAACGACCGCATAAACAAGTTTCTAATTTCAATCGGAGTTTTTTCTTTTCTTTTTTTATAATAGTTTATTTTATAAAAATTATTATTACAAATCTATATAGGTTGTTGTTGTTAATCTGTAATCATCTTTGTATCTGCTGTCTGATACAGCCACCAATCTTGAGCTGCCTTTTTGCAAAACCAAAACCTAGTTTGTTTGACTTCACCCTCTCTTCTCTGTGTTGCTTCTGTGCCATTAAAAATGGATTTTTGTCTTCAGTGTTGTGGATTTTGGAGCAAAACTCGAATCAGTTCTGATCCTATCATATTTTAGTTTTGGGTTAAGTCATAAAAAAAGGGATTTTTAGGGGTAGGGAGTGATATGAAGAAGCGGGACAATTCGGGGCTTTTGGGATTAAGGTTCGAGTGGCAGGTTATCTTCTGGCTATTGATTTTGTTGGCGATTTCGCAACAAGCGACGGGATTGAGACCCATAAGGGAGAAAACTCGATCATGGAGCGACGAGGTTTGTGTTTTTTTTTTGTTCAATTGATGATTGCTCAAAAAGTTTATTCATTTCTGTCATACTGATGTTTCCCAGAAACAAAATTTACACTTTCGTTAGCTAGTCCGACCAGTTTGTTGTCAAATGTGTTCAATGACTTGTTTCTGTTCATGATTTGCTGAATGATTGGTCCTAATTGATATCTCTTCTAAGTTTGAGATTCCCTGCTTTGTTTTTTCTCGCAAAAATTGAGCTGATCAGAGTAAAACAATCTTGAATGAAAATCCAGGAGCAGAGTAGCTTTGGTCTAACTTTCATCTTTTTTTATTTGATTGAGTAATCTGAAAATGATTAATGTTATCTAACTTAGCTCGATCGAGCTCATTAGTCTTCAAGCTTTGTTCTCTTGGTGAATACTCTGAGATGTGTAAGAATGAATCTTTCGATAGTGTGGTGAGATGAGACCCATAATGGATTCTTAGGTAGAGATTGGCTAGTTGTTGCAGAAGTAGAATCATTGGTAGTGGGGAATCTAGGTAGATACTGGCTAGCTCTTCAGAGTTCAGAGTAAACGAGGCAATGTTTGGGTATTGGTTTTATTCTAAGGTTTACATGATCTTGCAGTGGCTCTTTGGTAGAAAACAAGAGGCTGAAGTAGGACCGTTTTCCGCATGGAATATAACAGGAACATATAGAGGTTTGTGGCATGACTTTCTTCATTTTCTACTTCTTTCAGAATTAGCTACCGTGTTGTGGTTTTCTGTCTATTGCTTTATGTTTTAGACTACTTATCGAATATAAGCTCTATTGTGGGTATTCTTCAGGAACTTGGAAGTTTCTGAACTCCGCAAATAGCTCTTCAAAGTTTCAAGACTTTCAAAAAGAAAATGGTAATTCTGTGGTTGAGTTAGTGGCAGTTCCAACGAAAATAACCGGTGTGCATTATGTTCAGGTGAACAGTTCAGCTTCTAAGTCTGTATTTTGGGATCTCCCTTGATCTTGTAGCATGCAATATTTGAGGTTCTAACTAAGTTCACGGAACAGGGTGTAGTTGTTTTCCATGACGTATTTGACAATGAACAAAATGTGGGTGGTGCCCAAATAAATCTGGAAGGTGTATATATATGGCCCTTTAGACAACTCCGCCTTGTGGCTAATAGGTACAATCAACGGTTTTTTCTTTAACTGCTTTTAAGATTTATTATTGACTCTTAACTCCAAGGTCTGTACATTACTTGACTTTAGCGGCAAGGAGAGCAACTCAGGGCAAGAAGACAATAATCTTCTCTCAAATCCCTATCATCTGGTAATCCTCAAGACTCTTGTTTGTCCCATTTAGACAATGATAGTGCTTTCTCTTCTGATGGCTGGATTAATGTGTTAAAATGTTCCAAGTGCTTACTAGTTTAGACATTCTGCTGTTGGACAGCTAGGAATTTTCTCCTCTCAAGTGTTTCAAGAATCTCCAAGAGACAGATTACTGAGACGGAAAATTTGTAAGCAGTATCCTATTTTTTCCCGTGTGCTAAACTTTTCGGAGACTCTGATCTTCAATTCTCTTGTACTTCAGCTCCAGTGAATGAAATGGAGAAGCACTGTAATATTGAAATAGCAGCTCAAGTATCCCGTGTGGCTTCTAGTGAAAATAGTATGCATTCTAACTTTAAACATTGAGATGATCCTGATATCTTCTTTGTCTATTTAGTCACATTTTATCTTATGCTGAGGATATTTTCCATAATTTGGTAGATGGAGACAAAAATTATTATCACATGGAAGGGTTGCTGGAAAGTCCTGGGGCAGGCGATGACGGAAATTGTTTCTCGCCTTTGTTACTGAATGCAACCTCTGTAAATGTCGAAGTCTACTATAACAAAGCTGTGAACTATACGCTGATGGTTACTTTTGTATCCTTTACTTAAAAGTAGTTTACCCTTTCATAAGAGACTGCTGAGAACTTATCCGATATTAGTGTGTTCCTTAACTTTCTATGGCATTCAGGTCTCGTTCCTCCAGGTTCTTTTGTTAATCCGACAAATGGAGCACGGTAACACACATTCTGTAAGATACCGATGTAAACCAGATGGTCTAATACTGTTATTCTTGTACAGAATGAATAAAAACTAACTTCCGGAAGTTCTTGTATACAAGGGTGCTGCCAAGGTATCTATTGTAATGATTGGGCAACAAGCTATCATGGATGCTTATTTGTGCCTTTTACATCTCACGGCTGGTATATTAGTCGGTATGTATATCCTTATAACTGTACTCACGCGTTGAAGGATGCCATTTTTTTAAAGCTAATATATGACTCCTCTTTTCATGTTACATGTTAGGCGTTTAATGCAGTGATATTCTTTGTATCCCCCCTGCATTTTGATAATATTCTTTGTTGGTTTTCTTCGACACATCTTACCCTCATCTGTTTGATAAATTACGCTTTCATTTTGTCGGAATTTCTATTACTGTCTCACTGGCCCGTATGCTACTTGACATTGTGATTTATACTTTTCTCAAATCTCCATCACTGTAAAACTTAAGGTTACAAATTTCTCATGCAGAATCTCTGTTTAATGCATTTGCAACCGCTGCGTTCTTCAAATTCGTAGTCTTTTCGATTTTTGAGATGAGATATCTTCTGGCGATATGGAAAGCAACCCGTCCTTCCAACAGCGGAGAAGGTTGGGAAACAATGAGGCGAGAACTGTCCTTTCTCTACAGCCGTTTCTGTGAGTACTTGCTCTTTTGGTCTTTGTTTATCAATTAAAGCTTCAAACTCGTTTCTTACAGCACTTTTATGATATGAGTCATATGACTGCTTGGTCTTTTGGTTCTCTTCCCCTATTTCTTCCAAACATCCACCACAGAAACATTTAATTTCCCGATAAGAAAGTTGCGTTTTAGGAAACTTTATTATGTCAATTTGGTTGGGAAATAATGGTATTACTTGTCTCCTCAAAATTTCCTAATTATACCTGCTTGGTTTCATTCACTTGCTAATGTAAGTTAATTTGAATCTACAATAATCTTTTTGAATCTTGTGCGCTAGACATTCTCACCAATTGTGTGACTTTTGTTTTCATTTAGCTGAAATCTTTGACGCAATTCAGATGTTAACGCTGATATTTCATCATTGTCACTATATTATAACAGATGGGATACTTCTTGGAGGCATTTTGATAATGTACCAGTTCCACAACTACATGCAGCCGATTCTCCTTCTCATGTACTCATTTTGGATACCACAGATAGTTGCCAATGTCGTCCGGGATTCAAGAAAGCCTCTGCACCCTTATTACATCTTGGGGATGACAGTTACACGGTTAGCTATACCGTTATATGTTTTTGGGTGCCCACACAACTTCATGCGTGTAGAGCCCAACAAGTTCTGGTGCGTATGCTTGTGCACATTCATGGGGTTGCAAGCTGCCATTCTTCTTCTTCAGCATTATTTTGGTTCACGTTGCTTTGTTCCGCGTCAGGTTAGTTTGTTCTTTTTTCATGTAATGTTCAATTTAATAAAGCGAACAGTAGGTTACAGTTCGGTTCAGTTTGGCTTGGATATTTCAGGTCTCTTCCGCATTGTTAAGTTGTTTCTGCCTACAGCTAATCTCTTTTGTTATCTTTTACGCTTACACGCAGATGCTACCAGAGAAATACAACTACCACCGAAGATTTAATCGGGACGTAAACCACAACACTGATTGCGTTATCTGCATGACCGCTATTGATCTCAGACAGCATACCAGTGATTGCATGGTACAGCAGTTTCTTTTGGATTCTCTAAACTACACATTTTCCCCAATAAATAGACTTATGAGCGAGTTTTTTCTGAGAACAGGTAACTCCATGTGAACATTTCTTCCACTCGGGCTGCTTACAGAGATGGATGGATATAAAAATGGAGTGCCCAACTTGCCGGCGTTCTCTTCCTCCAGCATAGAGGATGTTTTCGGTTTGTTAGGATGTACCTGCTTCACACAGTTTATTGCGGGTAACAACTCAAACCGAACTTCCAAACCGGATTTTTTAAAATCTTTTCAGATTTTGGTAGTTTCTTTGCCTGTTAGGTATATAGATAGTGTTTTGGTTCTCTGAAGGAAATTTATTGTTAACAACCATGAATATGATTTTACAAGTGAGAACTCGGGATAATAAAATCCAAGTTCTGTATATGATTGGCCTATGAAGAATCATGCTCTTATTTCAGTGTTTTGTCATGCGTTTTCCAGGTTTCTTGGTTTCTGTTTTTCTTTTCTGAAAATTTTGAGATGTTTCACTTATATGTCAAACATTCCTAGAGTTTGGGTTTTCTCAACAGCACGAAGTTAACTGCTGCAAAATTTGACTCTCTGAAACAGGTGGGGATGGTTCTTTAATTTCAGGTCCTTGAAGAGGTTTAGAAGATTTTTAGATGAAAATATAGCAAAGGTGGAATCTGTAACTGCGGCTAGATACCGCGGATAGACATTGTGTTCTGTATAATCGTATAATTTTAAAAATCTTAGTGCATATTCTTTCACCCTACAACCAAATCTTTCACACATTTCTTGTTCTTTCATTTTGTTTGCATACATAACATCTGGTCATTGTGCGCATACAAGTGAATCCTTATGTGTCAGCTGGACCAGGAGCAATGGAAGGCCCTGCTGTAGATGGAGCAACCAGAGGAGCCATGGCTGAGCATTCGTGGTCATAGCAGTCTATGGGGTGCTCAAGTATAGCATCACAGACTTTTTGGCTCCACTGAAGCGGTTTGTCAGGCAAACAGTTGTAGCGATCGTCGACGGCTATTCCTCTAGAAGTCAGGTTCCTGCAGATGCCTTCTTCTTCACTGAAATAGTTGTAAGAGAAGGTAAGGTTAAGTAGACTGGGTAAAACGCAGACTCCAAGAGGTACAGTGCCAGTGAACATGTTGTGTTCCAGATTCAGCTGCTCTAAATGGCCTAGACCAGCGAGACTGTAAGGTACAGGGCCAACTAAACTGTTGTAGCTCACGTCCAGGACTCGTAACTTGTAGAGATATCCAACTTCGGGTGGTAGACATCCAGATAAGCTTGAGTTTATTAGGAGAAGCTCTTCCAAGGTATCTGCAAAGCGGGATATTGTTGGAGGCAGACAACCGCTAAAATCATTGTTGGCAAAGACGACGACGGAGGCGGTTGTTCCAGCGAAATCTCGGGGAATGAGGCTTGTTAACCGATTGTTGTTCACAAAAATCGCGTCGAGGGGATTGCTGAAAAGTTTTGGAGGCAAGGGGCCTTCAAACTCATTGTAACGAAGGTCAAGGTACTTTAGAGAAGGGAGTGAAAGGACGACATCCGGAAAAGGTCCTACAAAGCGGTTGTTGCTGAGGTCAAGCTCATAGAGTAACGATAGGTTGGCCAAGGAACTAGGAAGGATGCCGCAGAAGCGATTGCTATTGAGATGGATGAGAGCAAGGTCCGAGAGAAGGCCAATGGCTTCAGGCAGGAAACCAGCGATGTCACCGTGGTTGAGATCGATTCCAGCAACAACTAGAGTGTTTGGATCGGATGGGGATGGGGCACAGAAGATGCCAGTGTAGCTGCAGACTGAAGGACCAACCCAGTCCGTTGTTAAGTTCTTTGGATCGGAATAGATGACCTTCTTCCATGCTTGAAGTGCATGGTACGCTTGTTGAAGCTGTTGGTTAGAGCTTGGAGTGTGTGGATGAAGACTGTGACTTGTGTGGTGGTGATGGCTATGCTTTGCAGTTGATACAAAAGATAGATGAACAAGAACTGAGATGAGGGCATGAAATGTAAAAGAGAGAGCCATTGAAAGACGAGTTATAGATCCTTTTTATAAGTATGTTGGTTTATATAGACAAACACCTTTATTAGAGAAAGTATTAATGAGCATATATCCTAGTGGTGGCATAAGTTCAAGGAAAAAGACTCAACTCCTTACTTGTAGCTATCTGAAGTGGTTTGAAGTGGGATCTGAAATGACACCTTTGAAGACCAAATCTTATTGTTGGATTTAGATAACTCATTCGCTTACAACCCAAGGAAAGCCTATCTGAATTATCCAAACTTTAGGCATAACCATACATTTAACTTCTTTGGATCTCCCAGCATGTTTTCACAAACAAAAACACCTTTCATTTTATTTAATTAACAGTGTTTGTATCCAGTGGTTTTCTTTGCATTATTCTTTTGTCAAGTAAAAGTTAACATGACCTACACTAAGACAAGCCAGAGTATACTCACTATTCAAAGCAACATTTATACAAACACAGACTACTTATTCACTCATAGACCTTAAGTATTTTCTTTCATTCTCATCGTTTAGCCACCACCAGAGCCATACTTCTTGCCCAACACAATAAGCTGGAGCTTGTCATAGCCGGCGAGCACACCAGCCCCAGCAACAGCTCGGAGGATGTTTGCACCTGCACCCTTGAAGAGTGACTTGGCCCCTTCATTCTTGACGATCTGAGAGAAGGCCTGAAGAGAGCTCTTGTACTTCACTGCTTCACCTGATGTCATCATCATTCTTCTACGCACTGTGTCGATTGGGTAAGACGCCAGTCCAGCTCCAATGGTGATTCCCCATCCCAGCAAGAAACTCGCAAGGAAGCTATCCTGTATAGTTTAGAGCAGTGAATAAACAGTAACAGAGGACTCATACGCTGAAGTGAATACTGAACAGTTTTCTTTGTTTTGTACCTGGAGACCATCAACTAGAACCACAGGCTTCAAGGAATCATACAATCCAAAGTAAAGCCCACGGTACACAACAATTCCAACACATGAGATGTTGAAACCACGGTAAAGACCAACAATGCCATCAGAGGCTATAGTCTTCTTGTACACGTCGATCATGCCATTAAACTGCCTCTGACCACCTTTTTTGGCCGCCTTGGCATCATTGGCCAAACGGGTACGAGCGTAATCCAAAGAGTATACAAATAGCAGAGATGATGCACCAGCTGCACCACCAGACGCCAGATTCCCTGCAAACCACTTCCAGTAGCCATCTTTGTCTTTCTTGAAGTTGAAGAGCCTCTTGAAGTAATCTTTGAACGCAAAGTTTAAAGCCTGCAAAACAGAAACCCTTGCTTAACACACCCATCTCAACATCTATACCAGTAAGACCACGCCTAAGAAGAAGAGGAATCTAAACCTGAGTGGGGAAGTATCTGATAACATTCGCAGTGTTGCCTCTCCAAAGAGCAACCAATCCTTCGTCTTTGACTGTTCGGCCAAAACAATCAGTGATTCCTTTGTATGGCTCAGAGAGCCGGCCAGCTTTGATCATCTCATCTTGATTCTGAATCAAGAGTTTCACACGCTCTATAGGGGCTGCTGCCGTTTTTGAAACAGCAGCTGAGACTCCTCCCATAAGGAAATCGATCAAGAAACCAGTGCCAGTTTTCTCACTAGGGGCTTGAACAGATACAGGCAATGAACCATATGGTAGAAGAGAAGAGCCAATGCCTTGGTTAGTAGACTGAAATAGACTATGCAAACCTCCATTGACATAAGCACCAGAGACTCCGTAATCAAGAGTTTGCACATTCGGCGAAAATCTATTTATCAAGCAGGATTGTCCCTTGAGTTTCTGAAACACCGATGGATGCTTTGAGCCATCCATTGTTTTTAGTAAAACTCAGTAACAAGTGATCTGCAAAGAAACAAAAAAAAGCAAATTAAACACCAAAAATTCTTGCTTTCTCGACATTTATATACTTATGCATGCTTGAAGATAATGATCATAACCAAAACTGGAAGAGAAACAGAGAAGACACCGTCATTACATTTTATAAGATCCTAGTTAACTTCGTTTTTAAAGCCACCGTTACTCTCAATCAGCTATAATGCGACATAATTCACAAATACCAGCACGAACACAAACCTAGCTGCAGCTCAAATGAAATCCTCCATTTTAAAAGATTAAAGCAACAAGCCAACAAGGTGGCATAAAGAAACATAATTCACGAGAAGCATAACAGTAAAAACAGAGAGAAGTAAGAGAAACATCAATGATAAAAAGCTATAATTTTTGGAGTCCGAGAGAACGAACTTACGGAAGATTAATCGCCGGAGCTTAAACGAGAAAGAGAGAGAGAGAGAGCTCTTGAAAGAGGCGAGAAGAGAGTAGTATAGCGGTTCTACATGATTCTGGTCCTAAACAAATAAGACGAAAAAGGGCATGAGGTTTTCTATAACTACGAATATGCTACTGGACTCCTTTCGACACGTTTCTTTCTCGGCCCAAATTATGTGACCCGAGTCTTGACGATTCTTTTATATTTATCCCTTATTTTAATTTCCTAGGGTAGAATTTCACGCACATCTCATGAAAGTGCGAGACATCTTTATCATTTATATAGAAAGTGGGAAAATCAGAAAACCAGAAAAAAAAAAAAGGTCTAACCTCATAGGTGTTAGGTCGAACTTTTAAAAACTGGATGTTACTTTAGAAGCAAGGAAGGTAGCTGAATCTTTCGTTCTTCTTTCAGAGGGACAAAACTTTATAGATTCTAAATCAAGAGATGAGGTTCGAAATAATAACGAACCAAAAAGCTGGAGAAATGTTCGACACCCCAAACAATATGTATTGAGACCAGAATTAATGTTATTATAGGCTCATTTATGATTTATCAAGATTAACAAGACACAAAACACACATGGAAAAAAAAAAAAAAAAACACACACACACACACACACACATGGGATATAAATAATGGACCGATATATAATTTTAAATATATATACGAAATTTGCGTAAATAGTTTAAAAGATTCAACTGCATGAATCCGAATAATTAGAGACATGCAAATTACATGTGTTCATATTAAACTAACCATGCATTCTTTATATAAACTGATATTCCACTACTTAATAAGGTGATTATATTTCTGTACATGTAGATTTTTTTTATATATCACACATGAACAATCTCTAACTATATATATGTACGTACTTCGCTAGTTTATTCATCATTTGTTAAAAAGATCGATGAAGATGCATCGTGCCATATTGGTCGTCACGTTCTTGGTTCTGATGAAGACCGCCGTTTCAGATTTATCGGTAGAGCGGTGCAGGGACGTGTTCGAGAGTTTTGTGCCGTACTTGGACTTAGTCGAAGGAGCATTCCAGCAACCTTCTCCGGAGTGCTGCAGAGGTGTGAGCCACTTGAACAACGTCGTCAAGCTCACGTCTCCAGTTACTATTCTTTCTCGTGTTTTGATTTTCAGTTTCGTTTGCAATTTATTAGATTATTAATAACCCCGGTGCATGCTAGCTCCTAATTATTAATTACGCAGGGGAATGGAGAGCTAGTGAGGGTGTGTGAATGCGTAGAGATGATGGGAAAAACCACTCCTATTGCTTTTCTCCCAAGCGCCATTAACAATCTTCCTCTCCTTTGTTCTCTTTCTCTCAGCTTTCCCATCTCCGTTGCTATGGACTGTTCTCAGTTATTTCCATTTTTTCTCCTCTTCTTCTTTTTTTTTGTTGACTTAGTTTAGTACTTGAGATATAAAAAAAATGTCATTTAGTTCGTTCCATTTCCTCCTATATATATACATATATATAAGGAACTAATTGATCATTCTATTGTGTTACAGGTTTAGTAACACGAAGGATCTTGACGCTGAAAACTCAAACTAACTACCAGGATATAGTACGTACATGTATAAATGAATATTGTAAAGGGAAGACTGTAGCAGGCAGCAATATAGTTAAAATGATATATAATCAAAATTAAGTGTATTGTATTAGTGACTATATATGTCACAAAAGCTAATAATAAACTTTTCTTTAATTAGTAACTATGCGTAGCGTACGGACATAACATTCATCAACTGGTAATTACCATAACCTGATGAAAATTACCACTAAAAGAGAGCATTGTCCATTGAATCAATATATAATAAAGACACTATTCATCATATATATACAAAGACACGAAAGGCTTTGTTAATTTCGTCTGAAAAATTGAATGTAACGTAGTCAGGAAGCAAGAAAGGTAGCTAAATCTTTTATCCTTTTCAGACGGACAAAACTTTACAGACAATTACGAACTTGTTATCCAAAAATTGTCGGAGTTCTACATTCCAAAAGATACGCATTTTATGAGACCAGATTACAGACAATATATAATATCGGCTCATGTATCAGATAACAAGACACATCACATATGGCATGCGATATAAATAAACCAATCACATGCAATAAACCTACAAAAAAACTAAATTAAAGATATATACATATAATCTGTTTTTCTTTTTTTGGGGGGGGGGGGGGGGCAAATGAAGATATAGCTTTAGCAAAAAAATTGAAGATATAAATAGAATGTTACACATAATATTTCAAGAAAACTGAAAGAGAACTCAACTGGAATTAATCCGAGTAAAAAGGAAACATGAGAAGTACATGAGTTCATTAATTAAACCAACCATATGTAATAAACTCCGAAGAAACAAATTGATTGCTATATATTTATATGCAGATATAGTGTGATCGCACACTAATCATCTCAATATCCCACGTTCGCTAGTGATACTCAGTTAAACAGATCAATGAAGATACATCATGCCATATTGGTCGTGGCGTTCTTGGTCCTGATGAAGACCGCTGTATCACAGTCACAGGACAACGATCCGATGGCGTTGTGCAGGGACGTATTCGTGAGTTTCATGCCGTGCATGGGCTTCGTCGAAGGAATATTCCAGCAACCTTCTCCAGAATGCTGCAGAGGCGTGAGCCACTTGAACAACGTCGTCAAATTCACGGCTCCAGTTATATCACTCTCTTTCTCGATTATTTTGGTTTCTTCTTAATTTCACCACTAATTAATTAATTATTAATTAAGTACTTTGTAAAATATTACGTAGGGATCGAGACAGGGGAATGGAGAGCTAGAGAGAGTGTGTATATGCGTAGAGATAATGGGAAATGCTAATCATCTTCCATTTCTCCCAAGCGCCATTAACAACCTTCCTCTCCGTTGTTCTCTTACTCTCAGCTTTCCCATCTCCGTTGCTATGGACTGTTCTCAGTTATTTCCATTCTCAGTCTTTTCCTACCTAACATGTCATTATTACGTTTTTCCCTAAGCTTAAAGAGCTTATTAACTTGTTCTTTTTTTTTTTTGGTTACAGGTTCGGAAACACCAAGAAACTCGACGCTGAAAGATTAAATTAATTACCAGGATATATATGTATGTGTGTGCGTGTATGAATATTGGAAAGAGAAGCCTTGTAACAGCTATCGGTTAAGTACGATATATGTACTCGCGGTTATTGTAATATAGTGCCTAGCTACTAGCTACTGTTACAAAAGTAAAATAGAGTTTAATTCCTTTAGGCGATTATATATGGATATATACATTTAATCAGGTGACTTTTATTTCTTATTTTTACTTTTTACCATAACCATTGTTATGGGAAAAGTGAGTATTGTCCCATTAAGCAACAAAATCATAAGTTGAAGCTTTAACGACCAAATTTAATTATTGTTCTCGCGACATTTAATTGATACGTACACTTTCCTTAACCAAAAGAACGATCATAACTAAATACGGATGGGTGGGACTATACATATCATAACGAAATATGGATGGGAAGCACTGATTGAAGAACCTATCTAGAACCTGTGGAGTCGAGAGGGAGTCCACGAAAGCTTACCAAAGCTTTGAGAACGTAAGAAGGAGACCAATTAGGACTGTGAATTATGAATCTGATGTAAAAGTCGTCGAGGTTGTTTTTGGGTCATGGCGATTTATTTCAGGAGGATGAGAACAAATTGAGTAATTATCCGAGATAGTCGCATTGAATACAAATACCCGAGTGAGTCCAGCTTTGAATACAAATACTATATGAATTACCCTTTAAACATTGACGAAAAAAATAAAATATTATTTATACATGATATCAAAATCATCCAATATTTGAAGAAGATACAATTCAGACAACAATGTTAGAAAATCACATATTCCTATCATAACTCCCAAGTCATAACATAAAAATATAAGACCTAACACAGTTTTAGTCTTTTAGATACCTTTCAAGCATACAAATAAAGTGGCGAAAAAAATAAAGACTGGTTAGGTCTAACAAATTAACCTATAGAAATGGCATGATTTCTTACGGAAGGAAGCACGAGAGTTACATGTTTCTTTGAACTAACCATATAAACTAATTAACTAATAAATATATATAGAGATTTGTGATGATATTACACGGATCATCTAATTACCTTCGCTAGTACTCGTCCTAATTCGTCCTAATATTAGCTTTAGAAAAATAACATAAGATGCATCGTGCTCTATTGCTTATGACACTAATCACGTCCGTGGTTTCCATGAATGAAGAAGAGCAGTGCAGGGACATATTCAGTAACTTCATTGACGTAATACCTAAGCAGCCCTCTCCACAGTACTGTAGAGGAGTGAGCCGCTGGGATAACGTCCTGAAGCTCACGTCTCCAATTACTGTAAATGATTCTACGTCTTTTTCATTTTTTTCCCCATCCTAATTTCTTGGTTCTTTGTTAAGCAGCGAGATAACAGAAGTTACTATATGTAGTTGCAAGGACTGGAGAAGAAAAGGGGCACGGGAGAGATAAGGGCACGGTGTGATTGCCCTGAATTAGAGGTAATTTGGAAAATAAGATGTGTACCTTGCCCACAAAACCCTGACTCAAATATAACCGAAGAGGATGAATCACATGTGTTGAGGTAAATGTTCGATATGGGGATGCATTTCAAGAATTATGATAGTTTCTTCTTAAATCAGTTATATCTTATAGTTTTGTAGTATTTCTTGTTATACTTTCGGTTATACACTATCTTAGTTTTCTAATTTGTATAGATATTGTCTTAATCAAAATCTAATAACAGAAGATATATATATTTCAGAAAATGATCCCACATGCTTGGGAACGTTTTGGACTTAAACGAAATTTTTATTCGTAGTCGAACTTTGATGATCTATCGTTTATATATTTCAATCAAAGCTAATCGTAGTTGTTCCTCGTAATTTCCATTTTTATCTAACAATCTTTTTTCCTTTTCTCTTCTCCTCTGTTCTCTCATCTCTGCCTCTAGAATACTTCAATTATTATTTCATTATCTTCACTCCCTTCGTTCCAATGTCTATGTTTCTGTCTGATAGTGGATATTACAGTTTTTGTTATAGTAGTTTTGGTCATCCATGTTTTATTTACTTAGTTTATTCAGTACTATTTAAACTAAAAATAAAACAGTGGGAGCTGTTATGATTTCCATATTTAATGATAAAATAGTTTTTGTCTTCCATTTAATCATTTCCTAATGACGGCTTAAATATTTTACCTACCACCAACTCTCTCTCGAACGTTTTCATCATATCCAAATTTACTACTCTTTAATTTATAGAAGCAAGTTGGTCCATAAGTCGTCCAAATTGACAAAGGCTTGACTCGAAGATAAGAACAATAGGTAAAAGCTTCTCCGATGTACTACTAACTAAAACAAATGTTAAAAACATATTAAAAAAAAAATTTCTAACAAATCAATAATGGATGACTAAACCAATCACTAACTCTTTGATTCCTATGTGCGTGTGATCATATCAATCACGAAATCGTTGATTTAGACAAATCAACAACTCTTTGACCCCTTGTTTATCTATGTGTGTGATTTTTAGCAAGATCTTTACCCTCTTCATGATAAAATTTGAATAAAGATTTTTGGGATAATAATTGACCTTTTGAAATAATAATGACCCATCTGAGTTTCAGCCACAATGAAACTATATTGGTATGTGATGTGATAATTCCGTCATATACATTAAGTTTTTTATTTATTTTTAACACATGATTATATTATTATTTGCTTGACGTGAAAAACCAATGTAAGATGTGGAAATATTTTGGATGGCTTATTCCGAAGGACGACGACGACGACGACCTGGAAGGAGCTAAGAAGAAGAGTCTCTGAAAGTGAATCTACTGAATGAGCCGACAACAATTTTTGGAGAATAAGAAAATGAAAACAGAAATATCCAAAGACGTTATGTAGTACACTAGTAGTACTTGATACATTAATTAACAGGAACAAAAATGTTATGCATCATCGCAACAAAATAAAAGGAAAAAAGACATCTTCACTAAACAAAGAGTTTAACTAATAAGGACAGTTGGGAATATTGTTGTACACGATTTTTCAACAGAAGTCTAGAGTTTTTTCTTTTTGTTTATTTTTAGGGGGAATTATGTAGAACACCATATCTAGAAAAATTAAAAAAAAAAAAAAGAAAGAATAATTGTGTTATGCAAATAAAATACAAACCCAAAATTATAAATCTTACTTTTATTTTGATAATTTAGATGTCTTAAACAAATACTATATACCAATCAGAAAAACTTTATTGCTATATTAAAAAGAAAAGAAAAGTAACGCAATACATATATGTAATTTCCAAGTGGGTGTGCAATAAAAACTTTAATTAAATGATAAAATAAGATAAGCTGAACAAAAAGGGAAGAAGAAAAGTCGTGGGAGAGAACGCGTCCGCATTGGAGGACGCAGCCGGGATAATAATGTTAACAGTCACCGAGCAGTTCATATTTCCTTTACATCAAAGTCAAAATCATTCATAAAACCCGAATCTTCTTCCTTCTTTCTCTCTATCTCCATTCGTGTTTGCATCATTCATTCATCACATATCCCACACAAACACACAGATACAAAGGAATCGTCTCAAGGCTTTCTCAGAAATGGCTGGCAGTAATATTCTCCATAAGATGAAGGTACGCTATTACTGGCTCTTGATTCTTCTTTGTTTGTGGTATTACTCTGATTGATCTGATCTCGTTTTTAGTTCATTGAATCTCTGCTTTGAATTGGAGAATCAGTTTATCTGTTGCTGGCTATTTCTCTATTAGCAAAGTTTGAAACTTTTTTGGGGGAATCAAACAAAGGTTGAAGTGAGTGAGTTAGTAAGATTAATGAATGCAGCTTCGAGCTTGACCCTTTAGAAATTTATGATCTTTGGCGTTTCCTGCTCATGGGTATAACTGAATCTGCCGAAATTGGTCACACCTGTTAGTTTTATTGATAAAAACTCAAACTTGATTAGGTGGCTTTGTAATCTGGGAAAAGATTCTGTTGTGCTTATGGTTTTTTAATGGGCTTGATGACTCAGAGAATTTGGTTTGAAGAATCTATAGATAGACAGTGTTTTTGAGTCTTTTGAGTGATTGCAGTATTAACTCTATTGTTTTGCTGTGTGAAATATTAGTTAAAGGCTGGGTTCTGTGGATCCGCTCCTGATATGGGAAGAGGCAAAAGCAAGATGTGGAAGAACATCACACATGGTTTTCACTGTGTGAAAGGCAAGTCTAGCCATCCTATGGAGGATTATGTAGTCTCCGAATTCAAGAAACTTGAAGGTCATGAATTGGGTTTGTTTGCCATCTTTGATGGTCACTTGGGGCATGATGTGGCCAAATACTTGCAAACTAATCTCTTTGACAACATTCTAAAAGAGGTAGATCTTTAATTTGGTTAACAAATCTCTTTGGAGGCTAAAAGGCGAATTCTTTGTGAATGATTCTGACTGATCCATTTGTGTATTTTCAGAAGGATTTTTGGACTGACACGGAGAATGCTATAAGGAATGCATACAGATCGACAGATGCCGTGATATTGCAGCAATCCCTTAAGCTTGGTAAAGGCGGATCAACGGCTGTAACGGGAATTCTAATTGATGGTCAAAAGCTAGTTGTTGCTAATGTTGGAGATTCAAGAGCAGTGATGTCTAAGAATGGTGTTGCGCATCAGCTCTCAGTCGATCATGAACCAAGCAAGGAGAAAAAAGAAATAGAGAAACGAGGTGGCTTTGTATCAAATATTCCAGGTAAAGCTACCTTAATTTGTTGTGACTAGTTACGCCTTCAGTTTCTTTGGAATAGCAGATGCTGATATATATTTAACGTTGCAGGGGATGTTCCACGAGTGGATGGACAGTTAGCGGTTGCGAGAGCGTTTGGAGATAAGAGCTTGAAGATACATCTGAGCTCAGAACCAGACATAACACACCAGGCAATTGATGATCACACTGAATTCATCCTTTTTGCCAGTGATGGTATTTGGAAGGTAAGTCTAACGACTCGGTATCTTGCCCTGGTTCTATCCGTGGATTAGCTAGCCAGTTTATGGACTTGTTCTAAGATGATGGTCGATGTTGAACTGCAGGTATTATCGAACCAAGAAGCAGTTGATGCGATCAAGAGTATCAAAGACCCGCATGCAGCCGCAAAGCATTTGATAGAGGAAGCCATATCTAAGAAGAGCAAAGATGACATCTCCTGTATCGTTGTAAAGTTGCACTAGTCTCTTTCAAAGTGTTTTTTTTTTTAGTTGTCTATAAATTACCGTCAAGTTCATAAGATAGAGATATATATGCTCAAGCTGTGTCTATAAAAAAAAAAACCCAGTAATGTGGTTTCCCAGAAGATGTAATATATTATGTAAGCATGATTTTCTTCACAAATGAATGAAAAATAAGAAATCGCGACAGCCTTTAAATACAAAAACAAGAGATACTATTCATCTGCAAATCGTGTCTTCTTTGAGTCTCCCCCATGCTCTGCAAAAACAGAGAACCAATAGACAAATTATACCGTCAGCCTTTTTCTACAAAATACTTGCAATGGCACTTACATATACTTTATTGAAACTTACAAGCGCATGTGTGGTCTTTAGACATGGGGAAGCCAGAGGTGAAATGGCACTGGTCAGAGAGAGCCAAAGCGTCTGGCCTGAGTGGTTTGATGGCTGTTGTCAGAAACTCCATACAACGGCAAATCCTTCGCCTCTCCTTGACATTATTACGGCGGCTACTGAACCAATGGCAGCACTCGGCGGTGGGAGGAGATTCCTGATGGACGAAGAACATTTTACACTGCTCCGTAATCACGTTCGCCACGTAAAGACACTCCGGAGGCCAAGGACGGTACAGTGCATCGGCGGCTGTGACTGCAACAAGAAGACACGTCATCGCAAACACTAGTTTCATCATCATACTAGCAGCCAATGCACTGTTTTTTTTGTTTGTGTGAGTTGGTCTTCGTTATGTTATATCTACCTAACAAACGTAATCGTGACGAGCAATCTTAAATACTTTTAACAGAAAATTCAACTTGGTAACGCATGCGAGAGTTTTAATGCTCTTCTTCGGTAGCGTGCGAGAGCTATTTAAAGAAGGGACCAAACGGGTGATTAAAGCGTTTCTCGTATTTAATCAAATCGACCCATTGGGCCGGTTGGTTAAGCCGCGTGCGACCTAACCTTTTGTAACTAATTTTCTTTTAGCCAATTTAAATTGATGAATAGAGAAAGTGAGTCATAGAGTGATGTAAATACAACAACGTAAATAAGGAATTAGGGACTTGATCAATTTGTGAGATGAGGGTCGGATGACTAAAGTTAAATTCAGTTTTTAAACATGCTAGTGTATGTGTGTGAAGTTTCTGAATTATAAATGAAAATAAAAATTAATATAGAAATAAATCTGAACTTTCTTACATATTTGTGAGTTTTTGATATGCATAAAAACATTTCACAAACTTGAGTAATTGTTGGGGGGGGGGGGGGGGGGGGGGGGGTGGTTCAAAACTAAAAGTTTTTGAATAATTGTGTCGTTCTAATTAAACAGCCGTTTACAAGAGAAAACGAAATTTGGTTTTCCCAATACTGTTTAACCGAAGTTTACGTTTAAATCATTCAACGAAGGGTGATGAGCAAAAAAAACTTTCTCTCTCTTAGCACACTCTTCATCTTTCAGAGAGAGAAAGGAAGATTTCCGTTTTACCGGATTTTTTTGTTTGTAAAATATTAGCTTTGTCGGTCCTCCTTCCGATTGTAAATCGGATCTTTTGTTCCGGTTTAAGTCCGGATGTGCTTTCTCGCATCTTGCGAGCTATTTTGATCTCATTCCATTTGTTTTAATCTCGTCGATTTACCGTTTTTACTCTTATTTCTCTTTGATTCTCCAGTTAATCGAGGAGTAATATCTTCATCACTTTCCTTTGCTCATGACTTTAGAGCAATCAAAAAACTACATCGGTAAATTGTGTGTAGTTGGTGATGGAGCTTCCCGGGAGTTGGTGATTCTTAGAGAGATTTGAAGAAGTTTTTCATGTAAGATCCGGTGGTTTTTGACGATTCTATGAACGGAATAGAGATCGACAGAAGGGAAAAAGTTTACTTGTCGCACCACAGTTAATTCAAGACAGACGATCGGAACTTGGCGACGCTTGACGAAAGTTAACGGTGGTTCTAAGATGATAAGACGCGTGGCTACGTGAAGGATCTAGCTTCTACACGTGTACCTCTGAATCATTATTGCTTGTTTTATCTATCTACCGGACCTTATTACTTCGAGGGCAATTATGATTTAGTTGGGCTGTTGATTTTCGTTTTAATCATGTAACTGTATCCCTTCTTTATTAGCCTGTTGGGCTTTTCTTAATGAAACCTTTGGCCGACAAAAAAAAAAAAAAAAAATCATTCAACGAAGTTTTAGGTTGTTTTTTTAATAAAAAACAAGCTTAAATTCTTATGTAAACACATGAAAAGACTAAAAATTACAGATCATGAAAGTACTCAGGATAATATCAATCAATTATACAGAAAAAGAATACGTTAGAATAGTGAGAACATCAATGTACCTCGTAACTTGAAATGGACCGACCACTGGGGGGATCCAGTTGTTTTTTCTCGTGGACATCAGAAACATTTTCGAATCTCTTAAATAGTTCCAATTTTTTCTGACAAAAACTACATTTCGTTCTGTAAAACAATGTATCAAAATGCGATTGCCAAAAAAAAAAAAACAATGTATCAAGATGCTCTGATCTCTCATGTAACCCAAAATCGAAAAAGAAAAAAACATCAGTAGCCATTCTTCTATCTCTCACCACTAGTACTAAAATATACATTTCATTTCACGTGTTTATCGTTCTTTTTTTTTGTAAATCAAAAGATCCTTTCGTCGGCAGTGGTAATTTCTTTTCAGAAAAAGAGACCATACCTAAAACAGGAGCTATATGAATGAGATTGCCCATTTCATATTGAATGTCATGAAGAGATAAGTACGTACCCATTTTTTTGTTTGTCAGAAATACGTACCCATTTCAAAATTGAATATAATGAAGAGTCAGAAGAGATCGAGATATATATATACCAATAAGCTTTGTGCATATATATGAAAATGATAAACTAATCTATCTTTCATCTTTTTTTTTAGTTTGGAACACAATGCATCTATGTAATATCATATGACTCTTCTTTCACAAAAGAAAAATTTTCAAACCAAGAGAAAGAAGTTCAATCGGAACGATGAGTCAACACAAGAACCTGTTCGTTCCTTCATTTAAAACTGATCAAGAAGAGGAAGACGTTGAACGCAAGACGACCGGAAACGGAGGCGGCATCGGTGGTGACGTCTGGAAGTTCAAAGGCAACAAAGCGGCCAAGGGAGCGGCTAATGTCTCAATGAAAGGTACCCTTACTAGGTTATTCGACTGCTGCAGCAAAGACGTTAACAAGACCATTTTGCCTCTGGGTCACGGCGACCCTTCCGTCTACCGTTGCTTTCAAACTTCCGTTGATGCTGAGGACGCGGTGGTTGAATCCTTACGGTCTGGCGCCGCCAACTCTTACGCCCCGGGGGTCGGTATTTTACCGGCCAGGAGGTAATTAGTTTCTAGCTATTTGTTTCCACATTAAATATATATTGTAAAGGTATCAATATACTGAACTGTATATGATGAAAAAGTTTAACGAATTTCTATATGTTTAGGTGATTATGTACTTATAAGTTATAACACAACTTATGCCTTGTGTTTGCATGTGCTTGTATATCCAGTGCTAGATTAATTTTCCAAATTTTATTACAATAATTCTATTATATTCACTGTAACATGTGAAACTATGCTCATATTAATTTAGGGCGGTTGCAAATTATCTGAACCGGGACCTTCCTCATAAGATGAAATCAGATGACATATTTATAACGGTGGGGTGTTGCCAAGGGATAGAGACAATGATCCATGCCCTCGCCCGACCCAAGGCCAATATCGTTCTCCCAACTCTAATTTATCCCCTATACCACAGTCACGCAATCCATAGCCTAGTCGAGATTCGCAAGTATAATCTCCTTCCCGATCTAGACTGGGAGATAGATCTTCAAGGCGTCGAGGCCATCGCAGATGAAAACACCATTGCCCTGGTGATAATTAATCCTCACAACCCATGTGGAAATGTCTACACATATGAACATCTAAAGAAGGTACGTGAATGACGCTATACTAACTTAGGATTTAGGAAACTATCTTTCAACAAAACTTTTGTTATGTACATTTTATTATGACATGTAGGTGGCTGAGATGGCGAGAAAGCTAGGAATAATGGTCATTTCTGATGAAGTTTATAACAAAACTATTTATGGTGAGAATAAATTTGTCCCCATGGGTATATTTTCATCTATTGCCCCTGTGGTTACACTCGGGTCCATATCCAAGGGATGGTTCGTTCCCGGCTGGCGAATTGGCTGGATCGCAATGAATGATCCTGACAACGTTTTCAAAACTACCGGGGTCAGTTTTATCTCTTAACCATCACAAGTTATTTGTAGTAAACATCGTCCTATTATATTGGACATGGGAAAACACTTTGTAGACCTGAGTATCTTTGAACATCAAACTGTTAGGATAGAAATATATGTTCTATATTCCTGTTCTAACACAAACAATACTTTGTTGTCAATAGGTCGTTGAATCCATCAAGGAACATCTCGACATAAGTCCAGATCCATCAACAATTCTACAGGTTTGGCTTATATGATACGTAATGTTCAGTGACACATGCATGCACAAAGATGCAATGACTTACGTGGTGTATATATGCAATAGAGCTAATGTGTTGCCATGTTTAATTTGAAGTTTGCACTTCCAAACATCTTGGAGAAGACAAAGAAAGATTTCTTCGACAAAAGTAACTTAATCCTGAGTCAAAACGTAGATTTGGCGTTCGATGCTCTCAAGGACATTCCTTGCCTCACCTGCCCCAAGAAACCCGAGTCGTGTACTTACTTAGTGGTACCAATTTCAACCTATCTTTAATTTACACACTTTTAGATATAAACGCAAACTAACAAATAAACCTTCTCTTTGTTTCGGCTATAATCTATATGCACGCCTAGAGATATATGATAGCGTTTGTATAAACTTTTATGTTAAACTATTATGTTACATATCCATGTGTTAACAAATGAAACTAACATCAGTAATAAGACCCTACAACAAAAATCACATATATAAGAGAATTTTCATTAAACCTAACGTAGATCATATATATTGCAGACAAAATTGGATATATCCCTCTTAGAAGACATCACGGATGATTTTGATTTCTGCATGAAGCTAGCCCGAGAGCAGAATCTCGTCCTTCTACCTGGTAATCAATATTATTTACACTGTAATCAATATTTCTATAAAATGTAAGGGACATATGGGCTGATTTGATTATGAACATAATGCAGGGGAGGTATTAGGACTAAAGAATTGGGTGAGATTCTCGATAGGAGTGGAGAGGTCGATGCTAGAAGACGCTTTCGTGAGGCTCAAAGGCTTCTACGCTCGCCATGTTAAAACACAACTCACTTAAAAGAGAACTCAGCATCAATAACACTATATATGTATTTTGTATTTCTCATGTTTCGTTTTCCTTTTGATTGTGTTTGAATCTTTAAGGTTAACTGTGTTCGTGTCAGCGTGTGAAAGCTGATACGTTGGAAGTCGGGACGTCGTTTTAGGCGGAGTATCAAAGAAACAGAAAAATGATGGCGCAAGCTTTTTCTTAAAGTAAAGAAGAAAAAAAGATGGTGGCGCAAGCCGCAATGGAGTATAATAAATTTTAAAATATTGGATTTGGGGTTGGTGATATAGAATATGTGAGTATAAAATATATATTTAAAATACAAATTCACAGTCAATTTCAGAAAAAGATATCTAAGTTTCAGTTTTATATTTACCCTAAAAGTTTTTAGAAAAAAAAAATTATTCATCAACCTTTATGATGCTTTTCGTAAATATTATGTCTATTTCAAAGTAATAATATTATTCATCTTTAATATAATATGATGTTGCAGCTTATACAGGAATGGAAAGATTAGTGCAATACTTAATCAAGTAATTTAAGAAAACGGTCATTTGTAAATACACCAAATTAATATTCTCACGTTTCATAAGTCGTCTTCTTCCAAAATTCTGTTTTTATTTCGAACGACGGCAATTTCACGTTAATAAAACATTTTTTTTATTATATTGGTCACGCACGTCATGTAAAGCTAATCATTCAAGGGTAATAGCAAAAAAAAAAAAAAAAAAAAAAAAAAAAAAAAATAGCAAAATACAACAACAGACGATTGGGAAATTAAGATATAGCAAAATATATAGCCATGCAGTTTCGGTTTCGGCGAAGTATTTGACTCTTGACCAAGTATTCATCAAGATGAACATAACGTGACGGAGTTAAAACAGAGTGGAAGTTTTATTTCCAGGAAGACCAAGTCGAAGACATGATGTTAGCAATTAAACGTATCCATTACTTATTGTTTATAGTAATATTATATTGTTAGCCATAATTATAAGGTGTAAGATTTAACATATCTGATAAATTATTATTTATATAAATTTTCCATATTTATTAGGTAACATATAAATTAGCACATTAATCAAGTATTGGATCACGATAATTATATGTATAATACATAATATATGAATTTAGCTTCAGTCGATATTCTGACTTATAAACAGAGTGGCTAAATAAATGTAACAGTGTGTTAATAGATCACTACACCTAGGCATGTCAATTAGGGCTAAAGCCCGCGAGCTAGTTTGGCTCGACCCTAAAAAATATCGGGATCGGGATTAAATATATATGTCCAGAAAAAATTGGGCCTTTTGGGCTAAGCCCATTCGGGTTAAAGAGTTTTTGGGCTTACTCCAGTCGGGCTCGGGCCAGCCCGAAAAGCCCTTATACAAATATATTTTGAATTTTTTGAATATTTTAGTTTGATTAAAAGATTTGATTAATGTTATAGTTTTCATATTTACTTACTAGTCTTACTTATTACTTTTAAAATCTTTATACAAAGCTAAAACTAAATATATATAAGTATCATGATTTTGAAATCATCAAAATATCTATTAAATTTTTACTCTATCTTATACTTTAAAGTATTTTAGTTCTATGTTTTATTGGGTTAAAGTGTAAATAATTTATTTGGCTTCTATTTTTTCTCTTAAATTAAGTTAGTTTTATTGAATATTGATAAGTTATTTAAAATTTGATGCATTATTTTTATAGTAGACCTTTAAATATAGTTTTTAAAAAACTATTATGAACTTAGAAATTGATTTTTTATCGGTAAATAAAGCCCAAAAATCCCGAAAACCCCTGTAGCCCTGTTAGGGCCGGGCCGGACTTTAAAATATAGGCTCGGAAATTTTTCGGACCGGACCGGACCAGACTCACATATATGAGGGCTTTACTGGTTTCGGGCCGGGCCGGGCCGGGGCGGGCTAGCCCGATTGACATGCCTAACTACACCACATTTTTCAGTTTCACTGACTGATCTTGATTTTATAAAACATTTTTTTCAAGATTTTGATAGCTCAATTAAAGATGTAATTACACGTTGATATGTATATTATATAATATATTTAATTTTTATTAATCTAATATTAATGTCGTGTGGTATACATTATATCTTACCACGCTAATATAAATATTTTATATCATCGAAATTGTTATATATGAAAATTGTTTCTAATCAATAGCATCTTCAATAATGAAAAATCATTGTGGTAGAAACACATTTTCTTTTTATTACTTAATCCAAAATCATCAAATTAAAAATTTAATAAAATGGTCAACTATGTAAATGTATATAATATAACCCTTCGTTCAAAGTCTATAATTCAAGTTCAAAGGTTTTTTTCTTTTTTATGGGTGAAAAGTTCAAAGGTACGTAAAGTCTGCTACCGCAGTTTCCTTTAGTCAAAGTCTACACTTAATCGTTATTATTATTTTAACACTAACGAGTTTCCGATTATTATTTAATCCTTCGTCCTCCTCTATAAATACGTTTCTTGGCATCTCCATCATATATATCAATCATATAACGACGACCACATTTCAAAAATCTACATAATACTCTTCCAGCTCATTTATTAACCAATGGACCGAAACAGCTACCTCCTACTTCCTACCCTTCAAACCGAGACGCAGACGCAAGATGAGAACGATATCAGCGTTTGGCGTTTCAGGGGAAGCGACAACGCAACGAAAGCCTCCAGCGTCACCATGAGAGTCATATGCTTCAAGCTCTTCGCTGAATGCAGCCCGGACGTTGGAAAGGTTCTTTTACCCCTTGCACACGGCGACCCTTCTGTGTACCCTTGCTACCGCACCTCCATCCACGCCGAGGACGCCATTGTCGACGTCATCCGCTCCGGTAAGGGTAACTCTTACGGCCCCGCCGCCGGAATTCTCCCCGCTAGACAGTAAGCTTCTTTCTCCCTTTTCATAAGATAGAGCGGTCTACTCTGTTTCACCCACGGCAAAACCTAAGTATTTTTCATGGAACGTTTTGTTACTCAGGGCGGTTGCTGATTACGTAAACCGAGACTTGACAAACAAGGTAAAGGCTAATGATGTACTCATAACTGTCGGATGCAACCAAGGGATAGAAGTAGTGCTTCAATCGCTGGCTCGACCAAATGCTAACATCCTTCTCCCACGGCCTAGTTTCCCTCACTATGAGGCTCGTGCCCTCTTTAGTGGACTCGAGGTCCGCAAGTTCGATCTTCTCCCGGAGAAAGAATGGGAGATTGATATCCCAGGCATCGAAGCAATTTCAGACGAGAACACTGTGGCAATGGTTGTCATAAACCCTAACAACCCCTGTGGAAATGTTTACTCTTACGATCATCTTAAGAAGGTAATTACAACTAGTTTTTGACTTGTGAGAGACTTGGAAAAATGGTGCTGATGAATGAAACTTTTATAGGTGGCAGAGACAGCTCGGAAGCTAGGAATAATGGTGATCACAGACGAAGTGTATTGCGAAACAATCTTCGGAGACAAACAATTTGTTCCAATGGGAACGTTTTCATCGATAGCTCCGATTATCACTTTGGGTGGTATATCGAAAGGATGGGTTGTTCCTGGTTGGAGAATCGGCTGGATCGCTATGAACGATCCCAAAGGCATTTTCAAGTCCACAGGGGTCTGATTTTCTGAACCGATTTATCATTATAGATAGGATTATTATAGCTTCTGTTTCAAGTAATCACTCTGTTTTTTCTTCTTCTTGTAACAGATGATACAGTCCATCCAACAAAATCTTGATATAGTTCCAGATGCTACAACCATAGTTCAGGCTGCACTTCCCGAGATTCTAGGGAAAGCAAATAAAGAGACGTTTGCTAAGAAGAATTCAATGTTGAAACAGAACTTGGAATTGGTCTGTGATAGGCTCAAGGACATTCCTTGCTTGGTCTGCAAAAAGAAACCTGACTCATGCACTTACTTACTGGTACCACCACCAACGTCAGTAATACTCATTTCATGATTCTTGATCGATTTGTATAACAAATGCCATGATTAAACTGCAGACGAAGCTAGAGCTCTCATTATTGGAGGACATCGAAGACGACATGGATTTCTGTATGAAGCTAGCCAAAGAAGAAAACCTCGTCTTACTACCAGGTAATCACAATCAATGAGTACATAAACGTGAATCTTGAAAATGATTTGTTTCAAAGTTTGAAGATATTGAAACATTTCTTTGGTGTTGCAGGAGTGGCTTTGGGAATGGAGAACTGGGTGAGGATAACAATCGGAGTAGAAGCTCAGATGCTGGAAGATGCGCTTGAGAGGCTCAATGGCTTCTACAAACGCCATCTCAAGAAAACAGAGTTTTCTTTTGCAGCTTTGAAGCTAAGCAGCGACAATGGCAAAATGTAAACTACTCATCATCTACAGAGACTATACACAACAAACCAAATTAAAGCTGTGATTTTTGTGCTGTATAATTATAAACAATCCCAAAGAGGGTTTTGCTTAATCATAGCATTTTAATTACAAAACTAGTATCTTGTTTATATCTGATTCAAGTAGAAAAGAATCAAAAGATCCAATGATTAAAGTTACAATTACCGTTAAAAGAGACGTTAACGGACCCACTTTGCCGCCGTTAACTTTCAAATAAGCTAAAGATTGTCTTTTTCTTTCTTCTTCCTCATCAACGGCTCTCTCATCCACTGTTGCCGGAAACAAAAGCTGAGAACTTTCAACAGACCCCAAAAAAAGAAGCTTAGCTTGTCGGAGCAAGAATCCCCAAATCTTATCTTCAAGAACCCTAATAAATTCCCAGAGATTCCTCTCATTTAATCACTCAGATTCGAAAAATCATCCCTTTTTTCAGATAATGGACACTATACCTCCTTCCCTCCGTTCGAACCCTAGATCCGCATCGCGTCTCGCTCGAAACAACAACACTCTCGTCAAATCGCATATTCCATCTCTCGATTTGGTTGTCTCGTCTCCGAAGAGCAACGGTACTCCTTACCCATCACCTATTTCCCTCAATTCACCATCTTCTCCTGTCACTCTTCGCGAAATCCTCCTCTTATCTCCTTCTCCTCTCCGTAAATCGAGAACCCGTTTGAGCAATCGTTTTGATATGGAAGCTACGGAGGCTGCTGCGGTGGCACGGCGATGTAGGACTAAGGGAGGGCAAAATGGTCTTTCGGGTTGTGCCTCGCCGAGGAATTGCCGGAGATCGAGACGAAGGTCGGGGGTGATGGTTGAAACGAAGGAAGATAATAAGGAACCTATTGTTGGCTTGATTGATGAGAAAACTCAGACACCGAGAAAACATAAGAAGACGGGTCGATCTAAGAAGGAGAAGCAAAATTCTGTTCCTGTGATACCTTCTCCATGCCAATCTTCAAATCTAATAAGTAGGTCCTTTTATTTTGCAAAATGAGTTCACTCTCTTGTTCTACTATGAATGCTTTGCTCAGTAGTTGTGTTATGGCTTCGTAATTCAGATAAAGATGTTAGCCAAGGTGATTTGGAGCGGATTAGAGAGAATATAAGCGATTTGATCATGTGGAGCGATGTTGCAAAATCAACACTCTGGTTCGGTTTCGGATGTATATGTTTCATGTCTTCTTGCTTTGCTGCTAAAGGATTTAACTTTAGGTACATTGATTTATATTATCATGATTTATCTTTCTAGCTTCAATTATTTGTCACATTCAAGGAAATTTTGTTGGTTTGAAGTGTTTTTTCAGCGATCTCCTATCTTGGACTCTTGTTTCTTGGGGTATCGTTCCTGTCAAACACTCTTCGCCAAAGGTACAAACTCTTAAGATCCCGGTACATATCAAAAATTAGCTTGTACTAAAGTTTTTAAATCCATTTGTTACCTTCAAGGGCAACCGAAGAAGCGCGGAGAGAGCTCAAGTTGAGTGAAGAGGATGTCTTACGAATAGCAAGACGAATGCTTCCCATCACCAATTTAGCGATTTCAAAGACGAGCGAGCTTTTCTCTGGCGAACCTGCAATGACACTCAAGGTAGGATTTACAAAGTTTCACCATTCTCATAAAAAATATTCTCTAATGAATATGTCTAGTCTTCTTATTCGGTTTTTACTTTGATTTCAGGTGGCACCTTTTGTTCTAATGGGAGCTGAGTATGGTTACCTCATAACATTGTGGAGGTTATGTGCTTTTGGTATGATTACTGGAACACTAAATCTCAATGTCAACAATACTCCAACGAAATCTAATTGGTATTCTTGTAGTTGAATATACTAGAACTGACCATAGTTGGATAAACAGGTTTCTTCCTAAGCTTCACAGTTCCAAAGCTATATTCATGTTATGCTAGTCAGATTAATCGTCAAGGTAAAATCCATTTGAACAGACTGTAAACTGCTCTTTGGTGTGTCCAATCCAATGACAAAAACGGATCTTTGCTTTGTGTAGTTGAAAGTGCACAAAAGAGAATAGTTGAAGCTTGGGGAATTTGCACACACAAGAAGTTTGTGGCAGGCTCTGCAGTTACTGCATTCTGGAACCTAACCAGTCTCAAGACCCGTTTCATAGCAGTGTTTATCATAGTGGTTGTAATCAGATACAGACGGCAGAATCTCCAGTTAGATACCATTGAAGTGGAGAAGCATCAAGAAGTAACTCATCATGAGCAACTAAAATCGCCGGAGGAAAAGTCACCTTCACCGCCGCGGCCAACAGAAGAAGAAGAGCAAGCGATGGTGGTGGTTGTTGCAGAAACTGAAGCACCAAAGAAAGCTTTAGATTAGTGTCTCTTCACGTTTTCAAATTAGCTGTATGACTTTTGTTACATTAATGTCTAATAAAGGATAAATTAATAGCTTTAATCCATATGAAAAATATCAAATAAGAAATCGACACGTGACAAAGTTCATGATACCGAGAAGCAGGTGATTAAAACTCTCGTCAGTCTCGGGAGTGAGCAGAGCACATCGTCGTCTTTCTTTATAAACCCTAAAATCCCATTTTGGTCTCTCCCAAAAGGTTTTTTTTTTCTTTCGATTCCAGCAATTAGGGCGAACGCGAAATCTGGGTTTTGTAATCTGAGCGATGGCGACTACAGGAAATGCAGCAGTTGCGACGGGAACGTCGACGGTGAAGAGAAAGCCAGTGTTTGTGAAGGTGGAACAGCTAAAGCCTGGAACGACTGGTCACACGTTGACTGTTAAGGTCATTGATGCTAGTACCGTGGTTCCTGTTACCCGTAAGCCTCGTACTGCGAATTCTCTGAGTAGGCCGTCTCAGCCCAGTCGAATCGTTGAGTGTCTCATCGGAGACGAAACTGGATGTATCCTCTTCACTGCTCGTAACGACCAAGGTTACTCACTCTTTTCTTTTGCTCTTAGGATATAGATATGGCATATTATAGTTTGTTGGAGAGATATAGTTTGATCCTTTGTTGTTTACTGGTTTGTCTTCGTCAGTATTTGTTTTCATTTTTTATATATTTTTGAGCAAATGGTAAAATGTGTTCTGCTAGTCTTTATGATGGATGATGCATCAGCTATTCTGCATCAGCTATTCTTGTATCTGAAAATGGGAATTTATTTATGTCAATTTCTGGAAAGAGTGTGAAAAGCTATCATTGTGACTGAAAATGGAAATGAATGTATGGTATTACTGTGAAAATCTGTTCAAGCCTGGTATCATTTAGTGATGTCTGTGTAGCTTATGCAATTGAAAGACGTCTTAGCTTAAATTTGACCTTGCCTTTAGTAAAGGTGAAACTTGCTTGGTCATATGTTGAGTTATGTTCAGTTGAATGCTCTACATTATCTCCCAAAACTTTCATAGCTTTTCCTGTAGAATAGCTAGTGTTGTACCAGTTATTGTATAATTACTCTGGCCTACTGATTACATTGATTATGGTACTGAACTACTGATTCTTTTCTTTGTGTATAGTTGATCTTATGAAGCCAGGGGCAACGGTGATTCTGCGCAATTCAAGGATAGACATGTTCAAGGGTACAATGAGGCTAGGAGTGGATAAATGGGGGCGCATCGAAGTCACTGAACCGGCGTCTTTCACAGTCAAGGAGGATAACAATCTGTCTCTTGTTGAGTATGAACTGATCAATGTTGGTGATCAGTGATCTTTTTAGTCTGTTTATGGAAGTTTAACCCCTGAGTGTGTTGGGTTCTGATTTTTCTACCGTGAAGGTCTTTGATTTAGATTATGAAGATTGTATGACTGGTCCAGAGATGCTTGTAGGAATGCTTCCTTTTTTTTACCCTAAAATATGCGGTCAGGATCTTGCTCTGGAAAACTATTTGAGTCTACGGTATTGTGATTGTTTCTTTTAATTTGTGTTGATGTAAGTTAAAAGACCACTGTGAGCTAGTTCACTATTTAATACAGTAAAATAAGATTTTTCATTCCCAAACTTTCCTTATATCTATCGTCTTGCATTGCATATTACCCGTATGTTTGTTTACACTCTCTAAAGCTCTTTATAGAGCCAGTTATGCACTTCATTGTATATCTCATATTCTCATCTATAGTTAATGGCATTGTCAAGAGAAACTGTAAGCACATAAAATCAAATTATTACTTTAAGATCAGCTTTAAAACACCCAAAAGGAGTAATTCATGAACACAATGGTTAGTGAAGCTAAAAAACCCGACATGGGCATAACATATAGCAGAGGTTCCTAACCTTACCCTCACTATACCAACAAAATCACCTAACGTATCTTTTTCCGTGATACGAACAAAAAGAAGAAGATTAAACTCACTCCACTTCCTTGATAATCCTTCTTTGGCGCAGAGGTTTTGTGACAATTGTTCCTGGTGCACTGTGAGCTTTCCTTCGCTCTTCTTTTCTTCTCTTTGAATCGTTCACAGCTCGGATGACCCCCAATGCTTTGTATATTGGTTTTGGCAAGTGCCTGTGTCTGTATTTCACAATATCCAAAACGTTACCATGTTACTACGGTTATCTTTTGACAATCTCCAAAGTTAGAAACATGAGATAAAACTACAGTTTTTTTTTGTCATGTACCTCACAATGCGCTTGACCTCAGGAAGATGCTTGTACCGGTTCTTCACAGCCTCATTGTACTCATGCTTCTTCTGTTCCCTTGGAAGAATCTGTAACACAAATCACCAGTCAACGTTGAGAATCACCGTTCCTAAGTTGAAAATATTTAAGAGAGCATGTACAAGTAATATCTCATGGTTTAGCATATGCAGTAATACACTATTGAATCCATGGTTTAGCCTACAGTAACTTTTCTTCGGTTTTTGTTTTGTCTAAATTAATCTAATGCTAGTGAGTGTAACAAGAAAATTCACAAAATCTTACAACTCCCAATTGTTCTGATGCTTTTGCCTTCCATAGCCTGAGATTGGTATCATCACTGCCTGATATTACATATGTAGCATCACAGCTATACTTGACACAGAATACTCTACAAGAAGATAGCAATAAAATATAAAATTAGCCTAAAACAAATTCATAAGGTGGTACACCAGAATATCTGAATTTCAAATATATACAGAGTTGTTCACTAGATCGTACCTCTGCATCCTCTTTGTATGGTAAATTTCCCTGCTGTGCCCTCCATTGTATGGGAAGATTCTCACCGATCGATCATAAGAACCCGTAACAAATTCACGACCAGTTGGTGAAAAATCAATATCCATCCTGTATAAATGATGAAATTAGATCAATATTATAGCTTGTTAATATATTATATCTGATAGTTGGGATTTATCCTTCTTCACTCTTACACTGCAGAAACATGATCTTTATGCACGCACTTGGCTTCGTCCAACTTTCTACCATCAAAGCTATAGCAATTACCATCTTCATTAGCCTATTCAGTTTACCATGGGTTGAAATTAGCACGTAAGCAAAAACCAAATGTTAACTCATCAGAGAACATTTCACATTATGATTATCACTTACAGCTGTCAGGTTCATAGGCTCCATGGGGTTCCATGCAATTGAATTTGTTTTTGTCTGCCAAACAAAAAGCAATTTGCAGACCACAGTTGCAATTTTTAGTTTGAAGAGTAAAAATGAATTCATATGACGAGAATGGCTGAACAAGTTACAACTATACCATCATGATGATTCTCCTTGCTGCAGAAGACATGCGGAGATCATATATGGTTATGCTGCGGTCACTGGAAGAAGAGAAATCCTCTTATAATGTTAGAGAAAGCTCTGCAAGGTCTAGCACAGACAATCACATAACATATAAAAGTATAAAGTAGAAAGTAGAAAGTAGAAAGTATATTACCTAGCAGATGTAGCCAATATATCAGGCTCTCCGGGATTAAACCGGACAGATATTACAGAGTCCGTTCCCCACTGGAAACTCTGAACTGGCTGAGCCCTAATTACAACAAGGTACAACCTTAAGTACTACTTAAAATAAATTAAAACATGCACCAAAAATTCTATCAGCAGGAGCCTGAGTACCTATTGTGATTCCATATATCCAGTTGAGCACCAGCCGTAGCAAAAAGGTCACCTTCAAACTGATGATCAACAGCCCTAGAAATAAGTAAAAACAAAAAAAAGTAGCTCAAGTTTTTTTGGACCGATAGAATCATGAGAAATTGAATGAAGTGTAAGAAGTCTACCAGAAAGCATTCTTCCAGACATATTCTGCAGATGGCTGAAAATAAGTGTAATAAGCTTGTTGTTATATAAGGTAAGAGCAAGCACATGATAATACAATATTACAAACAAAAAAAAAGAATTTTACAAGAACTACCTTAATGATATTTTCAGATGAAACGCTAGAATCTTCAAGTGTAGGACGAGGAACATTCCACAAACGAACACTGCAGAAATCCATTCACCTTAGTTTGACGGCCTAAAATCTGATCAACGACTGGAAAATTTAAAACAATTAAATCCTTATCATATCTTACGTGCAATCAGTTCCACATGAAACCAGTACATTGCCATCAGTGGACGCTGTAAGACCACGCACAGCACCTTGATGACCAGGGAATTGGCAAACTGTACGCCTGCATGTTCCAAATTCCAGAGTTCATTCACCAAAACACAAAACATAGAAATTAAAAACAGAAAAAAACTAAATGAAGATCAAATTAGTTCAGAAGAGAATTAGTTTTCAAGATTTTAACCTTGAAGAGATATCCCAAAGGCGAATATCTGCAGAGAAGAAAGAGAAAGATAGTATCAATTACATAATTTGCTAGTGCCAGTTACAGCAAACTAAAAATGACCAAACTTTGAGCACTATCCCTATACTTTAATGCTACAACAGTACAACTAATCCATATATAAACCAAGTAATCACCATATAGATTCCTGCAATATCTATTGAATCCCTTTCCATAGATCTTATCATCATCAAAGTTTCAAAAAAGTGTTAAAACTTGGAGAAGAAAACAAGAGGTAATATACTTACCTCCATCCATAGAAGCTGAGAAGATTCCCTTGAGGTAATTCGGGTTCTTCGCCATACACGAGACTCCATCACGATGACCATCCATTGCTCCTATAAACGGCCTTGCAAATATCTACAGAACAAGGAAAAAACAGATGCAAATTTGAGAAATTGTTCCAAAACCAATCAATACAACTCCACAATGAAACTTCAAAAAAAATTAAAACAAAGGAACAAAATTTGAAGGGAGGTAATTGCAAATAGTTACCTTTTCTAATTTGGCAGCTTTAAGAGCTCTCTGGTATTCCACAGCCTTCTCCATGGGTCGAAGACTTGGGTCGAAGTTGTGAAAGACCCTCTGGAATCACATAAATTGATTAGAATATGTATAGACACTGAATCCTAAGGTTTTTTATTGGTATGCAAAAGTTACCTGAAGATCCTGACTTCTTTCTCGGGTGAATTCATCACTCGATCTCGATAACGTCTTAATCCTCATTGTATACGATTAGAAAAGAAGGTCACGGCGAATACTATTGGGGGGAGAGACTTGAGTGACTGAGAGATATCGTTCCAGACAGCGAAACACTAAACCTAGAGGAAGGGTTTTGGGAGAGGAGATGAAGCAGACGAAAAAGCTTTGGAAGGTTTATGTGATGGGCTTAATTAGACAATAATTTATGTCTTAATGGGCCGTTTTACTATGATGGCCCAAAACCATCACAAAAGCTAATGTCAACCCCAAATTGCAAAAGTAATTCTTTTTTTTCTTTTTCTTTAAATAACAGAAATTAATTGCATTTTCGAAGAACAAGATATTATTATTTCAATGAATGAAGGATCCGTATTCAATTAACTGGTTGGTGTTTCATAAGATTTTCTCAAAAGTAAACCTCTTTAAGATCACTAACTAGAGTACTATGATCGATTCAGTATAATTGATTATAAACTATAATCTATTTTGACCCGATCCGAAGACACAGTAAATAAAACTCAGCAGAATATTCATTCAGCTTACCCAAAATACATGAGGGTTGAATTTTGTTGTACTACAATATATATAGGACTTTTTTTTACTTAGTATTAGTTTGGTAGGAGTAGCACAAGACTATCCCCTTGAATTTGTTGGACAGTCAACATTCGCATGTTTTGAATATCAATGTTTCTTAAAATTAAACAGTCTTTAGATATCACTTTTCAAATAGATATGCTTGTATGACTACAAGCTAGCTAGTATATTGAACCAAAAATCACTTGAGAATTCCAAGTTTTTTTAAAACTGAATAAACCTACCTACCTACCAAACACTTGTCTACTTGGTTCTTTAATTCGTTTGTATATCAGTATATATTTTAATTTCTTCATCACTAATACCTACTAGCTAACACAACTGATACGCAATTAATTTATATTACATTAACTTGAAATGTATTATTTTACAATACATTATCCCCATTACCTAAACTGATAAGAGAATTATCTAGGTGAAATTGTGAATTGGTCCTCTCTGCAGTACTTTAATTAGTCAATCTTGATTTACGCGTGAAGTTTTTCAAAACTCAACCAGGACTTTTCGAAACAAAAATCAAAGTTTTATATGTTTGTTTATGGTGATATATATATAAATCCTGTAATTCATATATAAATGAATAAATTAAAGTAAAAATTATATTCTTATCAGTAAAAATATATTAGAACTAATCTTAATACAGCTATAGTACTATTAAAAACGATGAATACGATAAAACAGCACGTTGGTAACTTGGTAGTTGTTAGCTTTTATAGTATTTTTGAATAATAATAGTAACCGCGTAAAACAACAACTCCGCTGTATTTGGTATACTTTATTTTACAAAAAAAAACTCGCATTGACTAAACTAAAAAAACTCCACACAGTGACACCAAAATGGGGGAGGACATAAATGTAAGTTCACGTAAGTGTTTAGGAGGCGGAGCGACCCGTTCAAGTCATAATACTTGGTCAACACGCGAAATCGTGAGCTAGCGCGGGGAAAATCCGACCTAAAGTGATGAACTCTCGAGTCATGAATCATCATGACCGCTTCCTTGTTACTATGTATATATATACATACTCCTACTCCCTCTTATTTATCATTTTATTCCCACATATCCATATCTCCTATAGAGTCTTCTTTCCATAACCAAACCAAACAAAAAAACTTCTCCTTTTTGGTAATACTTTGTCGGTACAAACTTAAAAGAAGAGAAAGCAAAATAAAAATGAGAAGAGTTAGTTGGTCTACTGTTTTGATTGTGGTGGTGATGGTGGCGTTTTTTGTTGTAGAACAGGCTTCTGCGGGGAGGGTTCTAACGGAAAGATCTGAGAACGGAACGGTGGAGAAGATGAAGTCGACGGTTGATTCGTGGTTTCAGCGGTTGGCGTCCGGTCCGAGTCCAAGAGGTCGTGGCCATTAAATTACTTTCTTTTTTCTTCCTTTTGGTTGGACATACATATACCGGCCTGAACAAACAGTGAAAACTGTATTCCATTCATTTGTTTCTTTATTTATTGTTTTTTTTTCTGAGTTCTTTAGGCAAACTTCACATACTATTTTGTGACAGAAGCTAAAATATACATGTACATGATTTTACCTTTGTTGGTCGCTGCTAATTTTTAATAAGATTTTATACTTCTGGTTTTACGATACGAGAGAGTTATTTTTGTGGGTAGTTGGGAACGAAATTATGTAAACAGAAAAGAAAAAGACAGAAGGGGGGAAACGAGTGAGTCGTGCACGCCATATATGTAATATGTAGCCGGCTAGGTCACCTTTCTTCATTTTATTATATTACTTGAGCTTTTGCCAAATCCTCAAGACAACGAGAGGAGCCTTTGCTAAACTGAAGTTGGAGTACAAAGCATGAGATTTAAGTTTTTCCTGGCAGCAAACCAAAGAGCACTATGCCCAAGCTTACTTTATTTCCTCCTTTTATAGGGAATAAGAACTATTAACAAGTAGATGATTTCAAGGACAGGTTAAAGATTTTGGATTTCAAAACTTATCCATCTATATAATAGAATGATGTTAAAAGTGCACAAAAAGTTCCTAGTTGACGCAGTGAAGCGGTTTTTCTTTTTGAAAAGGAAAGATTGTGAACCATTTCCTTGTAACAGACGCGAATTAACTAAGAAAGAAAAAAACTGACTGTGCACATAAAACCACAGTGAAAGTATTTAAAGGCTCTCTTTCTTTCATATGCTCGCACTTCCAACTTTGGATTCACTCTTCTCTGTAGTCTGGATTTTCCTTCAATATGATGAAACCTTCTAATATGGGCGACAACGGTATGTACCTGTAAACCCAAAAAACAAAACCAGATTTTTTGAGATTCCGAAATGTAACACACAGTTTTGTTTTGAGTATGATAATGTAACACACGGGCTTTAGAGGAACAACATACTTCTCGGTTGCGAGCTCGGCTCTCTCCCCAGCAGCAAGGAGAACAGGTGTCGAGTGTGTTTGGAACCCAGTGATTGTCTTCGGTCGACCCGCCTGTCCAACCACATCAACTGCTTGTCCTACCCGCACTGGCACCGAGATAGGCTTCAGGTTCTCATCCACTGTAAGCATCATCCTTGGCTGCACACTCAAACCGCATTGTGTCAGTAGATAAACACTGTTTAGTCCATTACAAAAAAGTCATGGATAGAACATTGCACTCACCTGCATCGCCAAAATAATGAAGTAGAGCACATAGTGGAATTTCCCCAATATGATGGATCTCATGTCAAGGCATGCATGCAACAATGTCACTATACCAGCAAGAGCAGTTCTGGGTACAAAACACAACACCCATGTTACGGATTCACAGGGTGGAACTTTGAAAGCCAAGTATTCATAAAATATACGCTACCACTTACGGCGATAGCAATAGCCGTTCAGAGTGGAAAGGACTGAGAGTTAATAGACCCTTTCCCATATGCACAAACCCTTGAGCAATACGCACCTGCATTAGGACGTAACACAATGAGAACAAACCTAGAGTAAGTTGAACTTATGTTTCTTGCATGGGAAAAAAATATTAAAAATAACACATTACACAGAAGAGAAGGCTGGCATCCTTGTAATAATAGCTGGAGAGATTTCTAAGCATGCCAGCTATCCTTGCATTGTTGGTTCCAGCGCCTATCAAACCAAGGGAGATAATGGCTGCCTGTAGGATCAGATGAAACATCAATCCACGCCACATAGCAAGTCAATGAAATAACTACTAACCCAACCATGAGTGGCAAAAAGCTAACTCACCGTAGCAACCTCTGAATCTGTGTCATGGCTTAGCCGGCTCAAGGTGTCCATAACAGTCACCTGGAATTATAAAGAAGTTTAGAGAGTAACAGCAGTATTCTTATGTAGAAAAGTAAATTTGATTCACAAAGATAACATTCACCTTTGGGTTTGATATACAGAGGAGACCAAGAGCCAAAGGCACTGCCCGCCGAACATTCTGTTCTCCATACTGTAACACACGCTCCAAAGAACGTATCCCCATATCAAGACCCAATTCTTCAGACATAGCAACCATTGCTAATCCAATCACAGCTGGACCCTGGTGAATATCATCTTTCTCCAGATGCTCCCCACACTGAGCCAGAAGGTCTTGGACCTAATTTGAAGAATCAGCGACTAAACTAGAAAGCAGTGAATAATCTAATTCAATCACTAGCACATTTGAACAGATACCTTAAGGACATTCCCAGTTCCAGCATATGCACAAGAAAGAAGTGTCATATCACAATACTTTCTGATTTTCTCATTGAACGTCTTTGAAACTTCTGCAGTAGCCTCCACACTTTCCTGCTCGATATTGTAACAAGTTAAAACTAATAAGCTGGAAAAAACAGTCAGGTACACGAACAAGAAAATTATCAAGTACGACTCCCTGCCTACCTGTTTACCAAGGTACAAAAGTCCAAGTCCAAGAGGCAAGAAACGAGTGAGGGCTTCATCCAGTTCTGCCTCGCTCCGATCCATCAAAGCAAATATAATAGATTGTGCCACCTCTTCGTTACACGAACCAACGTAAATCATCCCCAAACTAAGTGCAGCAAATGCAATCACATCGAGAGGTGCTTTTGCATCATTTAGTATTGGAGACAAACGGTTTCTTATCTATCCAAACAGTAAGCATGGTTATTGTCTTGTCAACAGAACATTCAACGAAGCACTATAGGTAATAATAACATGTATTCACCTCATCATTTTGGGAACCCGCATGTGCAATTCCAAGACCCATAATAGCACCAATTCGGACAGATGAATCCTCTTTGTCAATATAATCTCCAAGAAGCGCTAATGCCTGAGAAAGAGAGCTGAGTGAGAATTAATGGCAAAAAGTAATGAACACACACGCTCCCATAGAATAAAAAATAAAATCTACTCACAGGATCGCAATCATTCTTGATGCCACAATTAACAATCCCAATTCCCAGCACAGCTCCAGCGACTATGGAATTATCACTAACTTGCAAATATTTGTCCAGTTGAGATAGTCCCGTGTCCACATCCCACAAATGAATCATACCCTAGAATTGGGAAGCAACAAGGTAATGTTACAGTTTTTACTTCAAATATGACCATAGCTAGTCAATTCATCAAGTAAGAAGAGGCATACCAGACTAGCAGTTGCACTGATCTTGCCATGATCTTTATTTTTGAAGATCCAGTTTCCAGCCGATCCAGTTGAGTCTGATGGTACTGTCATTAATTTGTCCTGCAATAAGGAAATACTGTATATCAAAGGCAGCTTCCAAATTTCTTCTTATTTGCACACCATAAGATTCTGTAATCATACCTGACCGAAACCAGCATTTACAAATGCATTCACAAAAGTCGCAGACAGATTTTGTCTAGCTGAATCCACACTTGGACCAGAGCTAGCTCGACCATCAATCAGGTGAGCCTGCAAAATTTCAGTGAACAGTTGAGGTAAGAGGCACTGACATGAACATATCATGTGACCAAATAAAGCAGTAACAGGCGTAATATTCAGTTAAACTGATAAACCTTGTAGATGTCTTCAGGCGTCTTGGCCTCCATGACCTCAATATCCCTAGCAAGTGTCAGATATCCATCACCCAACTTAGTGTTGTTAACAATATCTTGTAGGGCGTCTTTGTCATCGTTATTTGCAACCATCTCCTGGTCAAGCTCAAAGGTGATACCCTGCAAGGAGAAATAACAACAGAAAAAGAAATATAAGAAAACAAATCATCGGGTACTGCGCCTTTATGCTGATTCAATTTATTAAGAACTTACATGACGTGCAATCATGTAGCAGAACTGTTTTTTTTTTAGCAAATCAGAACACGAGGTAAATACTTGCTTCACATACTACAAGAAAAATACACAAGTTAGAGGAGAGTGTTTTTCAGATCTCCCCATGTTTCAGAAAGAGTATATTAAGTTCTATATGAAGATTAGAGCCCATACCTGCATGTTATCAAGAAATAATGCAATTTGCAGAGCATTTGGATACTCTGCAAACTTCATGTAGATCATGTAAGCAATATCTAGAACCAACATGTCATCTGGTCCTGGAAGATACCTGAACAAATACATACAATATCAAAGGGATCATGTAAATAACAGTATGAGTGATCTAAAACCATAAATGAAGGAAATCGCCTGTCAAATGAATAAGATCAACATAATGGATTTACTTTGCTGCACTTGTGAGATAGTTGCACGTCCTCCTGAAATTTGTGCTGTCAACATGCTCAAGTAAGAGATCAAGATCCTCAACATCCATTAAAAGGTCAACAGCTTCAGTTTCAGCATTATGCTGCAAGAACAAAATGGAAAGCTTCAAAGATGGGAAAAATAAGAGGTGAAATTTTCAAGCCTATCAATCAAACATTTACTAATTTAGATATACAATGGAAACCCCTTCTTATTATAAGGGGCCATCGGACCACGAAACTGTAAGGATCTCACCTTCATGTGAAAAGAAACAATTTGCCGCACAAGTTCCATTAAGTCTTCAATAGAGGACTCTTCACCCTGACATTAAAGAAAGAATGAGCATATAACCATATTTCAGTAACGATTCTAACCAAAATAAAAAACATATTGTCATAAAATTCATCAACAGACCAGCAGAGAAAACAAAAGATTCATGACGTTTCTATAATAGGAGTAAAACTCTTGGAGTGAAAGAACATTGCCAAAGAACAAATTTTTTTCTAACCTGACGCATTGTATACTCTTCTGCAATCTCTCCGGCCAAATTCCTGACATACTCGTGACCCCAAGATCCTATGTCACCCTCTGTTCCAGTCAACCTATACTTTAAGCTTTCCTGAAACAGTATTGTATAACGTAGGATCAGCAACAAATAACTTCGTCAAATTCTACCAAGAACCACAAATCTGGTAAGACATATCCGAAGAGGAAAACAAAAAGGAAAGTGAAATAAATAGCAATAGGTAAGAAACTCCTACAGCAATAGAAAGAAAGCATACCCTTTCACCTTCAGCAGACATGGTCAATGCCAGGACAGAAAGTATATCAGCCAACATTTTCTGCAGAAACAGGGATTTTGATCTTAATCCATACTCAGTAGAAGGAACAAGAAGGTGATGATGAGAAATTACTTAAAATGTCTGAAAACTTACTTTGAGATCAGAATCCGCCATTTTTATATGAAATTCCTTGAGAGTTCCATAATGAGGACGGAGAAACTTGAGGGGTTTTGGAACTGATGTCATGGAGCTTGTTGCGTCACGAATTTCCTGCCTACAGACCGAATCAAGATTAGACTACGAATAAAAAGGAAAAAATGAACAAGGTAGTTAAAAGCAGTAAAAGAAGTACCACAAGACCATAAAACAAATTCCGACGAAGATTATCAGAATATTTACAGCCAATGTTTATAGGTACAAGAATTACCTCATGCTTTCAAGAGCAGCTTTCTGCAACTCAGGATTGGGGTCCTGAACTCTCTCAACATAGAGCTCCAGGTTCTGCTTTAGTTGCAAGTCCTCTTCCGACTGCAATGACATCATATACAAACCGAGTCAGCTAGCAATCAAACTATATACAAAACTGGCTAATGGATATACCTATACAAAATACCACAGGAGTAAACCCTAACAAGAATTTTGATATCCAAGAACTTTTACCAACTTCGTAATCCCGGTTTTTAAATAGCAATGTGGCATTCAATCTACGAAGCATTCAAATCCAATGAACAGATTATCAACTAAACCCTAAATCTGGCAAAACCTACAGCTCAATCGTGAAATTTACTTCCGATACTAAATAAATCCAGCAAAGTCTTTCAGCTAAGCACGATACAAAAGAGAAAGCAAAATCGGAAGCAAAGAGAGCTCACCAGATCATCTTCCTTTTTATCATCCTTCTTCTTGGGATCCTTAGAAGGAACCTTCAACGTAGCTTCATCCCGCTTCGCACCACCGGCAACACTGTTCGGATCCGGAACTGGAGCCATTTTAGTCAGACTAACACCCGATCAAACCCCGAGGAATCCAAACAATGATAATCGAAATCCGAAACGATCGAGTAGCTTCTACTTATGAGCTCTCGCCGAAACCCTAAGTCGGAAAATTGCACGTTTAAGAGATTAAGAAGAAGAAGTATGCCTTTTCTTTTTCTTATGGGGGAACTCAAGCACAAAGGTTCAACTGTAGAAAATAGAAAAAACAATTTATCAAAAGAAAAAAAAGTCGCAACACTTATACCGGAGAAGATTACCCCTCCATCAAGAATTCCATTGAGGCCCATATTTATTGAGCTACTATTGGGCCTTACTTATCTGGTATGGTCTATTTTTTTGGGTTAAAATCTCTATAAAAAAAAACACTTGAAATTTCTTATATTTTTTTGACAATATAATTACAAACATTTAATTAAATACGTTACATGTCTTATTCTACACGGCTTTTTTAGATAAATTTCGCAATATTTGTCCAACTCAAAACTTATTAGATAATGAAAAAGGAAATAGCATTTAATTGTTTTTCTGAATTAATTTTTATTTTTATCTTACATAAATGGAGAATCTAAAAACTTCAACGATAATTAAAGGGAAAAAATGGAGAAGGCAAGAGCCAAAAGAGGGCAAAGCTGTGATTAAAAACACCGTCACCTCCCCGTCAACGGAGAGATCGTGTTTTCTCGAACCTTCCACGAGATTTTCTACTAAGAACCATCGAAAGCCGAAGACGAAGAGACTAGAGACGACGAAGAAGAAGGAACACATAAAAAAAAATCAATCAATCAAAGACCTTTGCTGATTAATCGGATTCAGGAAAAGTGAAGAAGCGAAAGAGAGAAGAAGAAGAAGAAGAAGGTGAGATGGGAGTTGATTATTACAAGGTTCTACAGGTTGATAGAAGCGCCAGCGACGATGACCTTAAGAAAGCTTATAGAAAACTCGCTATGAAATGGCATCCCGACAAGAACCCTAACAACAAAAAAGACGCTGAGGCTAAGTTCAAGCAGATCTCTGAAGCCTACGATGTATGTTTTTCGTGTTTGATTCCTCACCACTGCCTCTCTATTTAAAATTATGATTTGCTTTATTGAAATCGTCCTCAAAGTTTTGATTTTTATTTGTACTTAAAAGAGTTTTTTTTTTCCTCCTCCTGTGATTCTGTCGGCGGTCACGAACTTGTTTCTAATTTTCGATTTGAGATTCAAATTAGTCAGATTTTACGATTTGGTGTTGTGTTAGCTCGTTTGGGTTTTCCAGATTTCGTGTTTACGAGTCATAGTATGAAACTAAAAGATACTTGCTTTATTTTTGGGCTAACTAGATTATGTGAGGTCACTGTCCTATAGTAGGAATCGAATTAGCCAATAGGATCCCAAAAGTTGTAGTTTGTGTTTCCTATGCTTATCTATTACTCAATTTCACTAAGATTGTTTACACTGATTCAGGTTTTTTATGTGTGGCTGATGTTGTTTTGGATGTGACTTCTTGTAGGTTCTTAGCGATCCTCAGAAGAGAGCGGTGTACGATCAGTACGGTGAGGAAGGGTTAAAAGGGAACGTGCCACCTCCCAATGCTGCTGGTGGAGCTTCCTACTTCTCAACAGGAGATGGACCTTCATCTTTCAGATTCAACCCGAGAAGCCCGGATGATATATTCGCTGAGTTTTTCGGGTTCTCGACCCCCTTTGGTGGTGGAGGTGGTGGCAGCGGAGGGCCGAGGTTCTCTAGCCGCATGTTTGGTGATGATGTGTATGCCTCGTTTGGTGATGGAGGAGGTGGAGGAGGACCAATGCATCATCATCACCATCATCATCATCACGCTCCAGCTAGGAAAGTGGCTCCTATCGAGAACAAGTTGCCTTGTAGCCTTGAAGATCTCTACAAAGGAACCACCAAGAAGATGAAGATCTCCAGGGAGATTGTAGATGTCAGCGGGTAAGTGATCAAACTCAGCTACCAATCCGATCACACTTAGAAAGTTTTTGTATTGGACTTATCTACTAGTTAACATAAGGCATGGATTTGAAAGACAACCTCCCAAGTATGAAGACATATGAAACTTTTGTTTCAAGCTTTAGTTTCTGTAACATTATGCATTATATTCCAGTATCATTTTGAAGGTATTGATCAATGCTGAATATAAACTTCCCCTGCTTTATTACCTGTTTGATTTGAGCTGGCCTTAGTTGTTGTATTGACAGTATCTAATATCTATCTTATCTTTTTTCTTCTGCTAAATGCAGAAAGGCAATGCAAGTGGAAGAGATTCTAACAATTGGAGTGAAACCCGGGTGGAAGAAAGGCACAAAGATCACATTCCCAGAGAAAGGCAATGAGCATCCGGGTGTGATTCCAGCGGATCTAGTATTCATCATTGACGAGAAACCCCATCCAGTGTTCACTCGAGAGGGTAACGATCTGATTGTCACACAGAAGATCTCACTAGCTGATGCCTTGACAGGCTACACCACAAACATAACGACCCTTGATGGCCGTACACTTGCAATCCCGGTCACCAACGTGATCCATCCAGAGTATGAAGAGGTGGTTCCTAAAGAGGGAATGCCACTTCAGAAAGATCAGACAAAGAAAGGGAACTTGAGGATCAAGTTCAATATCAAGTTTCCAGCGAGATTAACTGCGGAACAGAAAGCTGGGTTTAAGAAGCTTCTTGGGTGATAATGATTAAAGCTTCTGTCTTGTGATGTGTGGAGATTAAGATCATTTGGTAATATACGATTTATAGGGAATTCTCCCCCTCTTCATTAATTTCGTGTTGTTAAACAAGTCTTCTTTTTACAGAATAGTTCTTTCAAATCTTTTTTAAAGAATAGTTCTTTTCAAGATTCCGTTACATGTCATCCAGAAACAAAAATTTGAAGATAACTAAAACTTTACGTCATTTTGTGTAAGAGTATGAAGTTACTCTTTGGTGAGTGGGGATCCGATGCCATGACGGCGTGTCGGGAACGCGAGGAAGAAGCCACCACAAAAGACACCAATGATAAAAGGCAAACTGGTAAGGACCTCCTTAGTTTCCTCGGAAGGAACAGGGAATAAACAACGGGTTACGTTCTGATCAAACATGGAGATTGCAAAGAAGACGAGCATTGACATGATTGCGTGCACGAAATCAAGAATCTGTAGCTTATACTTTGCCTTCTCCTCATCCGTTAGAGTTATTGATCCGTCTATCACACATAGCCCGGTCCATGTCGCGATTCCGTACCTAATCTACAACATTGAGTTTTGATATGTCATACGAATGGTAAATATAAAAATAGCTAAAATGTGATAGAGAAATGTATATTACCTTGCCGTTTGGGTCTCTGATAGAGTCGGTAAAGGAGAAGATGAAGCAAGAGATGGCGCATACGAAGACGAGGAAGCAGGTGAGCCAGCGACTGGTGATGGTCGGACACTGACCCTGATGGGTTAGGACCGGACACATTATTTGAAAACTCATCACCGAACCGGTCGGAAGTAGATTTGACAAATGAGTTGTTCCTTTGAATGTTTTCCTCGCAAATTTCTCTACTTTCGACTTCGGCTTTCTTGGTGCCGCCGGCAAAGATGCTATCAATGACTGCTTTGTCTCTTCCATCACTGAATTTTTTTATATCTGCAATTTCAAATGATTATGTATCTCTTCTTTTCTTTTCCTTTTTGTCTCTCTGGTGCTTATTCTGATATGAAAGGATTGTACAAGATTTTATGGGTTTCGATTTCTTTCTTTCTTTGTTTTGGTGTCTGCTTCGGTTGAGTTGTTGTTGTTAAGGTTTCAAGGTTGATATTCTGTTCTTCCATTTTTATGTTTCTGTTGCAGGTCAAGATTAGCAATAACAAAACGTAAAAACCATTTGAGTAACGAAACAAGAAATAGGAGGTTTGTAACAGAAAGGATTTAACTTTTAAAAAAAACTCTGTTACCGTTTCCTTAGTATCAACTATGAAGATTATATATATACTTCTATGATATTGTTGTGATAAAAATTTACAGGTGATTTCATATAATTTACACAAGCAATGCTATAAGTCTATTAAACTACATGAAGATAAGAGAATACAATGGTATTACTTTGCCATTCTTGAAATAGAAAAATTAATTCAGTGGTTCTAAATTATTGATGATTATGGAGGATCCCAAAAAATACGAAATAATGTAAGTTTCGTGCTCTTCAATGACGTGGCTTAATTATAATCTGTCTAGTCTAGTTAGTGTCTAAGTCTAACGTATGGTCCATGAAGAATTGTATTGGATTGGTCTATGCACGAATTTATTCTTCGGCTAAAAGAGGTTATCAGTTGGTAAGTGGACCTGCAACTCAAAATTGTATTTGTTAATAAAACTTCAAAAACGAAAACTTTGCTATTCTCTGTTTCATTTGAAAAAATTTACATGCTGTATACATGCAAACCATATTAAACATGGATTTAATAAAACGAAATTATATCACGTATAACCTTTTTTTACGTGGTTTTTGGGTATAGCTAACAATTTTCTTTTGGAACACTAAAATAACAAGATTTTGAAGCATATCGTTATTATAAATTTATTACTAAAACTAAGTCCAAACCATTAAAAAAAAGCAACGTACTCGAGGAGACGTAAAGAGAATGCAAACTAGGAAGAGTGGTGGTAATTATCGTTAGAAGACCAAAACATTATTGGACTTGAAGTTACATCATACTGCATAGTGCGTTGTAACCATCGCAAAAACTCGTGATATCCGATCACAGATTAGCTAAAGACAAGATCCATCATTTTCTCTCTTTTCCCCCCTTAAATCTCGTAGTTTTTTTTCAAAATCAAAGTGACTGTTGCTTTTCTTATTGAAATGAAAGTAATCTAACAAAAAATTACTGTTGGATCATGTTTTTTCCCGACCAACCAAAGTTGACCTTGTCTACGTATACACACTCGGCTTTACAAACGTATGCCCATCACATCAAATTATCTGTTCAATCTAGGGTTGGGAGATCATGTATGTTTTAGGTTTTTGGTTCAACAACTTTTTTTTAGATCGATACACAGTAAAATCATAGGATATACGTTCCACAAAAACCACATTAGATCCCATCACTAGTTGTGTAGTTTGTATTCATAACATTAGTCCAATCCAGAAGCCTCTATGCAAACTAGAAAAGTCAACATAGATCCAGCATCTCTTGGCCCATGTATCTCCATCATGTTGACCAAAGTAGCATTACAGTTGACTCAGAGAGTGACCATTGACCATTGTTTTTCTTTTCGAATAATTGAAGAAGTGAACAATAATTTACATGTTCTTATTTACCTATAAATAAAAAATTACACTATGTATATTTATGTAACTATTAGAATCCAAATGTTTCTTTTTCTATCACTTTATATGTTTTTGGAGATGATTTGTATATGTAGTACTTTATTCTGTAATCGATTTCATATAAAAATCATCGAACTGTATTGTATTTGCCTCCGAATTGTTCAAAAACATGTCTCACCCATGTCTTGTCACAGTGACCATTACCCTTTTTGCTTCTAGATATCCCTTTATAATTACCAATCCATAATATCGTTTTTGTTCACAAATCCAAAGCATGAAAGAACCATAACTTTTTTTTTTATAACAAAAATGCTTTATTGTCTTATTCTCCTCCTATGTCTCTCCTCCACGTATCTAAGTCTATCTCTAAACCAAGATGCCACCATTCTCCGGCAAGCCAAACTGAGTTTATCAGACCCGGTTCAGTCCCTTTCTTCATGGTCCGATAACGACGTCACGCCGTGTCAATGGAACGGCGTCAAGTGCGACGCTTTCTCATCCGTCGTCTCCGTCGATCTCTCAAGCTTCATGGTCGTCGGTCCTTTCCCCTCCATCCTCTGTCGTCTTCCTTCTCTATCCTTTCTCTCTCTTGCTAACAACTCCATCAATGGTTCTCTCTCCGGCGATGACTTCACGGCGTGTCGTAATCTCGAATATCTCGATTTGTCGGAGAATCTTTTGGTCGGGTCCATCCCAAAGTCACTTCCTTCCAATCTCCCGAACCTCAAGTTCCTCGAAATCTCCGGTAACAACTTATCAGACACGATTCCGGCGAGCTTCGGAGAGTTCCAAAAGCTCGAGTCTTTAGACCTCGCCGGTAATTTACTCTCCGGTACAATCCCCGCCACGCTCGGCAACGTCTCGACTCTCAAAGAACTCAAACTCGCTTACAATTTGTTTTCTCCGAGTCTTATCCCAAGTCAACTCGGAAACCTCACAGAGCTTCAAGTTCTCTGGCTCGCCGGCTGCAACCTCGTCGGTCCGGTACCTTCAGCTCTATCTAAATTGACTCGTTTGGTTAACTTGGATTTGACATTTAATAAACTCACTGGATCAATCCCAAGTTGGATCACACAGCTGAACAGCGTCGAGCAAATCGAACTATTCAACAACTCGTTCTCAGGCGAGTTACCAGAAGCTATGGGTAACATGACGACGCTAAAAAGATTCGACGCGTCGACGAACGAGCTTAGAGGTAAGATACCCGACGGATTGAATCTGTTAAACCTCGAATCACTCAATCTCTTCGAAAACATGCTTGAAGGTCCCTTACCGGAGAGCATAACTCGCTCCAAAAACTTGTACGAACTCAAGCTATTCAACAACAAACTCACCGGAACGTTACCGAGTCAACTCGGCGCAAACTCTCCGTTACAGTACGTGGACCTATCATACAATCAATTCTCCGGCGAAATACCGGCGAATCTCTGCGGCGAAGGGAAACTGGAGTATCTAATTCTTATAGACAATTCGTTCACAGGAGAAATCTCGCAAAGTCTAGGAAAATGCAAGAGCTTGACTCGGGTCCGATTGAGTAACAACAAGCTCTCCGGTAACATACCTCACGAGTTCTGGGGATTGCCTCGCTTATCACTGCTCGAACTCTCAGAAAATTCATTCACCGGAGTTATTCCTAAGACGATCATCGGTGCGAAGAATTTATCAAACCTACGAATCTCAAAGAATCGATTTTTAGGTTCCATACCCGACGAAATCGGATCGCTTAAGGGACTGATCGAGTTCTCCGGAGCGGAGAATGGTTTCAATGGTGTAATTCCTGGTAGCTTGGTGAAGTTGAAGCAATTGAGTAGGCTTGATCTCAGTAAGAATCAACTCTCCGGCGAGATTCCTAGAGGGATTCGTGGTTGGAAGAATCTAAATGAGCTCAATTTGGCTAATAATCATCTCTCCGGTGAGATCCCTAAAGAAGTCGGAATCTTGCCTGTTCTTAACTACCTCGATCTCTCCAACAATCAATTTTCCGGTGAGATTCCGGTGGAACTGCAGAACCTGAAGCTAAACGTTCTCAATCTGTCGTATAATCGCCTCTCCGGTAACATTCCTTTTCTGTACAGGGACAAAATATACGCACATGACTTTATTGGAAATCCCGGTTTATGCGTTGATCTTGATGGTCTTTGTCAGAAGATCACGCGGTCTAAAAACATTGGCTATGTCTGGATTCTCTTATCGATTTTCACACTTGCGGGTTTGGTTTTCGTTGTTGGGGTCGTTATGTTCGTTGCTAAGTGTAGAAAGCTCAGAGCTTTAAAGAGCTCTAGACTCGCAGCGTCTAAATGGAGATCCTTTCACAAGCTTCATTTCAGTGAGCACGAAATCGCTGATTGTCTTGATGAACGGAATGTGATCGGGTTTGGATCCTCCGGTAAAGTCTACAAAGTGGAGCTTCGCGGTGGAGAAGTAGTAGCTGTGAAGAAACTTAACAAAACTGTTAAAGGAGGAGATGAATACAGCGATTCGTTGAACAGAGACTTTTTTGCCGCGGAAGTCGAAACACTAGGAACGATTAGGCATAAGAGTATCGTGCGTTTGTGGTGTTGTTGCAGCTCCGGTGATTGTAAGTTGTTGGTGTACGAGTATATGCCTAATGGGAGCTTAGCTGATGTGTTGCACAATGAACGCAAAGGCCGGCTGTTGTTGGGTTGGCCAGAGCGGTTAAGAATCGCTGTGGACGCTGCTGAGGGTTTATCGTACTTGCACCATGATTGCGTTCCTCCGATTGTGCACCGCGACGTGAAGTCGAGTAATATACTGCTTGATGGAAAATACAGAGCCAAAATTGCCGACTTTGGGATTGCAAAAATTGGTCAGATGAGCGGTTCCAAAACGCCAGAAGCTATGTCCGGGATCGCTGGTTCTTGCGGTTACATTGCACCAGGTATTTACCAAAACAATACCATAAAGTTACAAGAGAAATCCATCTGAATGAAACGATACAATTCAACTGCATTCTTTTAACATTCCAACTTATATTCCGAGTTTTAAATTTTGCAGAGTATGTATACACACTTCGGGTGAATGAAAAGAGCGATATCTACAGCTTTGGTGTGGTGCTTTTGGAATTGGTTACAGGGAAGCAACCAACAGATCAAGAACTTGGAGAAAAAGATTTGGGGAAATGGGTGTGCTCTACGCTTGACCAATGCGGTTTAGAATCTGTTATAGATCCAAAACTTGATCTCAGGTTTAAAGAAGAGATTAGCAAAGTCATACACATTGGTCTTCTCTGTATGAGTCCTCTCCCTCTAAACCGACCTTCCATGAGAAAAGTTGTGATCATGCTTCAAGAAGTACCTGGTACTGTTTCCAGTAGCAGTCCAAACGCGTCTAAAAAGAGTGGTGGGAAACTGTCTCCATACTACACAGAAGACTTAAACAGCGTTTGAGCATTATAATACTGGGCCGAGTTTGGATTGGGCCGGGAATAACGATTTGATGTTATGATGCTAAGCTAAGTTGAATTGTAAGATATCAAGAAACAGAAAAATAGAGCTTTCTAATTAGGTAATAGCTCTTGATAATCCTAGTATAAAGGGATATGCTATTTATTACTAAGTTTGGTTATTATATATTTAAACTTATGTAATGTTTCATGTTTGTAACCAACATTGATTTAACAACAAATCGTTATTCCTGCATTCCAGGGACCTGAATTTTTTATTTTTATTTTTTTAGTTGAAATTCTTGAATTACATATTTTTGTAAGTTAAAGTAATCTAATAGTGCCATTATAAATTGTATATGCTAAATTTCCAAGAACATGCAAGTAATGTCATAATTGGTTTTGTTACTGGTTTTCTTGAATGTCACCTTGCGGCGCTTTCGATCCACCCATGAAAACAACAAGCTAACCACAAAAATTTCCCGAAGAGACACACAAGTGTAACTTTTTTGTTCATAAATTTTTTTTTTTTTGGTTTTAATGTGAAGATTTCATTGCCAAAGCTATTACAACCTAAAGATACAAAAACTAACCCATTAGCACGAGAACAAGAGACAGACTAGACGAATTACTTTACAACGGATAACTAAGACGACTAAAATAAACAGCAAGGAGAGAAGAAGAAAGCAAGCTAGGTCCTGGAAAGGAGAGAAGCCGACTACGCATTGTACGATCAATGATAAGCCGCAAAGCTGCAGCGGTTGATGCAACACCGGTGAATAATCGAGAGTTTCTCTCTTTCCAAAGGTGATAGACCACCGTCTGAAGGAGGAGCTTGAGGATGGAGATGAGTTTGGTGTTTTGCGGCAGATTGTGGAGGAGGATCCATGAAGACGCTGCTGACAAGGTGGCCGGAGGAAAGGAGATGAACTTCGCTGCAAAAAAACCCCAGACGCTTGAGGAGAAGGTGCACTCAAAGAAGAGATGATTGTGGTTTTCTTCCCCATTAGAGCATAGAACACAGGAGGCAGGGGTATTCATGCCCCACCTTCGTAGTCTATCTCTTGTGGGTAAACGAGCAATCAAAGCCAGCCAACTAACAAAGGAGAAACGTGGCACATGCTCTTTAAACCATATCACATCAGCCCATGGAACCAAAGGTGAATGAATTCTCAACTGCTCCCAAGTTTCCTTTGAAGAGAAAGATGGGATGAAATTACCTGAAGCATTGCGCCACAGGAAAGCGTCTCGGCCTTTGCTAGATTCTGGTGGAGAGTGGTCTGCTAATGCCACCATTAAAGCTTGGGAATTATCAGATCTAGCTGCCGGAAAAACCCAATTACCACTTCTCGTTGCTTCTACAACCTTTGCATCTTTCCTTATGCAGAGTAATCTTGGTCCAGCTTCTCCAAGGTAAGATATAAGCTGACCAAATTCTGTCCAAGAGTCATACCAAAAAGAAGCAGAGCGACCATCACCCACCTCACATCTAAGGAACTCTACAATTGTGGGTTTTAGCTGCAGCATACTATTCACTGTCTTAGAGAACCGGTTTGTTCATAAATTTTGTTTAGTTTGATTAGAAAAGGTAGTATAACATGTGTTTACAATTCACATGAGAGACCAGAAACAAAATCAGACGACAAAGAGAAAAGTTTTAAAAATAAAGGTTGAGGTTCCTTGTTATGCATGAAAAGTCTACGTGAAGAAATAGAATAATGACTAGCTTTTTAAACTTTCTTTTTCTTTTTATCTATATAAAAAATAGCTTCTTACTTTTATATTATTCATCAACCTCGGTATATAACAATTCCATCTCAACTTCACTTACAAATTCATGCCACAAAGTGTTAAATGTTAATTCATTTTTCGACATGCTACTTATAATTTGTATTTCAAGGATATGTTTTTCTTGCGATTTTGAGAGTTGTTATCTTGACGTGATCATAACTATTTTTGACAATAAACGTAAGATTTCAAAAATAAATAATTATACGCATATATCGCTTTTAACTTTATTCTCTAGAGTATTATTGATTTATTTCACAAAAGTTAAAACTAACCAATAATTTAAAAGGGAAAAAAATGAGAAACTAATTACTAAAACTATACTTCTGCACGACTTAAAACTATATTCGAGGTGTACAATATCCATCGGAAATAATATCAATGTTTTTATTAATGTTTTCTTACGTATATCAGTCAGTACTCGTATAGAGTATATGATTTCAGTAAATACTGATGGAGACATTGAGACAAGAAAAATTATGTAAGACACAGATGTGTAAATTATAAGTATAAGCTTATGTGATTTATAATATCTTTATATACACGCTAGGGTGACATTGGACCTTAACTTCTCTTTCTTATTTTTTTTGGTTCTACCCTATCACGTCTGATCCCTCACGAACCAGCAACAACACCTTCCTCCAAAACCACGCCATCTCATTACTCATTTTTAGATCCTAAATATCAGTAAATTACCAAATTAATATATTGAATATAAAGATCAATACATACAAAATACGACCAAAGGTAGAAACCTAATTAATTAACCTAATTAAGAATGTGTTTGTCCCAAAAAGAAAAAAAAAGGCAACATCATACATATATATTCTCTCACAAGATTTTGTTTTTCATATATTTTAGATGTTTGATCAGTCGTCTTTGTCTCTTTCTCTCTCACACACCATACATGCGATGTAGAAGCCAAACCAAACTTAAAACCCAAGCAATCTCCTTTATTTATTTTTTTCTTAATTCTAATCATCCATTAGTTTATTCAGAATATCACATTGCAGTTTCAGAAAGAATCTGAAGTTTTTAATTTAATGCTTTTAACTATAGAAGATACAACTATGCATTGTAAACTTGTAAAAAAAACAAGAAGAAGAAAATTTCCAATATATAATTTATCAATGTTACATGTTTTTTTTTGGCAAAAGATCAATGTTACATGTAAATCAAAAGATTGAAATTTCACAATTATATATTACACTTCACTTTCAAGTTGAGTTGTAGGTGTACCTCTTCCTCTCATTGTTACTTAGCATGTATGTTTCTACAAATATACTTATTAAACAAAACTAATTAAGTCTAGCTCTAAATAATAATTTCTTACTATGTAGAGTAATGGTACATTTGTACACAATATAAAATGAGGTTTAAATAATAAATTTTTTAGGCTTACCTCATCTCTCTCTCTCTCTCTCTCTCTCTCTCTCTCTCTCTCTCTCTCTCTCTCTCTCTCTCTCTCTTTCATGGATAGTACAAAGTTAAAATCAAGTGCAAAAAAGGCCAATTAACTCAACTTAAAAAGTGATGAACAAGAATTCAATTCCTTCCTCCTTCTCAAGATAACCTCAAAGAGTTCTTCTTAGGATACATATGCTTTAGCTAACTTTAACTCTTTTTCCCTCCTCTCTTCCTCTCTTCCTCTCTCATGCCTTTGTTTATTTTGACGAAGTTGTGAGCAGTGAAAGAAGAGGAGAAAGAGAGATATGCACAAGAGGAACCTTGGATACCTAAAACAACATGACTTGGTGCAATGACCGTAACGATGTTCAGACCGTTGAAAGAATCATTCCCTCCCCGACTGCGGCTGAGTCTCCCAGAGCCTCATTACCGGTCTCAAGCCACAAAACTTGTCCTTCTTGTGGCCATAACTTCAAGTTTCATGAACAGGTTCTTGTTTCTCTCAATACCTAGCTAGCTACATCTAGTTTCTACATTTGGAAACTGTTTGATCATTGATATCTATTAGTTGATCATGAGTAATCAAAAACCCAATTTATGTAGGCCGGGATCCATGACTTGCCGGGACTGCCCGCCGGAGTGAAATTTGATCCGACGGATCAAGAGGTACTGGAACATCTTGAGGGGAAGGTAAAAGACGACGCAAGAAAGCTTCATCCTCTCATCGATGAGTTCATCCGTACTATCGATGGTGAAAACGGCATCTGTTATACCCATCCTGAGAAATTGCCAGGTGATTCTATGTTGTTCAATCATCAACAATTTTGCTGTTTACATGAGCTATCTATACTATTAAAAGGAAAGCATTATTTATCTTGAAAGCCAAACACAATTAAAAATAAAAATAACATTTTATGTAATCCTAAACCTATAACCAAACAGAATTAATGACAGCAAAATAAATAATTTTAACAGAAAATCCCTACTATAGTAAAAGAGAAGTACAAATACTCTCTCGGGTCGGTTTTAAAAAAAAAATCCGACTTCCAAATCGGATCTTCTCAATAAAATTTGAACGGAAGTTATTGCTATATTAATCGGACATTAAAAGCTAATAATGTTTTGGGCCTTCTTCTTGGCCTTAGATAGTTATACTAGCGACTTCTCTGTCTCGTGCGTTTTCAATATACCAAAAAACAGAATATTCCAAGAACTTTACCTAACAACTATACGAATATTCATAATATCTTTCCTTCAATAATTATTACGCATTAAAGCGTAATTTCAACAGCATTGAGTATGATATAGTAACTAAGTGAATAATATAACAACTTTTTCGTATCTCCTAGAATTACGAACCAAGATTTTCCTAAATTTCGATTTCAATAACGACAAAATCTGACTGCAAGACAATTTTGATTGAAAAAAATAAATAAATTGGGTAAACATCATCCACTAAAATTCAGTAATGGGCCAAAAGCCCACAGTTATTATTAATTGTTCTTATTATGGAAAACAAAAAGGCTTCATAATTGTCAACAAAACCTAAACTTTTATATTATAAAATGTGGATTTAGGCAATATTAATTTATTAGGGCATCTCCAACCTTGAACCCTTAAAAAATGTGTATAATAATATTTTATTATAAATTACAATTAAATAAAAGAGAGAGAGAAAAATAAAGAAAGAGAAAGAAAAAGAGAGGAATGCGAGAGAAGAGAGAGAC